TATGTTATATATATAATATTTAAGTTATCATATATTATAATATATATATATATAAATAATTATATATTTTATACTATATTTAATATATAACATATTATGTATAATATATAATATTGAATATTGAAATTTCAATATTTAATTTATATTTTATATACAGCATATAACAAACATTTAAAAACAAAAATATCATATGTTCTAATTTTCAAATATTTATATATACATATACATATATATATATATATATATTCATACACAGATGTTTTATGTACATCAATGGGAATTTCAGGATCCTAAAATGGAGGTACTGTGTTGTATAAGGCCATATTTTCTGTGGATATTCCCTTACATAGGCCTAAAAAATACGCCTTATATATGGTAGGTACCTCCAATTTAGGTTCCTGGAATGGCCATTGATTATTAGGGGTTTTCCAGCATGCTAACACTCCCCATAAGTTCCTAACAACCCCGATCGGTTGAGGTATGTATGACCCCTATGACTAAGGTTTTATATGTCCAATTATAAGTGAAACCACGACCCCAAGTAAGATTATTCATATGTGGGTGTATATTCTCAAAACCATAGTTATTTAATATGTTATATATATAATATTTAAGTTATCATATATTATAATATATATATATATAAATAATTATATATTTTATACTGTATTTAATATATAACATATTATGTATAATATAAAATATTGAATATTGAAATTTCAATATTTAATTTATATTTTATATACAGCATATAACAAACATTTAAAAACAAAAATATAATATGTTTTAATTTTCAAATATTTATATATACATATACATATATATATATTCATACACAGATGTTTTATGTACATCAATGGGAATTTCAGGATCCTAAAATGGAGGTACTGTGTTGTATAAGGCCATATTCTCTGGGGATATTCCCTTATATAGGCCTAACAAAAATAGGCCTTATATATGGCAGGTAGCTCCAATAAATCGGTTTCTGTTGCATGGCCATTGAGTAAATGGCATCTGTTTGTCGGAAAAACGCGCCAACGTCGGACCTAGGATTTGGACCCATGTGCCTTTGGTGCCAGGCCCCGGTGGCCCTGGTGGATGGGGCAAGTTACCATCTGGGCACCCCCAGCCATAAGTCGGTTTATAAACCATAAGTTGCTGGAATTATAAGTAACCATAGTTAATGGGCTTATACCATAGCTACTGTATGATACCTTTTTTAACTCCAGTAACTATGGACGATACCCTCTATTAATGACTAACATAGCTATTGAAAATGGCCATAGAAATAGTTGATTTACCCATTGATAGCATGGTGATTTTCCATAGTTATGTTAAATTACCAGAGGGTAAGTACCATAAACCATAGTGAAATTGGAGTTATAGATCATCTTAGCGATTTCGTTGAAGGGGGCCCCACTTTGTACTAAGTGAGATGATCTTTGTTTATAAACGCCAGTAAGTATAGTACTATGAAACCAGTTTAGTGGAGAAAACCAGTGATGTGAACGTTGCTTTAGATTCACCCCCAGTACTTTTAGTACTATAGTTATTTGCCATCATAATAGTTCCTTATTAACCATAGATAAATTAGTAAAAATCCCAGCAATTATAGTTATTTGTGCCATAAACCATAGTGAAATTGCAGTTATTCACCAACTTGTCGCGATTTCGTTTAAGGAGGCCCCACTTTGTATGAAATTACACTATATTTGTGAGAAAAAATCATCCATTAACCAACTATGACTTGGGGTACCAGGGTTTTGACGAAAATAACCATGTCTTTTTTTGGATATGTTACTTTGAAAAAGTAGTTGATTTACGTATTAAATTCAAATGATGATCTATGATGATTTATCCGCCGAATGTAGGATTAGAATGGGATTTGACTGGGACATTCCCATGAATTACTGGTGTCTTTTAGGGCTTCAAGTATCAAAGATAAGGGTGCATTTTGTGGAAATGCTGGTTGATTGGTTACAACATAGGGCCTTAGGGGTGGTACGAACTGGTTTATTGGGGATTGAACGATTGAACTGGCACATAATTAACAGGATAGTTACCTATTTTCCAACGAGTGTTTCATGGGATAAGATCGGGGAATTGTTTATGGCTCACATGAACTGACATGTTTTGGGTGAAGGCATCATACATGACCACAAACATTGAAGATGTGATGGACTGAATTGTGAAAGATGTGTTTTTTCCGCAAGACTCGAAGCTGTGAAATTTCCAGACGTTAATATGCTTCAGCTGAATTTACTTTGGTAAACAAACATGGCAATGAAAAATCCACCAGTTATAGATGATGTTTGCATTTCAATGGGTGATTTTCCAGCTAGCTATGTTGATCGGCGGGAAGGTAATGACATGGTTTTTGCTATGCTTGCTTTGAAGTGTGCAGCAAGATGATACATGGTTTCCTAAAATGGTGGTACCCCAAAACCATGGGTTTTAAATACCTAAATGGTCTAATGACTTGGATGATTTGGGGTACCCCTATTTCAGGAACCCCACATATCTATATGATTGTATATAAGGTTTTACTGAACCATGGTTTCCAGATGTTTCCAGGGGGTGTTTAATACTAGGGGCAAAGGATTTTTATGTATATTTTGGGGATATTGGATGGCCCGCTCCAAAACATATGGTTGTTGGTATGTTGATGTCAACTTACATGTCTCAGGGACTTGGAACCACCATCTAGTCATGGTTGTCCGACGTTTCCTTTTCGGAAGCTGATATGCTGGCCGTGTAACTTTTCCCCTCTGCTGGTTTCAAGTAGTTTTCATGTCCATGTTTACCTGATTTCACCTGGAATGACGAACTAACAAGTCCCTATGAGCAAAACAAACAGGGGGCTGAAACTTGAAACCATCAACCTATCTTGTTTGGCTTCCTCCCAGCGACAAGTTCCAAAAGGCCCACACAAAACAATGCGTGAACTTGGAGAAACATGGAGTTTGAGAAGTTTCTGAAACCTCAGTTGGTTCAGAATTATAAGGGAATGTATAGCCCGATATATGTTTTGGATTGTACAAGAATCCTCAACCAACCATGAGAAGGGATGTTCCAATAGAATCCCAAACACTTTCTCAATGTGGCACCTGGGTCGGGGAGTCAAAACCTATGGGTTTTATATTTGAATGGGGCATCCACTGGTAGAAAAAGTACAAGTTTTGGAACCTACATAGATGTTTAACCGTTTAGCCAATACTTCGGTAGATGCGTCAATTATTGTTGACACTGAGAGAACTTTTATGGTCAATCTAGCACCATGTCCTTTATATAGTCTGAAATTCACACATCCCACCTTATCAATGGCCATTTCAGGATCCGATTGATTGGAGGTACCTACCATATATAAGGCTTATGTTTAAGGCCTAAATTTCAGGGAACATCCGCGTAAAATATGGCCTTACATAAATGGTACGTTTACGTACCTCCATGTATTGGATCCTGAAGATCTCCCATTGATAGTATATTAATTACATTATAACCATAGTCAAACCATAAACCATAGTTAAACCATAAACCATAGTCAATCCATATATAATCCATATATATGGTTGCAATCCCACGTTACAATGTTTCTGAGCCCATTTTCAGGATTCCTTTGGATGTTCTCCGATTTCTTGGCCCGATTTCTTGGGCTCGTTAAAAGCCCGATTCCTTACAGGCAGAATCGATGGGAATTCCAAGGATCCAATACATGGAGGTACGTAAACGTACCATTTTTTTAAGGCCATATGAATTGTGGTGATATTCACTGAAATTTAGGCCTAAAAAAATAGGCCTTATATATGGAGTCGGTACCTCCAATCCATCGGATCCTGAAGATCTCCCATTGACAGAATGCTAGATATCTCAAACATATGAAGTAACACTAAGTCATGTTTTCAACATGTATGAGCAAGTTAAGCATATTCCAGCAAATGTTGAATGCGCTTCTACCTGCACCTGTGTGTGCGTGCACAGGTATGGTTGATGCACCTAGTTCCAAATGGGGGGTGCATCATTGGCACAGCAAGAGGGTAACAACCCCTTTGGTAAAACAGTTTGCTATTGAAGCCATGGCCATAGAAGTAGTTGATTTATCCAATAATAGCATGATGATGTTCCAGCTCGTTTTTTTGTATGTTTACCAGGCCGGGTAAATTTTTATGTGGAATATCACACATGAATCACTGTGATTGTTTTTATCATTAACGGATCGTAGCTGGGATGCACAAGAGTACCAAGTCTGAAGGTAGCACCAAGTCTGAAGTTGCTGGGTGCATCCCTTTTCTCGGAACCCAATCCTGACCCATACTCCTAAGTGGTCATAGAACCATACAAAGTGGGGCCCCCTAGATAGCTAAGTTGGTTAATAACTCCAGTAACTATGGTTTATGGTACTTACAACTATAGTTACTGGGGATTCTAAACCAACGTATAACTGGGGGAGCCCACATTGTAAAATGTAGGGGATACTTATTGGAAGGGAGAGTCCTCCACCTGGCATTTAGATCATTTAAAACAAAAATAGGACCAGGCTCAGTTTGTAGGGCTCATTACGATAGTTGTAGTCAGTAATAACCCCTCGAGCGCCGCGCCCATAGCATTTCAGCTCGCAGAGTGGTATGGCCTCCACTGTTTTGCTTGATGCATTGAAGGGGATCATGATGATGATGATGATGATGATGATGATGATGCGTACCAAAGTTTTGACTCGCAGTCACAGCATCAGGATCGATCTTTTCTGTTCAAAGTTCGAACTTCCACCGCGTGCAGCAGGAATGTGTAGGAATAAGTGAAACATCAAGATATCCTGTGGTAGGAGTGTTGCTTGGAGATCACCCAGACACCTGCGCTTGCATCCCAGAAACCAGTTGAGAGTTTTCTTACATGATGTGCTGGTTATGTAGCAACGGTTGCCAACATTGATCGAGACATGCAGCTTCCCGTCAAGCTTCTTTTTGTTCTTTCTTCGCAAACTGCTCAGCCGCAAGCTGTGAACGATGCCAGCCCTTAGACTCACTCAGCTTGGAAGCCAAACTAGCGACGCCTACTTGGATGGTCTCTCTATCGCGCATGACCGGTGGCTGATGCAGCTATCAAATTGCAGCTGGCTCAACACCTTACGTATCTCTGGTGAGTGAGCCCCCAGGGCAGTACTCCATATGCCATAGTTAGCTAAGTTGATGTATAGGATAGTAGGATACATTATTAAAGTTAATTTCTAAAGTTAACCTAGAGATAGAAAGTTAATTACTGGCTAATAACTAAAGTTAATTCCATAGAAAGCTGTTTTATCTAAAGTTAATTACTGTTAATTGCGATTGAGAACCATCTTGTAAGTGGGGTGCCCCACTGCACCACTCTGTAATTGCGGATAGCCTTGCTTAGGGCAATAAACCCCAGCCGCCAGTTCTCCCCGTGCCAGGCCAGTCAGCCCAGGCGCGAACGTGCCAAGGGTGGGCAGCTGCAGGTGGTCCAAAGTTGCTCATCTGGCATTCTCAATGGAAAAACCAATGGCTTGGGGTATCCACACTTTAGGAAACCTGAAGTTTGCGCAATAAGTTGCTTGGATAAGTTCTTTGTTTTTTTAACAGAGCTGGTCGCACGTCGAGCTGACTGACGTGCTGCCCCCAGTTCTGAGGGATTGTTTGACGCGTGCGACGCCTTGACATCTTGGCAAGATTCTCTGATTGGGCTGGACTTTTTTTGTCAGTACGCTTCTGGGAGCTTGCGAGCAAAAACCGCATGACCAGGACCGCAACCCCCAATTCCTGATCGACTATCTACTGGATCGTGGGTGGGTTCGCCTGGACCCCGGGAATCAACTCGAATTCCATACTGTATAAATCATAAACTGGCTGGCTCATCTTTGTTTCCCAAGGCTACCGTGGTGCAGAAGATGCCTACAGGTGGAAGAAGGTGGAAAGCCATGATCATGTCATTTCATGAAAAAGTCATGACATATCACGACGTTTCATGATCAAACATGAAAGATCTTCCATGCGAATGTCATGCCCATCCATTTTCCACCCAAGTATGCGCTCATGTGGGAAAGAACAGCTTCCGACTTGCTAGTGAAACAGGTGGCTCAGGTGAGCAGCATGTTTACTACGTATCAATTATTAGCGTAAATATGCCGTGGTATGTGCCGTGAGTGCCGTGTCAAAGGTGTAATAGGTAGTCATACGGATGGTTAGTTTTCATTGATTTCCTTGACCAAAGGGTAAGGATGGTGGTGGTTTTATTTGACTGAGTCAACATCCATGAGTGAATGTGACAACTCGAGGTCAGGGTCATAACGGCATAGTCATTAAAGAAGTTGTGAGAATCCAATGCATACCAGAAAAATCCAACTATTGATGCCTTACATGTGTATGTATCTATGTCAATGTGTACATGTGTTTGTGGAGAACAGCGGGTTTGAAGTCATCAAGCAACTTCCGTTCATCAATGATACCCCCAAACGTGTTTAAAGTTTAAAACATTTTAAGTGAATCATGAGTCCTATTCAAATTCCACGTTGGTTGCAAGAAAAAGAACGAACAATACCATTTTCTTCGAAATTGATCAAAATATGCGCAGGTCGAAATTGAAGTTCTGGGGGACGCTGATTTTGGTCCAGTTTAGTGGTAACAATCCAATTAGTTGGGTACTCCGGTGCCCCATTTTGACCCATACCCAAATTGGAGCAAACCATCCAAAAATAAACCATTTGAGTATTGAAAATGGTGACTTGGCGATCCCCAATTTTAAGAACTTCCCATACAGTTATTTATATCCTCAATATATTTCCATGATATCCAAACTGTATTCCCATATCCTTGTATATATTGCCATCATATCTCCAATTATGGTGCATAAAACCACCACATTGTGTTCGTTAAATCACTATTTCTGTTGACTACACCATGATTTTCCGGTAAGGCACTCGCAGAAAACCATCACTTTGAAACGCGCAGACAACCATCGCTTAGAACGCAGAAGATGATCCTCAGTTAGCTTGATGATCTACATGAATTTCATGTGCATTGCATACAGGACTGCATCTCGTACAATTTTCTTTGTCCTTTACATCATCTACATCACCTATATATATCATATCTACAACATATACATCCTCTACATCATCTATATCAACTTCATCTCCATCGCATGCATCATCAACATCAACATCATCAACCTCAATTTCATCAACATCACCCCCCAAACAAACCCTATTGAGCATAAGGACTCCCAAAGCAAGAGACTAGTAAGAACCATTCCAGTTGAAAGTTTTTTTGTCAGCATGATGTAAGGAAACAATCCCTAAATGGCACCTTATTCTGGTTGGTGGTTTGGAAGATGAATTTTATTTTCCCATATGTTGGGAATATATAATCATCCCAACTAACGACATATACACTGGTTATTTAACATAGCCATGGAAAATGGCCCATAGAAATAGATGCTTTACCGAACTTAAAAATGGTGATGTTCCATGGCAAACTGTTAGTCATAACCAGATGGTAACCATTAAATCACCAAAAACACCCAAAACGAAAAAAACGTCAGGCCGCCTCCGGCACCTTGGCCGTGACGGCTGCGGTTACTTGGACGAGATCGACAGCGGATGGCTTGGTGCAAAATCCCTTCATTTTGATTGGAAAATGGAGATTGAAATCAGAAAAATCGATGGGATTTCAATAAATCCTTGAAATATGTATTGTTGAAATCATCCTTTGTTGATTGAAATCAGAAAAAATGGTGATTTAATGGGATTTATAGCTGATTGTTGATAGCTAATCATGACTAGGAAAATCTACAAAGTGGGGCCACCCAGCGAAATCGCGACTGGTTGGGGTTCAAAGCATTCCAATTTCACTCTGGTTTATGGTACTTATAACTACAGATACTAGGTTTTATAAACCACATTGTGTAGTAAATTGCCCCACATAACTGCTGGGCAGCCGTAGAAAACCAACATTCACATCACTGGAGGGCCACTGTAACCAGCTAAGAATTTGCTGTGTGGGATGGATGGGTTTGATACCATGGCTTTAAGCCATGGTGAAATCATGGAAAACACATATAAAAAAAAAGAACCATTGGTAATGACGAACAGTTTGCGAACTTGAACATGGTAACATGGCCATAGAAATAGTTGATTTACCGAACTTAAAGATTGTGATGGGACCCAGTTCGCGAACTGTAAACGTTTACGAGAGGGTAAACTGATTGGTTAATCAGGGGATATTTAACAAAAATATACGGAATATATCTGACTAACTTATAACGGCCTCACTGCAAGATCCTTGGAATGAGAACTTAAGGGAATCAACCCGGAAAATGGAAATTTTCGGATCAGTGAATTATCAATGTTTCCAGATTCTCGGGTGGGGCAACTACAATCATTAGCATCACGTAAAAAAAAACATAAACATCAGCGGTTGAACGTTCAAAAAGTTCCCAGAAGTGTGGTTGTGCTTCAAAACATGTGTTCTCCTAGAATTGAAAAAACAGAGATCCTTTTAAACAAACAGGTATGCTGGTTGTTTTTTTACACCAATCAAGATCCTTGAGCAAGCATCTACTCCACCAAATCCGCAGGTCAGATGTTGTTGCGATGTGCAGTTCCAACTTCCAAGGAGAATATGTGCCATCAGATCCGCTTACACCTTGTTTTAGCAAGTCAATAGGTGATTTTCTCATACGATGGAGACAAGTAGAACCCCACCAAAGGAAAAAAAACATTATTTCAATTTCTCAACACATTTGACATTCCAGAATGAACATTCATTTTTCTTCAAATTTTGATGAAGATATTCACATATATTCACCAGATAATCACCAGACACAGCATATTTGGAGTTTCGCCTCTTGGATCCTGAGGATACCATTACCAGCTGGTCCTTGGAGGCTGCTGGATCATCCTAATGGGATTTCAAACCCTCGATAGCTGCGATAGCTAGGGGGGGGGCCCGTGGGGGGGCCCCGTTGATGAAATCGCGACAAGTTAACTATGGATAACTATGGTTTATGGTACTTCTATGTACTTATATATACTTATAACTATCGTTATTGGTTGTTGAAAATGAGCCACCAAGTAGGAAAATGGGGATTGAACTCAGAAAAGATGGTGACTTTTTATGGGATTTTAATCGCTGATTGTTGATAGCTAAGTTGGGGTTCACATAACTCCAATTTCACTATGGTTGATGGTACGCAAATAACGAACTAGTGAGTGTGGTTCATAAGCCAATTTAAAACTGGCGGGGCCATATTGCGGGATATAATGCGAACATGCTGACATCATCAAGAATCTGAAATGGGTGCGTCTAGAATCTGGAGTATCCCCTATGCTTTTCGAAAAGGTTAGAGGTTCCAATGGTAAAAAAGATGTGAAACCTTACCCATCTACATCTCCCTCGGGTCAGTTCTGACTTTACCAAGCTGACTTCACCAGAAATCATCCCAGGTATTGGTACCTCCCAGAGACCCGCAGCTTTTGACCTGGCGAAATTGTTCCTACCCTCTGGTAATTTAATAGTTTGCTATTGAACATGGCCATTTATAGTTGATTTATCCACTAAAAATGATGATTTTCCATAGTTATGTTAGTTTACCAGAGGGTACTATTTTCTTATGGGGGCGACTATTTGTTCTCAATCCCCACAAAAAGAATGGTACTAATTGGTGATGAGAGAGGAGATAGCAGGACTTGACTGTTTGGGTTTACCATCATTGATTTCCCCAACCTTTCCGCGCTATGTCCATTTCTAATTTGGGTTATGACCAGGGATGTGAAACAACCCACTAAGAAGGCCCCTCACCAGTCTCAACTGGATATCAACCATGTTTCAACTGGCATCAAGCCCACTTTCACAATGCTTAGGTGCGTACAACACAAAAGGGACCACTTACAAACTCATTGAACTAATATTTCGCAAAGTTCCATCTACTTTGACCTAGTTTTTGGCGTGGTTCCAATCCAACTCATCTATACTATTGTCCGATGTTCACTTTGCTGATGTAAGTGATGTCTGGTGTTGTTATTTATGATCATGTTATGATCATGTGACCTTTCCAGATTGCATTTGCTATGTATATGGCTTAATTTTCCAGGATGGACAATTCTTTATTGATGTAGGTGCGCAGGTTGTGTCAATGTGACATGTCACTCACTCAAAAATGTGCGTTCACTGTTCATTCATGCGTTTATTTTGGTTCATTCAGTGGTGGGATCCAAATCAACGCTTCATTTTTTTTGTCTTTTCGACTCCCACCCTCCACCTTCATGTTTTCATACCCCAGGATTTGTATCCCTCCCAGAAACTGATTGGGACGATTATAATACTTATAGGGGCCCGTTGGCCGGAAAGGTAAAGCAAAGGCTAAAGCTGCTGCCAGTGTCTTCACTCAGAACACCGATCCACCAACACCGGAGGAGGACAATACTGCCCTTGGATGGACCCTGCTGTGCAACGAGAAGAGAGCTCATCCGAAGCTACTCACACTCCGTCGCCTCGCTGAACCAAAGCAACCTAAGGAGCCTCCACATCCACTGTCATGTTTCAATTGTCCTCACCTTTGCAACTTGTCAGTTGAGTAATATGGCTTTAGTGCTTGTGGCTCATGCAGCATCTCTCCAAGAACTTCTCCAACCAGTACTGGCATTTGATCGTCTCTTACAAGATCTCCAGTCCACATTGTAAAACCTTCAAGATTTAGAGGACACTCTTGAAGACTTCCAAATTCTTGGGGGTGATTGGTGCGGTGAATCGTCTCTCCACCCAGTGACGTGTCATCCATGCTGTTCGCCTACAGCTTCGAGTCCTGGTGCAGCGCCGACGCAACCTGGAGTTCATCTGAACCTTTTTCATTCTGTTGACACACCAGTTGTGTCTCCGGTGTACATTTCCCCAATTTCTGTTGAAAGGCCCACAACTACTCAACCATCAAACATCTGTGGAGAGTATACCTGTTTGTTTCTAGTGAAGCCATCATTTTGAATTGTCAAATCCCCACAGTTAAAGCCCTGTACCACTTATAAATGATTATAAATTGCTTTTTCTATGGGATTATGGGGTTATCATTCCATCAATGGGGTGATTTCACTGACTTATAACTGGTATTTTGGGCTTTAAGTGTACATATCCATATAAATCCCATTACATCCATATCCCATGGTTTTCCTATGGTATTCCCTATGGCTTTCCATCTGCCGTTAAACCCCATCATTTTTTGCGGGGCTTCCAATCGGGCCAGGCATTCGCGGTGACTTCTTCGGGCATCTCTGCCACGCGTGCAGAGTGGCTTGGGCTCATGGTGGCTACGGCTGTGGCCCCACTTACTACAAAGGGGGGACCGTTTACGATAGCCGATACAAAGTGGGGCCCCCTAGATAGCTAAGTTGGTTTATAACTCCCATAACTATGGTTTATGGCAGATATAACTATAGTTAATGGGGGTTATAAACCAACTTATAACTGGGGGGCACCACCTTGTAGAAACCATAGGAAAATGGGGATTGAACCCAGACAAAGTGGCATTTAATGGGATTTATAGCTGATTGTTGATAGCCAAGTTGGTGAACATAACTCCAATTTCACTATGGTTTATAGTACTTACAACGAACTAATTACTGGGGCTTATAAACCAACTTATAACCATGGGGCCCCACATTGTAGGTTATATGTGAGTTTCCATACATGGTGGTACCCCAAAATGGATGATAACTGCGGGTACCCCCAATTGAGGAAACCTCCCTGGTTCTACGTGGGATTTGTAGAATTACTTCAGCCTCGCGGTGGATCAAGCTACCTACAATTTGTTTTTTTTCAATCTATCAATGAACATCATGAAGGGCTTGTTGGTGACACCAGGGATGAACCAGTGATGTTTGTTGGTTTATAAACCCTAGTAACTAGTTCGTTATTTGCGGACCATAAACCAGAGTGAAATTGGAGTTGTGTTCACCAACTTAGCTATCGTAAACGGGGCACCCACTTTGTCTCATTGCAACCACTCGGTGCAGGGTGTCCAAAATGGTCCAGCAGGGTTGGGATAGTGTCAATGACCTCTATCAGTCTGCGCCTCCAGCGCCCTATGCGGATTGATACGGACATCAAATCTAGCATATTCTAGATTCTAGAACCCACTTGAAATATGGCAGTCTCGAGTTAACTCCAGATTCCCGATCTGGGTGGATCTTCAGCACTGACTTACTGAAAATCTTTTCGAAGAAACAAATCTGCAAGAAAAAAATGTGCACGGTATATGATCGAAGGAAGTTTAGAAGTCAAACTTCCGACAATATGGAGAGGTGAAAAAGCAGTCAGCAGGGAGAAGGGTCAGAAGAGAAAAGATCAGAAGAAAGAAGATGCAGGTGCGCGAAAAGGCAGGAAAGTCGCGAAACACTGTGTTTTTTCGTGGTTTTGTGGCTCCGGAGGGTTGAAAAGTAGGCTCGCTAAAGCGGCGGGTGCGGAGACATCTGGTCATCTGGGGAGATGAGAGATGAAAAGTTGCACGCCGTTGTGGCGCGAAGCCGATTTCGAAGTGAAAAGGTAGAAAACACCTCAGCGTCGGACCACTTTGGAAGTTGAGATGTTGAAAAAGTGCACGGCGTTGTGGCGCGAAGCACATTTGGAAGTAAAATGTGTTAAAAACTGTCGGTCTCGGAGCACTTTTGGACGTTGAGATGTCGAAAAAGTGTACGGCGTTGTGGCACGAAGCACATTTGTAAGTAAAATGTGTTAAAAACTGGCGGTCTCGGAGCACTTTTTGGAAGTTGAGATGTCGAAAAAGTGCACGGCGTTGTGGCGCGAAGCACATTTCGAAGTCAAAAGTGTTAAAAACTGAGGGTCTCGGAGACATTTTGGACGTTCAGACGTTGTTTTGTGTGGTAGGTGGAGTGGATTGTGCATCCACTGAAGAGTGACTAAAACGTGAGGGTTTTGTAGCATTTTCAAAAACGATGGCAGGCGTGGGAGATTTGAAGACGATCTGCACAGATGCATTTTTCGTGGCAGGCGCAGTACAAGAGGCATCTTCAGCAGAGATGTTCGGAGCTCAAGGAGCTGATTTCCTGAGAGGGGCTGCATTTTGGCGTATCAAATCATCAGCTATGCCAAGATGCTTTTTCGTGACAGGTGCAGCATTTCGTATGACCTGGACTAACTTTTTCGTGGCAGGCGCAGTACTTTAGAGACATGGCATGGAAAAATCGCAAAACGCATTGGTACGAGGCCGTCAGCTGTACGGTCAACTTTCCATTTTTGAAGGAAGTCTCGCAGAATTGCTTCGTTTTTGATGTTTTCAACTGCAAAAAGTGAGACAGTCTCGCAGAATTGCTTCGTTTTTGATGTTGCCAACAGAAGTCTAGCAGCATTGCTTTGTTGTCGACGTGGCGGCTAGACAGATTGATCGACAGGTCAAGAGGTAGATCGAAGGACAGGTGGAGAGAGAACTTGACGGATGAAAAGACGCATAGATAGACACATAGGGAAGTAAAAAGTGTTAAAAACTGTCGGTCTCGGAGCACTTTTGGACGTTGAGATGTCGAAAAAGTGTACGGCGTTGTGGCGCGAAGCACATTTGGAAGTAAAAAGTGTTAAAAACTGGCGGTCTCGGAGCACTTTTGGAAGTTGAGATGTCGAAAAAGTGCACGGCGTTGTGGCGCGAAGCACATTTCGAAGTCAAAAGTGTTAAAAACTGAGGGGTCTCGGAGACATTTTGGACGTTCAGACGTCGTTTTGTGTGGTAGGTGGAGTGGATTGTGCATCCACTGAAAAGTGACTAAAACGGGAGGGTTTTGTGAATAAACCATTCGATCGATAGATACATGAATAGACAGGTAGATAGGTAGATGGCTAGAAAGGTAGCTCTGTAGATAGATGGCGAAAGAGAGACACAGAGAGAAAGAGAGACAGAAAGAGAGAAACACTCAATCACCTTTCAATCCATCAGTGGGTTCGCTCGGCCATTTTTGCGTCACAACAACTCACCTCTCCTATAAGTTTTCCATTTTTGAAACTTCCGCCACCGCCTTGTGCGGTACTACTGGTATATATATATATATAGTAATGGTATTTATTATAAGTGCATTTCCACTTCTAGTAATGATTTATGATACTTATAGTTATCTGGTTGGTGGTTTGGAACATTTGTCATTTTCCATTTCATATATGGGATAATCCTTCCCAACTGACTAATATTTTTCAGAGGGGTTGAAACCACCAACCAGTTATGATACTTTATTTAACATAGCCATGGAAAATGGCGCATTTATAGATGATTTTTCCAGCTATAAACATCTATTTATAAGGGATTTTCCAGTTCGCTATGTTAGTCATAACCGGATGGTAATCATATAGTAAAGGGATAAGTAGGGTTAATCCACTTATAGTTGGGGTTATAACCCACTTACTAAGTGGGATGATCCACCAAGTAATATATGATATCTCTTCAGAGTGACTCTGACGCCAAACGTCTCAGTAAGCTCTCCAGGAGCGGTCCAAAAAATTCTGGGTAAGGATCAAACAAAGTTGTTTCAATGGCCATGAGGTACCTGCCATATATAAGGCCTATATATAATGTATATATAAATGTGGATATATTATGGGGATATTCTGGGGATAATGTCTATTCTTAATGGTAAAAGATACAAATAGCATTCAATGGCCATGAATTTTAGGTACCGATTTATTGGAGGTGCCGATTCCATATACGTTCGGCCTATCTTTTAGGCCTAAATTTCAGGGAATATCCCCATAAAATGTGATCTTTTTTGGTACAGAACTAGGTCAACCTTAGATGGATACCTACTAATCCTTTAGTCTTTTGGTATTAATGGGAATATCTACCAACCAGCAAAGATTTTTTTTGCAGGGTATCTAAGATTGTCAATGAGAATATCTCAGCATTGGGATTTGCATGTTTTGTTTCTGGAACGCAAGCCAGCTTCTGAAGGGCTTAAGGCTGGTCGTAGAATTCGAGCCCAAAATATCCAATGCCCTGAATATCCCTTGAATATTGCGTACATATTACCTCAAAACCTTGGTTTAGTATTGGATCTACCATGATATATCCATTTTGGAGGTCCAAAACTTTAACTGGTCCCTTTAACTGGGAACCTCTACTTAGTCGCACATCCCAGGAAGTGTAAATGGTTTATAAGCCACATAGAGCCTATAAGTAACCCGTACATAACCCAAATATGTCATGTCTATAATATATATATACATATATATACATTAAATTATGTCTTACAAAGCTCAGTGTATTCATATATAATATTTGTATTTTTCAAATGAATATTGAACTGGGGTACAATATTAGTTACTACCCTACTTACCTGGGATGCAGCCCGAGCTCATCCAAGGACGTCCTTGAGAGTCTTCAAACCTTTCTTCGTGGAGATGCGCTTGCCATATGCCGCAGTGCGAGGTTCCGGGGGGAACCCCGGCCATTTCCCGGGTTCTCGCTCTGGAACAGGGTTTGTAGAGCGACAATCATGGCAACAATCTGGTTATGGGGGTTTCCATAAATGACGGTACACCAATAGTCAGATGGTTAATGGAAAATGCCTAGTTCAATGGATGATTGAGGGGTATCCCCATGACTTAGGAAACCATATGGGGATGGTTCAACACTTATTATTGCCATACTTCGGGGGCATAAACATTCCATGAGTCAACTGTTTTCGGGGATTCTAACCTCCCTAAGTCAGTGTGTACATATATATATGTATATATATATATCCCTACAACTAGCTGAAAATTGACAAAACTGCAGCCCAAGCAGGTTGCTGGGTAATATGTGCAGGTGCATGAAGATGGGGTACCCCAGGTAAAAAAGCCATGACAGATTGGAAAAACACTGATAAAACATTGGAATTTAGGGTAATCAAAGGTAACCTATATTTCAGAAAAACCGATAGATCTGGGAAACCAACTGGTTGGGTTTTGTAAGTTTTGTACTTTAATGTTTGGCCGTCAACAGCTGGATACAACTCCATACGATATTTATGGTAGTGAGTCTGAGATTATAGCCATCGTACATTGTATACTTGGTGGCTCATCCCCCGGCTCGTAAGTGGGTTAGTTCACCCCAGTTTTTTTGAGTGGATTAACCCTACTTATCCCATTTATAACTGGGGTTATAACCCACTTGCGATTCGTGGGTAGTTCGCCACCAAGTACCCAGATTTTTCTACGGAGATCGATTGATTGCACACCCAGTACGCGCTGCTACGGGTATCTGGGATTGCCATGATATGAATGATATGAGACATGCGGGCTCAACCGGTTCAATTATGTGATTGATTCCGCCCTGCTTGATGTTTTTTTGATCAACAATATGATACTGGTTGGTGCTTTTTAAACATTTTATGAAGTTCCATTCAGTTGGGAATGGAATAATCATCCCAACTGACGAACTCCATCATTTTTCAGAGGGGTAGGTTGATAATGTCCATACCCATGTTAGTTTACCAGAGGGTAACCCCTATAACGGTTCTATATCCATTTATAGCTGGAACTGCACTTCCAAGCACCTGCTTTTCTAGCGCTTTTCAGGGCGCTCGAGAGTTTAGACCCACTTCCTAGCCCGTTTCGCGAAGATAACATCTTCAAATTGGCACAGTTTTGGCCCTTTTGCCAGTTGTAAGTCAGTTTTAACTCCATTTAACATGATAATCCCATTCATAACCATTTAAAAGGCCCTTACTCTATGACTAACCGTCAGCAGATCCTGATGGTTGGTGGTTTGATCGAACATGGGCCAGTTGACAATGTTGATTTATGGTTGGGAGACAACTATTTAATGGAATTTCAGGATCCTAAAATGGAGGTACTGTACCATATTTTTGGCCATATTTTCTGGGGATATTCCCTTACATAGGCCTTATATAGGCCTTATATATGGTAAGTACCTCCAATTTAGGTTCCTGAAATGGCCGTTGAACTATAGTTAGTGGGGTCTATAAGCAACTTATAACTGGGGGGACCTCACTTTGCAACAAAAATGTCATAACAAACATGTTCCCAACATGTTCTAACCAGGGATATGGGAACGTAACATACCCTCTGGTAAACATACAAAAAACGATGGAAAATCACCATGTTATTAATGGGTAAATCAACGATTTCTATGTGCAATTTTCCATAGCAAACTGTTGGTTCACCAGAGGGTATATGATTACCCTCTTCTCCTTGTCCTTCTTCCTTGTCCGGTTGAGACCAGGAGAAGAATTGGAACTCATCGTGGCAGTTTTCAACTACGCTGGGGCTGGCACGCTTGATGCTCAGTTGGAGGCTGGGCGAACCCCCAGGAAAGGTAGGGTTGGAAGATGGTTTTCACATGGGGGCTTTCACAAAAAAAGGGGATCCCCACAGTTTTCATTGTTTGTCGTCGTAATCCAGAATCGTTGGGGCCCAAACTCCCAATTTATGGATGGTTTATGATGGAAAATCCTATGAAAATGCATGACTTAAGTATTATATGGCGATACAAGCAACTATATGGGGATGTCTTAAATGAGGAATCCCTAAAACCATGGGTTTCAATACACAAAAATCTAATTTGTATGATTTGGGGTACTCCCAGACTCCCAGATTTAGGAAACCTCCGTATGAGCAGTGTTTGGGGATTCTACTAATCAATATGTATTTGGTATTATCACAATATTGGGGGAATCCCTATCAACCAACCAGTATGGGACGACATAGGGTTCTGAACACTGTTTATTTGGAACTGGGCCATCGTCGGGGCTGTGATATACTATTTTGAGGTGGGTCAAGAACACGACAATAGTTGTATGAAATTGTCGTCGATCCAAACTTGACATGACGGACCCAATTGAGTAATACTTGTGGGCAGGGTTGAAAGCACGAACCGTAAAACATTGCAGCATGCAGCATGTGCCCCCTTGGAAAAAAGGTGTTGCAACTGCCAATAGATCCAAGATCCAGGGTGGATTTTGGCTGGTTCAAGGGGTCAGAACCAGCGACAACCCATCCGAAACCCAATAAAACAAGTTACTTATTCCGACTCATTCCCACGTAGCCAATTAAAAATACATGGGTGGTTTGGAACATTTTTTATTTTTCCATTCAGTTGGGAATTTCATCATCCCAACTGACGAACTCCATCATTTTTCAGAGGGGTAGGGCTCAACCACCAACCAGAAATACATTGATCCAGAGTTGAAGCCCTTTGTCCTCTGGTAAACTAACATAGCTATGGAAAATGACAATCTAAATAGTTGATTTACCCATTAAAAAAAAGGTGATTTTGATCAACAATATGATGTATGTTAAGTTTTAGACGGTAATTTCAATGGGCTCATCATTGCAGGTGACGCTTCCAGCAGAGTTGGAATTGGTGGACGGCAGCGCCACTGGTTCGCAGCGGATGGGTTGGTGGTGCTGTGAACACGATAACCACATTGGTTTATGACTCCAATAACTATGGATAACTATGGTTTATGGTACTCATATGACTTATATGTACATATAAGTATCGTTATTGGTTGTTGAAAATGAGCCACCAACTAGGAAAATGGGGAATGAACTCAGGAAAATGGTGATTTAATGGGATTTAGATTTGATTGTTGATAGCTAAGTTGGGGGCCACATAGCCATGGATAACTATGGTTTATGGTACTTATAACTATCGTATTGGGGTTGATAAACGATAAACCAACTTATAATTGGAGGGCCCCACATTGTAGGTTTGGTGGCCCTCTACTTAAAGTCTATAAGTAGGTTGAGTGTGTCTTTATAGAAAAAATGACATCTCTATATATAATTTCCATAGTTGTGATTCAACTTAAGAAGTGTAGTCCTCATCCCGAATTAGGCTTAGAAGTAGGTGAACTGGGGTGTATGGTAGATAGACCATTGTGTACCCATGGTTGGATGGATGTAGAAACTCAGATCTGGGGCCCTGGGGGCAATGGGAACTGTAATTCTTCGAAGAACATCCAAAAAAATGGGTATATCATGGATTACCCTCTGGTAATGACTAACATAGCTATTGAAGCCATGGCCAAGTCGAAATAGTGAGTTTTCCCATGAAAAAAATGGTCATTTTCCAGTTCGCTTTTTGTATGTTTACCAGAGGGTATCATGGTATAAATGGGAGAATGTCTATTGCCCAAATTTTTTGTGTGGCAACTCCAAAGATCTGGAGAAATTTTAACGACCTCATTGTTCTCCCTCACTGGAATCATGGTTAATAAGGGAAACCATCCCCAAATGGCCTTAATTCAGGTTAGTGAATTATTATAATTTTCCCAGAAAGATGGGAAGTTGGACAATGTTGGACACCTGGAAATTACTTTGAAAATTACCATCTGGTTATGACTATATAACAGTTTGCGAACTGGAAAGATCCACCCATTTTCTGCTGTTCGGTAAACCATCTATTTCGATTAGGGCCATCTATACCATGGCGAACTGTTAAATAACCAGAGGGTATATAAAACTCTGGTTGGTTACCGTTGAACATCGTCAAGCGAAACATCTTGGTGACTTCGCCCATCGAAGTCCACAGATAGAAGAAGTCTATCTTTTTGGGGACCCACTCTATCATTTTTCAGAGGGGTAGGTATACCACCAGACCATATGATATCCATATGGTCCATATATATATATATATTTATATATATATTACCATATATATATATATGTATATTACCATATATATATGTATATTCCCATATATACCATATTAGATTCCCATATGCTAGGTCAATTTTAGATGAATACCTACTAATCCTTTAGTCTTTTGCTATGAAAATGGGAATTTCTACGTTCACCAGCAAAGAATTTGGTCCATTTTTTGCAGGGTATCTGGCTGATTGGCAATGTATCCACATACTTGTCTGAGCCCAAATTGAGGTGGCCATTTTTGGAAATCTTAAAACAATGCTGAAATGCAGGGGTTGGTAACTGTCCCATTTTTGGGAATATTGGACATCACCTTATAGTAGCCATTGACCATATACCTAATGGTTGGGTGATGTTCAATGGGGACATTTAATGACCCATGAAATGTGCGGTCCCAATGTTGATTCTACTGCACGTTTCCCATTTTTGCAGGGTGAACTTCTGTGGCCGCGAACGGATTCCTGAGGAAAGAATTGGGAATCTTACGCCCCAACACCAAGACCTCTACTAAGACCACAGCTGAAAGAGTGGTGCCCATTTTCCAACTATTTTTGCTACCGACATGAGACGTAATTCTACGTATATCTAATTCAAGATACTCTAACTATAGAACCTTTACACCTGTTAAATAATTAATGTTATTGTAAGAAATAAACAATAGAATAACAACCTATACAACTGTTAAATTATTGTTAGTTATTTAACCAAGCTTTACTCTAACTATAGAACCTTTACAATGGTTAGATATTGTTATTAAGCCTACATGATATTTAAATAACAAATATTGGTTGAACATACAAGATGTTATGGTTTAAACCCATGCTGGGATGGTTTTAGAAATACCATCATATTGCTATTAAATAGTGCTACCCTCTGGTAAACAAACAGTTTGCTATTGAAAATGGCCATAGAAATTGTGAGTTTTCCCATTAAACATAGTGAGGATCGTTTTTTGTATGTTTACCAGAGGGTATGTCCTGTTTAACCGGGTCAAAAATCGGGTTATGATATGGTTATCATTCCCAAAATACTATTGAATCTATTCGTTTCAGGCTACATGATTTGATTAACCATTATTAACCATTACTAACCACATTATTTGCCATTATTCACCATTATTAACCATTATTAAGCTGTTAAACCTGAATCTGAGCTGTCTGAGCTCGACAACTGCTTGGTCAAATTCCAACAGTTTCCAACCGAAAAAACGGCCGAGGTCATTTCCGGTCATCCCAGCATGCGGAAAAACACAAACCAAAAAAAATGTGTTGGCAAAAGCCATGTATGTATTGTTGAACTTTGTTTCTTACCATATATATATATATTTGTATATGTATATATTGTATATATATTGTATATATTGTGTATATATTGTGTATATATTGTGTATATATTGTGTATATATTGTGTATATATTGTGTATATATTGTGTATATATTGTGTATATATATATTGTATATTTATATATTTACACATATTTATATTGTATATATATATGTGTGTGTGACCTCACTCATAGTTTTGTAGTATTGGAAAAAATATACATATTACGGCTTTGGCAGAAGCACTGAGTTCCACCGGTGCGATGGCTGTGTACCTCGAGTACAAGGATTTGTTCGACGAAGACATGTTGCACAGAATGATGGAAGGCGGCATTTCTATGGACTGGAATGTGAGAACTGGACTACCAGCTGAAGCAGTCGGCACGACCACGAGGATGGCAGTTCAACAAGATTGGCGTTCATCAGTTCGTAACAGAATGGTGATGAATGGTGGAAGCACAGAACTCTATCTACTTGGTGGCTCATCCCACTTAGTAAGTGGGTTAGTTCACCCCAGTTATAAGTGGATTAACCCTACTTACCCCATTTATAACTGGGGTCATAACCCACTTACGATTCGTGGGTAGTTCGCCACCAAGTAGATACAGCATGCATTGAAAATGTTACAGAAGCTGAATCCCCCTGATCTCCAGGTCTCCCCGCTTGTGAACTCTTGAAGTCTGCGATGCCGATGATACAATACGTGGGGCCCCCGTGGCCACGAAATCGCTAGGTTGGTTGGTGAACATAACTCCAATAACTATATTTTATGGTACTTATAACTATAGTTTATGGTACTTATAACGAACTAGAACTATAGTTCTTGGGGCGAATCTAAACCAACATTCACATCACTGGGGGGGCACCACCTTGTACATGTACGGCTACAGTGCCGAATTCATTCTAACTTGCCATGGCCGCAGCCCAAAACTCAGGCGACAACGCAGCTCTCGGTTCCTGAGAATCAAGCCACGCGGGCCTTTCTGCGAGTACGTCCCAAGGTGGGCTCCCAAGGGAAAACCACAGGAAAAATGGCAATTTAACTAACACAGATATGTGAGTTTAATGGGATTTTTACATATATATATACACAAATACATATATGTATGTATCACATATTTATATGTATATCATATATATATATGTATAGATAAATTTAATATAGTTTATTTGTGATAGCTAAGTTTACATATCTGGGTGAATTCTTTGGTGTATGGGTTTTAGCATGGGGTTTATAAACCAACTTTTTACTGGGAGGCCTCGCCTGACAAGATAACGTCCTAATTGAACATCACCCAACTGGGGATAATACAATGTGGTGCCCCCAAGATAGCTAAGTTGGTTTATAACTCTAATAACTAGGACTTATGGTAGATATATCTATAGTTAATGGGATTATAAACCAACTTATAACTGGGGGGCACCACCTTGTATCTCCAACAGCGTTTCAAGTGATGTTCAAAATCCCAAAAGATGGACATGTACCAAGCCCTGCTGTTTCAAGTGATGCTGAGATTTTTGCTGGTGATTTTCACCATCAACAAAGGACCCTTTAGGATGAAAATGGATGAAACATGTGAAACACATGGGTTGTACCATCAGACATGTAGGTTTTGGGAACTAAAACTGCTCAAGTGGCTTTGTGAGACGTGTTTATTTCCTAATTATTCGACATGCAGTTGCATCCTTCGAAAAAGGACAACCTCAGGATGGGAATAGATCAGGATTACTACCATGTGTATATCTCCGAATAAATAAAGCTAAAGCCCCAAGTATGCAAAAACAACTATGGGCCCAAGACCATTTCAGAAACCTACAATGAAACATCATGTTGTCAGAAATGGTTGCCTCTAATGAGGTATGAGGAATAAGCGTGACGAACGGTACCAGTAGTCTATGGCTGGATGCAGACCGTGGGATGCTGTGGCGACGGTGGTTTCCCACAAGCGGTGGAATCCAAAAGAGGTTGGATGTCCAGGTAAAGGAACTCAAGAAGTCACAGAATCCTATCTGGTTGGTGGTTTGGAACATGAATTTTCCTGGTTAATCTATGGTTAATCTATGGTTTATAATGGTTAATAATTGGAATAACAATATATCTGGTTGGTGGTGACTGGAACCATGGAATTTTATGACTTTCCAGAAACAGGTGGGAATTTCCATCAATCCCAGCTGACGAAGTCCATCATTTTTCAGATGGGTAGGGCTCAACCACCAACCAGATATCAAACTGGAGAAACTTAGCTCAGAAAGTCGACTGGAATGTGCTTCGAATCGGAGGATGTTCCTCCGGAAGATGACACTGGACAATGTTTAAACACGTTTTGGTTTTGAGCCCACAAATCGGGGTCAATCTTACATGGATTAATGGGAATATCTACGTTCACCAGCAAAGAATTTGTCATTTTTTGCAGGGTATCTGGCTGATTGGCAATGAAAGTTTTAAAAGAAACCTATGTTGTTTGGGTTAGGGCCCACAAGCTGAACAAGTAAGCGGCATACAATTTACAACAAGTTTCTGGCCTGGCTCAACATGTAAGGAAACCTGGTTCTACATGCCTGCCCCCAAAGAAGTGACCCACAGGGACATAACATCAGAGTCGACAAAACTTAGCGCTACAACGTCAGTAGAGTCTGATCTTCAAGCACTGACGTCAGAGATAGGGTTCATGAGACTTGGGGTGCCATGCCAGCTATTTCTGATGCATCTGCAGCAGGGTCCAAGACTATCTTGGAATCTTTGGGGAAGGCTAGGAGTTCAGAAACTTTAGCTTATATCCCTCATAAAAAGGGTTGCTATATCCCCCCACTTCCAAAACCAATCCAGACCGATGTGAGAGTGATGTTTGTCTGCAGAAAAACCCATGGTGTAGGTCAATCCCCTTGTATTTGTGCAAGTAAAGCACCGATATAATTCCCAAATGCCTCCCTTAGAATTTCCGTCTGATGTTGTTGACATCAGTTGCACGATATCAAGCCCTAAACCCCAATCTTAATGGGTAATGTTTAATTAATACTTACGAATATCTTGGGTTTTTTGTCCTCTCAATATTAACTCCCACGTAATATCCCAATTTCAATCGATAGATACGTACTTACATGCATACATACAGACACGCAAACATATATATATATATATATCATACATATATATATAAATATATATGTATAATATATTTATATAATATGTGTATGGTCATATATATATATATTGGTAGATAGATAGATAGATAGATACATAGATAGATAGATAGATAGATAGATACACCAATAACTCCACAGATCCCTAGAAAAAAGTGGCGATCGCCTTTCCAAACGCCAGGCCTTGGGCAGTTGGCAGATTTTGTGCAGCGCCAGTGCGGCCGCGTTCAGCGATGCCATGCGGAAGAGCTTGTTGGTGAAAGCCGAGGCGCGCCGGGCATGGGGAAATTTCACAGCGGAACGCTGCTGACGTAAAGGTAAACGTATTGTTACTGGATGGTAACTCATAGGTATAACATGAATATATTTAAATATCTACTGGTTGGTGGTTTGGAACATGAAATCTATTTTTCCATCTATTGGGAATTTCATCATCCCAACTGACTTTCACTCCATCATTTTTCAGATGGGTAGGGCTCAACCACCAACATTACAATAAAGTCATAATCCAACGGAGAACATTGTCATTTACCAAGCTTTGGGGGAGTGGCCAGCCACAACGTTTTTCATGACTGACTAGCCACAACCACGCTGGCAGGGCATTCCTGTTAGCATCACTGAGACGATTCTGGTGGATTTGACAGGCACGGTGGATGTGTTTTCTTCAAAGATGGGGAACCCATGAACTCGATTGGTTTTGAGAAACAGATCTTATTTCCCATATATGCACATATACATATATATGTATATGTATATATATATATAGATGTATGTATGTATATGTATATATAGATGTATATATGTATATATGTGTATATGTATATATATATATATGTATGTGTATGTATGTATGTATGTATGTATATATGTATATATATATGTGTATATGTATATGTATATATATATATGTATATGTATATATATATGTGTATATATGTATTTATGTATATATAAATATATGTATGTGTATGTATGCATATATATATATGTATATGTATATATATATATGTATATGTATATATATATGTATATATACAGAATCGTCCACCTTAACGTGGCTATAAATTTGGGGCCTATCCATTCTTTGGACAGACATGAATACTGTGAGCAGCAGGCAGAGTCATCAGGCAGCAACCGCTCCAAAAGAGCTCGAGACGTTTAGGTGAGGCTGAAAGGGAAACGATCGAACATATGGATTTCATGGCATTTGTATAGATATGTAGCTGATTTGTGATAGCTAAGTTGATGCAAACTTGATTGACCATGGCGTATGGGGATATAACTACAGTTAACGGGATTTATAGCCCAACTTACAACTAGGGGGCATCACCTATGCCCTATGCAAAAAATCTGCCCAAACATTCATGTGAGTCCAGAGGGGTTTACCCATGACCCATAGCTGACAGTCCCAGGCACTGCCAATTCCTTTGAAGCGACCAAGACCTTGACCCTCCCAAGCAATGCTGTGGATGGTTCCGCTGCTCTTAGCGTTGCCCGGTGGAACGGTCGAACTTCGAGGGTGGCACCGGGCTGTCTAAATGATATGGGGCTTAACGGCTAAACACCTGTGAACACCCATGGGGGATGCTGTGAATCATCTGCAATGATGGGTAACATTTTTTAAATGTTTATCAGTTCTTCTAGCGTAATAAAAGCTGTTGGTCTAGGAACGAATCCTACTTTTCGGCCGGGAAGAATTGAGTATAGATTATCTGTACCCTCGTGTAATCAAACATGGCAATGCAAATTCCCCATGTGTAGATGATTGTCCCATTAAATCCATGGTAGATACAGAGCTGTTCATTTCCATCTTGGATGTCGGAAGAGGTCTAAAGGACGACCTGTTGATGGGTATCAGCCATGTTGGCTCGCTCAATTGTCATGAATCTGAAGATGCTCTTAATGTGAAGACGTCCGTTATACATATAATATACACATCATATCCATATATATATATGTATGTATATATATACATATATATACATATATATATATATCTATACATATATACATATATATATATACATATGTATATATATATATGGAAATTAAGCAAACCATCGTAACATTAAGAACTGGACATGTTTGGGTTTTCAAGTGTTTTTTTCATGATCACGACCCAGAGCTGACCAACTAAGAATACTGTAGATGTTTTCCTGGTTTCCATGGTCAAACTTAGATGAACTGAAGAACATAGTTTTGCTGGTTAATAGATCCCCAATTACAGCTATTCATAGCAGAGGATTAGTATTGAACTACTGATAATCAAACACGGTTTCCCCTAAAAGTCTTCTTCTTTGTTAGATCATTTTCCCATTCAATGCCTAGGAACCTGTGCGATTTCGCCGTGGTAGATGACGCTTCGAGGGTAGCCACGGTTCCCCAAGCCATCCCAGGTAACAGTGGTGGGTGATTTGTTAGGCCCCAGCATTCGCGGCCTGGACCGATTGCTTCAAATCCCCACAGGCTGGGGTCCAATTCTGGGTTGGATGGATATGGATGGATTGCTGGTTGGTGGTTTGGAACATCTTTTATTTTCCCCAATAGGTGGGAATAATCATCCCAACTGACTAGTATTTCTCAGAGGGGTTGAAACCACCAACCAAATTGTTTCTTGCAACATCTTTGAAATTATGCTATTGCTATAGATTGGTATATACATATTCTAAGCAGTATTTCTTTGTGGCAGGTGTGTATAAAAGATGGGAGATTGATTTTTGCATGTTTGGAAGTTCCAATTTCATATTTCCAATTTGGCGGTGGCTAATCCCTTCTTCCTATTACTAAACCCCCTCCTAATACTAAAAACTAGTGTCCATCTCCAATTTTTGAAAATTTCAGATTGGCCAATTTGATTTTTAATTGATCCCCTTTAGAAAACAATTTAAAAATCAACGTACCATTTGTGGGTTTCCCCCCTTAATACTAAAAACTAGTCAACCCCGGGGTGTTTAGTATTAGGGGGAACCTTCGAAATCCCATTTTTGGCAATATGTTAATTGCGTTATATAAAGAAATTTAAGTGATTTTGAGATCGGAAAAAATAGTTTTTGTTATTAAGGGTTTTAATTTAGTATTAGGGGGAATCTTCGAAATCCCATTTTTGGCTATATTTTAATTGCGTTATATAAAGAAATTTAATTGATTTTTAATCCCTTCCTCCATTATAATGCATGAATAACATGACTTCGATTTGGTTCCCTAATAATAAATACCACCCTAATACAGTACTAAAAACTACTTGCAGTGTTTATTATTAGGGGGGGACGTTTAGTATTAGGGAGAAGGGATTAGTCTTGAGCCATGCTACGTGGTGCTCAGACATATAAATGGGATAAGGAGCGGGTTAATCCACTTATAATTGGGGTGCACTAACGCACTTACGATTCGTGGGATGAGCCACCAAGTACCTTATTAAAGCCCTATATTTGATGGTAAAAACCATGGTTTCCTGTAGATTTTCCCTTAAACCAACCCAATGAACCTAGCATTGTCTGGTAAATTTAAGGCTCCCTGGTGATCTGGCTTCAGTGGCTTCAGGCTGTGGTGAGCAGAACATGATCACTTTGGCACCCAACGTCTACGTGGCAAAGTACTTGTTGGCCACCAGCAAGATGACGCTGGGATGGTGAAAGACATAGATGTCCTTTTCCCATTGGAAAATCACAATTTTCAAGTGCGGTAAACCATCTATAAATGGACCATTTTCCATGGCTATGTTAAATAACCAGAGGGTAACTTTTCTAATCCAGTTTTGGTGGTTTGGAACATTTTTATTTTTCCATATATTGGGAATTTCATCATCCCAACTGACGAACTCATATTTTTCAGAGGCGTAGGTATACCACCAACCAGCAATTAAACGGCCCCCGTTTACGATAGCTAAGTTGGTAAAAAAAGGCCCCAGTAACTAGTTCGTTATGGTATGGTATAGTCCCTATAAAGCCTGGTGAAATTGGAGTTATAAGCCTACTTACCTTATGTTCGTTGGTTTATAAGCCCCAGTAACTAGTTCGTTATTTGCTTACCATAAATATATATTAACTATACATATATATATATATACATCCATTCTATTCCTAAGACATTTTCTGGATCAACCCCAGTAACTAGTTCATAAGTACCATAAACCATAGTGAAATTGGAGTTATGTGGCCCCCAACTTAGCTATCGTTTGGGGCACCCACTTTGTAGGTGAAGATTGAAACTTTTAGGGTTGAAGTGGGTTTAATGGTGAATGAAAAGCTGACATTCTACCATGAAATAATTAAAAACTAAAATGTTTAACGGTGTAGTGGTTTAGTCATTATATTCGGTGATTCCAGAGATGGAAGCGACATTATTTTATGAGAATCAAGTTTGAATGTGTTTAGTAAACTAAAATGGTTAAGTGATACTTGATGCATCTTCTAATTAATGGTTAATTCATAGTTAATGGCTAAAATATGGGATATTACGCTTCGCTAATCAAACATGGCAATTGAAAATCCGCCATTGATAAATGATGTTTCCAGCTAGAAACCATTGAAAATGACCATTTATAGTTGATTTACCCATTAAAAATTGTGATTTTCCATAGCTTTTTGTATGTTTACCAGAGGGTAGTGGAACTACGATGATAATGGGATACAACATGGGTATAGTTTCAACCAATCTGATTACCCTTTTATAATCAAACATGGCTGGAAAATCGTCCAATTTGTTCGATGGGTTGTTGCATTTAAATGCGTATTTGGTTCGTTATATTACCAGGGTAGGTAGGTGATAATACCGTACATGTCATAGATGTTCATAGAACAACAAAATAAATGTTCCAAACTACCCCGTAGACATTGTTTGGATAGTAAAATGAGATTGGATTTAAGTATATATTTTTTTCAAAATGAGATTGGATTTAAGTATATATTTTTTTTGTTCTTTCTGTGCGATTTGAAGCTCAGCTGCTCGCCAACGTGACACTTGGAATTCCGATGCAATCTTACATGGGCCTTTGCATGTCTCTGAGGCACCCACCTTGCGATGTATATATATTGACATATAATAATCATGTATACTCATAATTCTTATACTATATTGGGTTCATGTCGTTTCTTGTCTCGTCTCCCCTGAAGTTGTCCCAGGTCGGTGTGCCGTGGGGAAGTGTGTATAAAAGATATATATGATATGTTTATCCCATTGGATCATTGCTTATTGTAAGACCACAAAACGCATGAAGTAGAATTTATTATAGGAACCATGGGAATGTAACGTCGATCACATCCAAGTTTGTATGTTGAAAATGCCATGACACTTGGTGTGCCATGCGGAGGATGATCGTTCTGACTGTTCAAACAGGCGGAAGATTATTGATGTCTGGCATAAGCGATGTGCCATGCGGCTGGCGCAAGTTCTAGTAAATGGCGCAGGATCACGCCGGGGCTCGTACCGAAATCAAACGAATCCATGCCCAGAGTCATGACAAGAGAATGGGGCGTGTGCTGCAGAATTGGTTACTTTTCTCATTTGGATGGAAAGCAGCTGTTTTGCTGTCAATGCGTGTGTGCCAATGGCGGTTGCCCACTTTCAACATGGTTTTATCACCAAAGGAGATGGTATTAAATATGTGGGTCGCAATGGCACGGACACATTTTACATATTTTGTTTGCCAAACCAACGGTGGCGTGGTACTAGTGTGCCAATAGGATTTGGCCCCTGGGGTAACTTCCAGATGGCCTGGGGTAACCTTGTGTGCCATTGGGATGGGGTAACTTCTGGGTGCCTGGGGTAAGAAACAACGTCCGCCCAGTATGTCTAACAATGTGTATTACATATATATATATATAGAGAGAGAGAGAGATGATTATATTATCTACCATAGACATGCCTAAGCTACTGATCATCTCTTGACTTCGGGGTGTCACAAAGTCGTGGACGCATGGCTTTTTACCCGAGGCCGCCTTCATCTCAGTGTACTGGCCCTGTAAAATCCAAAATCAGATGGTTTTATACTGTTTTATAGACCTATAGTTATCGAATCCTTCATGAATCTAGAGAACCTATGATCTATTAAGAAACCATTATAATCTATAATTCCCTCATGAAGCCTATTTTTACAATGTGGGCCCCCCAGTTATAAGTTGGTTTAGAAATCCCAGTAAGTATCCTTGTTTTTGTACCATAAACCATAGTGAAATGGACTTCTTTGGCCAACCAATCGCGATGACTCATGGCCTCACGGAGGCCCCACTTTGTCGGTGGCTCGTCCCAATAGGTGGGTCATCGAGTCATCGCGGCGCTGCCGTTGGGATTCGTGAGGAGCTCATCCACAAACCCCTAACTCAACTTCTTTCGCACATCCCACACCCCAACAGCGATCCTTCAACCGCAGCGATCCGATGATGGATGAGAGCTGTTAACTACTGTCAATTGTGGCCCGGCCGCGGCCCCAACATCTCAGCATGTCGCCCTAGTACTTGCGAAGGATGATCAGTCCTGCAAAATCCGGGAGGATGAGTGGATCAGAATGTACCACTACCGAGGAAGTGGGAACTCGCAAAGAATGGGTCGTACATGACCGCAGCAATGCTCGGCATGCTGGGGGTTACCATTTACATCTATATATATAGGAAAATGGCAATTTCATGGACCATCAATCGGGATTTGATAAGATCATATGTAGATGCGACCATCTATAAATCTAAAATCAGATGGCTTTACCTTTTGGTAATTTGTTACTTCTGGAAGCCATGGACCATAGAAACAAATGATTTATATGCCTATTCGAAATTGTGTTGTCTATAGCAAATTCTGAGCTTACCAGAGGGTAACTCATACTTCATGACCAAAAGAAGGAACAAAAAAAATGCGCATTTGAGGGGTCGTTTTAAAAAGTCCTTGTGGATTTTGAACATTCCCTTCAACAAAACAGTAGCTGCTGGAGATGATATTCCATTGTTTCAATGGCCGTGCAACAGGTACCGATTTATTGGAGGTAGCTACCATATATAAGGCTTATTTGTTAGGTCTATGTAAGGGAATATCCCCATAAAATATAATCTTATATGGTACAGTACCTCCATTTTAGGATCCTGAATTTCCCATTGATCGTGAGTTGGGTGACCTGGGTGATGTGAAAACGTGGGACATTCGCCAAGCCCTGCTTGATCTGAAACTTTGCAACGATGGGCCATCAGTTTTACCAACTCCCCGCCCATATCGATGGTGGAATTGGTGATTGCTACTTTGTTGGGATCATCTCTGAATTCGAGAAATGGTTGTTGAAAGCGCTGCTTATTTGCTAGGTCTAACCGTTATAACCGGTGTAAACCCATTTCGGATGATGTAAACGACCCAAACCAAACCGTGGTTCATGTTCATGAGCGTGTTCTTTTCAAATTATCCAGGTCGTACCTTAAATTGTACAAGTCTTCTACCAACTATAGGCTACAGGCCGCTACCATGGCCAACCATGATTTCCAACCTATGACCGTCGGCAAAAAACCTGAGGACGCCCGATTTGCGCGAACGTGTGGTGAATAACATGGTGGTGGGTTTCTTGTAGAGAAACGATCTTTGGGGTGGGAGTCCTGGGAGTTAATGGAAACTGATATGCCATTTAACTATATTTAACTAACCAAAATGGTGGTTTAATATGGATATACTGGGATACAATGGAGATATCATGGGATATGAAGGGGATATAATGAGATATACCCTCCTACAGTAGATGGACAAAAAAATCAAGCCTACAGACATCTACCAAGTAAAACCCCACACCCCAAATTTCAATGTTGAACAAAACTCTATCTAACTTCCTCCGTGTTCAGGGTTTGATTGTTTTTGTCCACCGGTGCCAAGCGCAGCCCAAAGACAACATTGAAATTTGGGGGTGCGGGGGTTGACAACAATACAGCAAGGGTTTGATTTCATCGTCCATCTACGGTATGTCATCATCGCCATGGCTTGCTAGAAAATCTCTCATTGAGTTTGATGATTTGTCCAGCTAGAAAAATGCCATTTATCATGGATTTCCCAGCTTGCCACGTTTGATTGCCGAAGGGTGCGGGTATACCCCATAAATCCCCATAATAATGACGTTATATATAAACGGGAAAAAGAGTGGTAAATCGTGGTAAAGAATCAGCAACTCGTGCGGCTACCCTTGCTTAGGTTTGGCTGTCTCATGGTCAGTGGTACGTATCAAGGGATTGCCTACAGTCCTATTTAAAAAGATCCAAAAAGGGTGGGGATGATCAGCCTCAACTGATGTGTTCTGGTGGAATTTCTATGGCTGCTCGGCATTTTGCATTTTTTGAATTTGACGACATTTTCTGGGGGTTCAAAGCTTGCCATGTCATGTCCCTGTTCATATCTGGCTGGTGGTTTGGAAATTGTTTATTGTCCATATATTGGGAACAATAATCCCATTTGACTTTCATATTTTTCAGAGGGGTAGGTATACCACCAACCAGTTATAAATGGCTATTTCTATAGGGTTATAATTCCATATAATTCCATACATGGGGTGATTGTGTTTGCTCCAAACGTTACATATCCCCAAAATTTCTGGGTTTTGAAATGATCCGAAGAGCCCATCATGACGTGAAAAAACGGTGTGTAAAACCCAGCGCCAAAGTTATAAGTTGGTTTATAATCCCCAGTAACTATAGTTAGTTTTGTACCATAAACCATAGTGAAATTGGAGTTATAAACCAACTTAGCTATCGTAAACGGGGGCCCCACTTTGTAATACTATCCAGGAAGGAATGCGGCTGGGTTTTAAACTTTAAACTTTAAGCAATCTACATAATCTACATCACTGCTCGAAAGAATATCCTAATTGAATACAGTCTTGGGATGGGAGACTGTGAAAACATCATCCAATATTACTTGATGAGTGCCATCACACATTTTTTTGCTATCTACATAGAGATTCAACCTTGCGACTCAGCGACTCCACCGTAGGGCCACGAAGTGGTTTGTGATAGCCCAAAGCTGATGGCTTCATATGACCATGTCTTGGATCTACCCATATTGGATTACACCCACTATACCTGTTGTTATAAAATGTTATCAATACCTTTTGCTGCACCTTTGGCTACACCATTTTTTTACCCATTCTAGTAACCCAAAAAGATAGAAAAGTTGTAATTTCTCAATTTCTCACTAGTTTTAGTGACTTTAGTCGGATTTGACCAGTTTCTACCTTTGTGGGGCCCTAAACCCTAAACCCTTGAATGGATCACCCCATGCAACGGTGTTTTTGCAAGTCATCAGTGGGTTCTTCCCGTTTTTGATGGGAATCTGATGGTCCCAATTTTATGGTTTGAAATATGGGCCATACCAATCCAAACATCTATGATTACTATGATAACTATGGTTACCAGTAGTACCGCACAAGGCGGTGGCGGAAGTTTCAAAAATAGGAAACCTATAGGAGCGGTTGGTGGTTGTGAACCAGGGATGGCAGAGCGAAGCCACTGATGGACCGAAAGGTGCTTGAGGCCTCCTCTCTTTCTCTCTCTTTCTCTGACTATCTATCTATGTATCTATGCGTCTATGTATCTATGTATCTATGTATCTATCTACCTATCTATCTATCTATCTATCGATCTGTCTATCTATCTATGTAACTTTCTATCTATCTATCTATCTATCTACCTATCTATCTGTCTATCTGTTTATCTATCTATCTATCTATCTATCTATCTATCTATCTATCGATCTATCTATCTATCTATCTCTCTCTCTTTCATCTAATTACCTATCTATCTATCTATCTACCTATCTATCTATCTATTGATGTATCTATCTATCTATCTATCTATCTATCTATCTATCTATCTATCTATCTATCTATCTATCTCTCTCTCTCTTTCATCTAATTATCTATCTATCTGTCTATCTATCTATCTATCTATCTATCGATCTATTGTAGTTGTAGTTGTTGTGGTTGGTGTTGTTGTTGTTGTTGTTGTTTGTTGTTGTTGTTTGTTGTTGTTGTTGTTGTTGTTGCTGCTGTTGCTGTTGCTGTTGCTGTTGCTGTTGCTGTTGTCGTCGAGGTTAGGGTAGTTAAGTTAGTTAAGTTAGTCAAGTTAGGTAAGTTAATCAATGTCTACTTTTTCGACATCTTCACGTCAAAAAAGGCTCAAAACCCTCAGTTTTTTACACTTTTGACTTCGAAATGTGCTTCGCGCCACAACGGCGTGCACTTTTTCGACACTTTTTCGACATCTGAACCTCCAAAAGTGGTCCGAGACCGTCAGTTTTTAACACTTTTGACTTGGAAATGTGCTTCGCGCCACAACGGCGTGCACTTTTTGGACATCTCAACTTCCAAAAGTGGTCCGACGCTGGTGTGCTTTGTACATTTTGACTTCAAAATGTGCTTCGCGCCACAACGGCGTGCAATTTTTCATCTCTCATCTGGCCAGCTGCCTCCGCACCCGCCGCTTTAGCGACCTACTTTTCGAGCCTCCGGAGCCCCAAATCATTGGAAAAACACAGTGTTTCGCGACTTTCCTACCTTTTCGCGCATCTGCATCTTCTTTCTTCTGACTCTTTCTCTTCTACTCTTCTCTCTTCCAATCTTTCTCTTCTCTCTGCCTCTGCCCTGCTCTGCTTTTCATCTGTCCATATTGTCGGAAGTTTGACTTCTAAACTTCCTTCGAATAGTGGATAATAGATGATATCTATGGTGAATAGATGATAACTAGGGTAATTTAACATAGCGAACTGGAAAATCACCATGCTATTCATGGGCAAATCAACTATAGATGGCCATTTACTTTGCCCGTGCTCTATCTTATCCTAAGTTTGGTATGTGCTGTCACGCCAGCACATCCTTTTGCCTCATGGTATTGACATCAATCAATGGGAATTTCAGGATCCTAAATCCAATACATGGAGGTTCTGTACCACATAAGGCCATATGTTGAGGGGATATTCCCTTACATAGGCCTAAAAAAATAGGCCTTATATATGGAATCGGTACCTCCAATTTAGGTTCCTGAAATGGCAATTGATTTAATCCATGTTCGTTTCTTGAACTGGATATACCCAGTTTATGTATGGTTTATCATGGAAAATCCGAAACTGAAATGGATGATTTGGGGGTACCCCCGATGACTTTGGAAACCTCCATATCTAGAAATGGGTGGACTAACTATGGTTGCTATATTGCCAGTTGGAATCCAGGGGATTATTCCCCAAGTCCCTCATTTATTTACATGTATAAGTATACAACGTGGGGCTCCCCAGTGATGTTTGTTGGTTTATAATCCCCAGTAACTATAGTTAATTTTGTACCATAAACCATAGTTATTGGAGTTATGTTCACCAACTTAGCGATTTCGTTTAAGGGGGCCCCACTTTGTAGCATTATATAATGATAATATAATATCCCTGGCCCATGAGTCAAGAGGAAAACAGCTCCACTGATGGGAAGTTGGAAAAACTGCCAAATCGATACACTGCCAAAACAAGGGCAGTGAAGTGAGGCCTGGAATCCTGGTTGATACCCAAAATACGGGCCAAACATCTGTCTGCGGCCACACCAACAAGCCTCTTAGAGGGGAAGCAAGGGGTATACCATTATATCCCATAATTCCATAAGTTGTATGTATGTATATATATATATTTATATTGTGTACATGGCTTATATTCCATAGATCGGAAAACGGTCATAACTCGTTGGTGTTTTTAACTCCAACATGATGATAACTGGGCAGGTTATGGCCGCGAATTGACGTACCGCCATGATGACGGTTCCTTCAGCGCCTTTGGGAAGTGTCTCGACCGCTGGGAGAGAATGCTGTCATATGCTGTCATAGTTCAGAACTGGGATAATGATAGGGGATAATGATAGGGTATACCATCAAATTTAGCCATTTTGAATATGGAACATTAATATGGGAAAATTATGATCATCCCATTTTGTATCTATTGAAATGGGGGATAATGTGGGTAAAACAATGCCATTTTTACCACCCATGACTGGGAATGGTAAACATACCAGCTGTAAAAAACGATGATGACTGGGGGATGGTTTATGAAATTCTTCTACCCACATTAGTAGATGAAGCAACATTTTGATGGTTGTTTTTCAGTTGTTTGGGAAGAAACATTGTAGTTTAACCGAACAAAAAACGATGCTGGTTCAGAAGATCATGTTTTTGTCTTTTGAGTGGCCATGAAATTGAGAGGTTTTCCATAGTTTTGGGCAAGCCACACTCAATGTTCCTCTCTTTTTTTCCGGATTGTGATGCCACTGTATTAAGCAAGTCTGTTTCACACATGTTTGTCGTCCGACATTTGAGGGTGTTGAGTGACTCTTTTATCCATTGTGTGGAGTTGTTTCTCATGTCATCCAAAACCTTGGTGGTGTAAAAGATATGTCCGGGATTGGGTCATAAGAACCCATGCAAGTGCACCCTGGATTGTGTGGATGTTGACATCCGAAGCTTAGACTCCAATGAGTCTTACTGGTGCGAAACGTAGGGAATGGATGGGTTGCTGGGGGTTGCTGGGATTATTATTGATAGTTATTGTCGTGGATCATTCCCTCATTCCCTACGTAAAACGCACCAGTAAGATGGGTGTAGTCCATTGCAACCTCATCTGATTGGTGGTTTGGAACATGAATTTTACTTGGTGGCTCATCCCACTTAGTAAGTGGGTTATAACCCCAGTTATAAATGGGATAAGTAGGGTTAATCCACTTATAACTGGGGTGAACTAACCCACTTACTAAGTGGGATGAGCCACCAAGTATGAATTTCCATATACTGGGAATTTCATCATCCCAACTGACCAATATGTTTCAGAGGGGTGGGTATACCACCAACCAGCTGTATGCCCTTTGGGCTCTTTGTGGATTCTGGGGGATACAATACGTGGAGCCCCTGGAAAGGCCACGAGTTATCGCGACAAGTTGGGGTTCATAAAACTCCAATTTCACTACAGTTATGGCCATTTATTAGTTATAACTGGTGATAAATGGGATTATACATTCTATAAATAGGGTTATAAGTACTTATAACTGGTATTTCGGCCCTTAACTGTATGGTTTATGGTACGCAAATAACATCTTATAACTATAGTTACTGGGGGGGTTGGTCAATAATTCTGATAACTATGGTTTAGTGTACAAAATTAACTATAGTTACTGGGGATAATAAACCAACAAACATCACTGGGGGGGCCACATTGTATGATTCATAAATTGGGATGTGGCCACCACAGGACAATGATGCCCATGTTGGCCAAGTCAGCCTTGTGTCGGCAGTGTCCTTCACATGTTCACACTGTCTATAAATCTACATCGTTTTATTTACTATTTGGTTTGTCATCTCCACATTTCTAGTTGAGCTGGTTGATAGGTGTCCCTATTATGGATTAATGATATAGACATATTTATATAATATATATAATCACCAATAAACCAATTAATCAGTATGCCCCCTTAAAACAACCTATCAACAGCATTCGACGGTGTTTGGAATGGCTCAGAAGCGATGACTCTGGATCTACCTGGCTGACGGCGTTTGTTTTGCGAGTCTTTGTGGAGGTTCAGGCGCTTGTTATGCGCGAAGATGTTGGGAAGATGTGGGAAAGACTTCGATTTGTAAAGCAAGAGTCAGTTTTGTTCATGTTTGAATGGAGAGGGGTGACCATAATGTCGTACATCCTACTCAAAGTCTTGTTTTGGGCAAAGGATCGACAAGCCAACATCAACAACAAGTTGAAGATACAGAAAGTCGCTGTTTGGTCACCAGCAATGGGGAGGAGACATGTGTGGATCATGCACAAGCATTGACTGGGAAGTGAATGAAACCTGCATCTCATTAGTGTTTATGATCCATGCTTCTCATTTGACAGTGAAGTTTAAACAATTGTTCCATGTGCCATGGTCGAAACACGGTTTATGTTATATGTTGTTTTGCCATATTGGGGCATGTCATCATTCCATTTGTATGGCTTGCTAATACCCGATGACCACAGACTATACGTATACATCTATATACCATGCTTTAACCCTAGCACATATGTTTCAATTGTATCTTCTTGTATATCATTGCCAGATAATGGAAGTATCACCAAACAAACATGCACTTTTTACTGCGGAGTCATATGTAGACACTGAGTTGGCAGGTCTACACTTGCGAACTTTCAGTGGTAGATGTGGTAGATCAGCTAGCGAATCTGCTCTGGCAGGAGACGGCGTTAGTGGCTGTGGATTCAGGCAGGTTGGGGAGGGAGGATCACGTGAAAAACCAAGAATGGACATCCCCAACCAACTGGATAGGTACCATCTGGTTATTTTACATAGCCATGGAAAATCCCTAATAAATGGAGGTTGTAATGGGAAAACCATCTATAAATGGGCCATTTTCCATGGCTATGTTAGTCATAACCAGAGGATAGAAACTAATCTCTTCTGTTTTTTGCTACAGATGGAAAATCACCAGCCAACCAGCTATCAAAGATTGACCCTGTGGAATGGAGGTCGGATTCTTGTTGGGCTTTACCTTGCTGTGCTAGCCATGTTTAGTTTCTTAATGACTTGAATGATTTGGGGTACCTCCAATTTAGGAAACCTCCGCTTCGTGAAATGCATTGGATCATCATTGGATCACAAAAATTGTGTCGGATTGCGCCTAGTGGTGCAGTAGGACAGTGAGCCAACTGGTGATAGTTCACCACTGTTGTAGGGGCCTCATATCACAACTTATGGAAGCAGATGATACACCTAAAAATTACACCAAGTAGTAGATTACACCTTATATTCTAGGTCAATCTTACATGGATACAAACTAATCCTTGGCCATAGAAATAGTGGATTTACCCATTGAAAATGGTGATTTTCCATTGGAAATGTATTGTACTTGTGGAAGTTAAAACCCCTAGGTGTATAGTCACGCCAGCATCGCCTCCAAGTAGGTTATATATCCCATTCTACTCCCATATTATCCTAAGCCTATGGCCCGTCCCATTTTTCGCGGGGGATATCCGAAAACCACCTTGGTGTCCCCAAAAATCCTATTGGTTGTATATTGTTATATGTTCCATTAAACACGATTTAAGTCATTTAAGTCCCTATTGTTGATGGTTTATACTCCCTTGAAATATCGGATTCAATCCCTTCACATCCCAATAAATCCCACTGTAAATCATTCAATGGGAATTCCAGGATACTAAAATGGAGGTACTGTAACATATAAGGCCATATTTTGTGGGGATATCCCCTTACATAGGCCTAAAAAAAAGGCCTTATATATGCTAGGTACCTCCAATCAATCGGATCCTGAAATGGCCATTGAATCATATTTCCATCATTTAAATACCAAGTGAAAAACCAAGAGCTGCTTGGTGGTTTGGTGGTTTTGAAGATCTTTGTCCTTTGTAGCAACTTGGCACCTTCCTGTGCTTTTGAAGACGTGGAAGACGTGAAATTCGCAGACACTAAACGTACAGTTCCCGATGGTGGGAAGGTGCCAACAGTGAGCACCACATTGATACTTGGTGGCGAACTACCCACTTAGCAAGTGGGTTATGACCCCAGTTATAAATGGGATAAGTAGAGTTAATCCACTTATAACTGGGGTGAACTAACCCACTTAGTAAGTGGGATGAGCCACCAAGTATCTGAGATGGAGGACCTGCCGAACTGCGAGGGCCTTTTCAACATGAGGAGGTCCGACTTCGCCCGAGGGTCTCTATATGGAGACCCCATATCTCAAGATCCTGTTCAAGGCATCCCCAGCCCAAAATGACTTGACAATGTATATATATATATATTTAATATATATACATACATACATACATACATACACATACATACACATACATACACATACATACACATACATACACATACATACACATACATACACATACATACATACATACATATATATATATGTACATATATACATATATATATACATACATATATATATATATACATATATATATATCTATAGTGAGCAGAATGACCGAATTCCGTCTTTGACCAGCAGTCATGTGTCCGCTTGTTGTGCATAGTTTCCAATAATGTCACTTACGCCACGCTGTACCTCGGTTTTGTTGAACCAAGCATCTAGATCCATTTTCCAGCCATGTTGGGCTAAAAATGGGACGCCTACCCGATGGTGGATGGCCCGTCCCATTCCATCACGCAAGTACAACGACTGGAGTAGATGTATACGTTGGGAAGGCATACTTGGGATAGAAGTAAAGCGACATACTCAGAGGATTGGAGATGTTTTATATTTATACTTGGTGGCTCATCCCACGAATCGTAAGTGGGTTAGTTCACCCCAGTTATAAGTGGATTGACCCTACTTATCTCATTTGTAACTGGGGTTATAACCCACTTGCTAAGTAGGATGAGCCACCAAGTATATATATATATATATTCTGCAATGTGGGGCCCCCCAGCCAGTGATGTCAACGTTGGGAAAAATAACCCCCAGTAAGTATATAGTTAATTTTGTACCATAAACCATGGTGAAATTACAGTTTTGTTCACCAACTTAGCTATCGTAAACGGGGGCCCGACTTTGTAGGGGCGCTGAAAAAATGGTGTGAATGGATTAATTATAGTATAATTTGAAACAAGTAGATTCCCATGAAATATACCATTTCCGGTTTGTGGTTTGGAACCATGGAATTTTATGACTTTCCATTTAGTTGGGAATTTCCATCCATCCCAACTGGCGAAGTCCATCATTTTTCAGAGGGGTAGGTATACCACCAGACCATATGATATCCATATATATATATATTACCATGTATGTATATTCCCATATATATATATATACCATATTAGATTCCCATATAGACCATGTGTGTTTTCCCAATCGGCATGTTTTTCCAGGGATCAGATCCCCAAGATCCATCGGAGGCATTCTGAAGTCGGCGACAGAGTTCCTGATCAGTACCCAGTAGCACGGCAAAGAATGGTCGGTTTTGAAAGGTTGGAATGTTGGCATGGTTTGGGGCTGTCGAAGCATTAATCATTAGTTGTTGATATTTCTTGTTATTGTTTTTTTGTTAATGGTTGAAGGCATTTCCAAAAAGGGATCATTCTGTGGTGAGCTGGCATCTTTATGGTTTATCTGTGCATCCTGAAGTTTAGGGCCAATAGAAAATGCCAGCAAGAATCGGTACTTAGATGAACTTGCGGATGAACACCCCAACCTTACAAGGGATTTATGGTGGTTTCCTAAAATGGTGGTAACCCAAAATGTATGTTTTATAGTGGAAAATCTTATGAAAATGGATGATTCGGGGGTACCCCCATGTCAGGAAACCTCCATATCCATACGATGGCAATTTTTATAGGGTAAAATGATGATTAAGCAGTAGGTTTAGGGATACCCATTTGGAACCCCCAAAATGCTGTGGTTTAAAAGAACAATTTCTCCATGTTCTACTAGCATTCAACCTGATTTTCCCAAGTATCCAATGGCCATAAGTGATGTTATCCTCTGAAAATACACATGCTTGGCTGAACAAGCCTCAGTTGTAGATGCAGATGTTCGTTTCCCAGTGATTTTTACACCAGAATCATAGTTAGCTGGGACTTTCCAGCTTGCCATCCTTGATTCAATGGCCATTTCAAGAACCTAAATTGGAGGTACCGATTCCATATATAAGGCCTATTTTTTAGGCCTATGTAAGGGAGTATCCCTGCAAAATATGGCCAAAAATGTGGTACCAACGTACCTCCAATTTAGGATCCTGAAATTACCATTGATTGATTAGGAGGTCATCAGCTAGATGAGCTAGCTCTTTATCCCATTTCTTGGAGGCTCACCCAGCCAGGAAAGCGGATGGCTCCTTTCGACGAGTAGGTCAGGTCATTCACCAGGTGACCTAGGGATGCCTGGTGGAGCGCTGGATGGCATGTTGATATCCTGCTTAGTTAGGGGCCGGGCCCCCCATAACTGCTATGAAGGGGTTAGAAACCATAGGAAAATGGATAGAAAACCAAGAGAAAGTGGCATTTAATGGTTTTTTTTCGCTGATTGTTGATAGCTAAGTTGGCGAATAACTCCAATTTCACTACGGTTTATGGCACAAAGATAACTACAGTTACTGGGATTTATGAACCAACAAACATCACTGGGGGGCCCCACATTGTGGGTATGTAAACTAGAGCTCTGGCTAGCACATGGCAATATGTTGTGTAACAGTACGGTGGTACGACGATTCGTGTTGCTCGGGATTAAGCGATCGAATCGGTGGGCTCAGCTAAGGGTGGTGCTACATTTTCATAGTGCCTACAAAGTGGGGCTCCCAAACGATAGCTAAGTTGGTTTATAACTCCAATAACTATAGTTTATGGTACTTATAACTACAGTTATTGAGGCTTATAAACCAACTTATAACTAGGGGGGCCCACATTGTATGGAGCATCACTTTTTCCATTTGAGCTTGCACTTTGCCGACGGGGGTTAAGCCATGAGTGAGACCCTTCCTTTTACTTCTTGTAGATGTCAAATCGTGAGTTGTCATCAAACCTTGTTTTGGGATGAAAAGATAACTGCTTCGTAGCTTAAATTTCTTCCTGAGTTTGTTCAACCTCTCATACTTTGCCTGTACTCTATCCTAAGTTTGGTCAAAGCCACCAGGTAGCCGATTCCATCTTCACCAAAAAGAAGGTTGGCATTGTTATCAACCTGTAGTATCAACCTCTCATCAGATGATTCTCCTGTTGGGTAAACTACACTTCAACTCATCAGATAAATCTCTTGTAGTATTCAACTTATATTCAACTTGCATTAATTGCTCCGGTTGTCCACTTTAAGTATCATAAGTCCAGTCGAGTTCACCTTTCAACCAGATGTGCCAGGCTCAGAACTTGGGTAAATCACCCCATAGGGTTATAACCACAGTTATAAATGGGATAAGGAGCGGGTTAATCCACTCAAAAAATTGGGGTGAACTAAGCCTAACCCACTTACGAGCCGTGAGATGAGCCACCAAGTAGGGATGTATATACATAAGATTACCCTAAGATTTTTTAGATCTATGGATATTGGGATGATATGTTTTGCATATAAATCATTTTTGTAAACTTGCCTAATCCCCATTTTCGGTGATAATAGTTTAAGATTACCATCATGGTCCCATAGCCCAAGTATCATGCCTTTGACCATTTCACAGACTTTTTGTTTTTGAACTGTAGAATCAAATATGAAATCCACACTTGTTGATGGGAAATCCTAATGAGTCTTTGTAAAAATCGGAGGCAATGCCTTACTTGGAGGATCATCCCACTTAGTACAGGATAGTGCCCCCAGTGATGTGAACGTTGGTTTATAGACCCCATTAACTATAGTTATATCTGTCATAAACCGTAATTAAGCCACTTTTTTAAGGCAACCAAACACTATCTTTGGGCCCCATCCTGTAAGTTTTTTAAATAGCCGCGGTCACTGAGTCCCCTTTGTTTTTTCACAACAGTTACTAACCACTTACCAAATGGGATGATCCTCCAAACAAAGCACCGTTCTAATAGTTTTCCCATACAAGGTGGTGCCCCAGTTCGTTAGCTAAGTTGGGGTTCACATAACTCCCATTAAACTAGGGTTTAAGGCAGATATAACTATAGTTAATGGGGCTTATAAACCAACAAACATCACTGGGGGGCACCATCCTGTAACCATCCGATCAATTCTCCATATGTTGTGGATTATTAAGGTACTTCTGAGTTTCAACAGCTATTTATCTACCATCAACCACTACATTAAATAATTTTGGCCGATGATATTCCCATTAAACACCATGAAATCACCATTATGTAGCGTTCAATCCCATCAAATCGCCATTAGATCACCAATTGCTTTTTTTCGTGCGGATCCTCGGGTGCCAACAGGAGATGTTGGGCGGTGCCAGCGGTTCAGATCTGGCACTCAGCGCCTATGTGACGTCAGCCTTGGCGAAGGCTTGGAAAGGGAGAACTTCCAGGCTGGAAATGATGGTTCATATATTATGTATACTACTTATATGTAGCATATATATATATATATCCCATATATATATATACACATATGTAATGTAATTTTATTAAGAAAATATATATATATAACGTTATAGAATTATACGACGGCCAGGACGGGGGTGCTGCCAGGGGCAGTGAATTTTAACTGCGCAGTGCCAGTGTTTTTTGCATGTTGGCTCATTTTCGGATGTCGGCCAAATGGTCTACTGGCTGACGAGATTTGTTTCAAAAACACAAAACTCTCAACCCAAAACCCTAAAACCTAAAGCTGACATCACACCCCAAGTAAACCTTGAAAGTAGAATCTTTTGCAAACCGTGGTAGGTAAAAACTGAAAAACCGTAAATAATAGACCCTAAACAAACCCTAAAGAGTTGGTCACATGATAAACCTCTGGGCGGCATCCCCGGCCTGCGGGTAATTATATGTACATAGTAGATACACAGTAATATATATATATAATATACATATCATGAACTTCTAGACTACCCCCCACCGCACTACCCTAAGAGATTTTTAGATAGTAAATAAGAAAACGGGTTTGTATCCCTTGATTTTTTGGAACATAATTAGTAGCCTAAAAGGGAAAATGGTAGGGATACAAACCAAAAGTAATTAGCATTCTAATAAGGATTGATTTTGGCGTTTTGTATGATTCATTATTAGTATGTTAATAATGAAAAAAACATTATTAGCATGCTAATAAGTTTTATACAACTTGTTTGTATAAAACTTTAGTAGGGTCCTAATAAGGAATTTGTGCATTTCATCAAGCAGAAGGGTTCGCGGCGGAGGTGGCAATTTGCCACCAGGTTTGGAGAGGACTGAACCCGATTGTGAAGAGTCTCCAAATGAGGAGGAAGTCAGGGGGATGAAAATGTCGGATGTGACGTGGGATATTGCGCAGGAGTGAGGCGGTTTCAAGACGTGAAGGAAGAATGGGAGGTTGCGCGAGGAAACACAGTTGCCATTCAACCGGGCTATGATTGCAGGCATGACTTACGGGGTAATAAGGTTGCTTGTTTGGCATGTTCTTTTGTTTGCTCAGGCTTCAATGAATTGAAGGCGCATTTTGCGGCCAAGCATTGGGGTCAGTTTGGCTGCGGAGATTGCCATCAGCATTTCAACAACCCTGAGGCTGCCATGAAACATTGCCGGTCAACGAGCCACATGTGTAAGGCAGAATACACGGTCAATCCCACGTTCCAGACAGAGACAGATGTGACCTCAGGGGCTCTCGCAGCAGAGAACGAGCCGCATTGGGCTCACGCGGATCAGGTCACTGGGATAACGTGTGCATGTGGTTTATCCCAGGCTAGAGGAGCCATTGTGGGAGTGCAACCAGAGCATCCATCGTGTGGGTTGGCTGCTCTTGCAGCAGCGAGGCATGGGGCTGAAGCTGGTGTGTTGGCGGGGCAGGACTATTTGGAGTCTGCTTTGCAAACTTTGATTGCGACGCCCCACGTCAATCTCCTTCCTCTTGACGGAGCTGCTGCTACGGATTGGTTGTTTTTCTCTGATGTGCGAGAGGTTATAGGAAATCCTGGGAATGCGGGGAGTACATGGTATGATTCTCAGGGCGCACACTGGGCTTTTGCGAGTGGGGCTGAGATTTTACCTTATTAGGTAGCTATTATTTTTGTTGTATCCACCAAGACCTGGCTTGGATACAAAAACTTAATAGCGCCCTAATAATGATTGAGAGGGATGAGATTTTGCCTTATTAGGTGACTATTAATTTTTCGTATCCCCCAGGGCCGGGCTTGGATACAAAAACTTAATAGTATCCTAATAAGGATGCAAATTGCATTAATAGCATACTATTAAGTTTTTGTATGATTTGGGGATACAAATCCTTGTTAGGATACTAATAACCAAAAAGGTACTTTTCTTAATGTAGACCAGATTAGTATACTAATAAGGAATGGGATACAAAATCACATGTAATGGATTTTAGGCCTTAATTACTATCTAAATTTAAGCTACTATTAGCATATTATTAGTATGCTAATAATATACATTTAAGGGTTGTATCCCGAAATGAGATTTTTCCTTATTAGCATACTAATAATATCTTATTAGTATACTAATAAGGAATCCAGAAATGGTCAAATCCTTAAATATTCTGTAGGGTAGTACGGGGGGGTAGTCTAGAACTTCATGAACATAGTACATGTATATATATATATATATTTATATTCATACATACATACATACATGCATGCATGCATACATACATACACACATACACACATACATACATACATACATACATACATACTTACATACATACATACATACTTACTCACTTACTTACTTACATACATATATACATATTGATTGTACTCCTGTATGGGTGCAAAGTTAAAGCGCGGGGAATTGCTGATCTTGGTCCTTGCCGATGAACTCATCCCATTTTTGGGTATCATTTGTGCTGAAAGCTGGGTGCCCAGCGAATGTGATTGAATCTTTCTTTGGGGAAGTCAGGGGGGATGAGAAAAGAGACACCCAGCTCAAAACTGCGTTTCTTGAAGGGTGCCGTAATGATCTAATGATCTAGGAGTAGCCATGTGTGATTCGTGGCAGAACTCACAACTTTGAAGACCAACTTCGTCTATAAATCGGGTGCAGGTTAGACTACGGGAGGGAAAAGGAACATTTGGTGATTCAGAAACTCAATTGTAACCAATGAGGAATGTGAAAAAAACTGTTGTTGATGGGAGTTTTTTCTAAGCAAAATATTTGGGAAATTCAGAATCCATTGGGGGAATCCCTACCAATCAGAGGACCAAAGGGACGACAGAGGGTTCTGAACAATGCTCAATTGTTCCCCAAACACTGTGTCCACGGTACGTGTAAAGGCCGGTGCTTGATCAGGGTGCTCCAGCTGGGCTGCGGCATTTTTCCTGTAAATTTCTGTGTAAAAAGGTTCTTGTGACATGTTGACGTGCATGTCGACTGCGCAGGCTCACACAAAGTGTGGTCCTAGGTGTTGTGGCCCGTCATTTTTCTTGTAAATGTCCGATTGAAATGGCTCTTGTGAGATTTCCAAGTGAATTTCGACTGGGCGGGCTCGCACTAAGTGTGGTTCCCGGTCTGTGGATAGGACCACCTCCTCAACATCATCATGCTAAACATCATCATTTCCGTCCTTCTCAACATCATCATCATCTTCCTCCCCCTTGACCTCATCATCCTCAACATCATCAACCTCCACCTCATTTTCCGCAACATCACCATTATATCATCCTTCTCATCACCCTCCTCGACATTATCATCCATTAGATCAGCATCACCATGATCATGGTCATCATCATCATCATCATCATCGTCATCATCATCATCATCATCCTCATCACCACCACCACCACCACCATCATCATCATCATCATCATCCTTCTAATTATCGTGATTCTCCACCTTATCATCCTCAACTTCCCCTTCCTCATTATCATCCTCGTCCCCATCCTCCTCAGCAACATCATCCTCAACATCATCAACCTCAACATCATTATCCTCTATAGTACATCATTGTCCGCAACATTATCATCCTCTTCCTCATCATCATCATCACCATCATCATCATCATCATTAACAACATTATCATACATTGTCATACATTCTCCTCCTACTCCCCCACCCTGTTTGGGGTCTCTCGCTGGGATATGTTTTGCAATAAAACCTTTGAACCATAGAGGCTTTTGGGCCCCCCGCGATGAAAACTTTTAAAACTTGTTGATCCGTGCATGTTTTGCTTAGCCTGAATGTGCCAGCGTGAGAGCGATAGGGTTCTCCAAGACTTGCAACACGCCAATTTTTGGTTTCACCAGGGCCGCTTCCCAAACGCACGGATATCGAATCCGTGAATTTACTGGTGAGGGACGAGGCAGCGAGCGATCCACCATCTGCTTTTGAAGACCGGATACGACGGCCGGCGGCAGCAGGGAATTGTTCCGCCATGAGCTAAGCAGCCGAGCACGCCCGCAAATCCTTCACATCTAGCCAAATCATATCAATTTCACTGGCTATATCCCTATCACATATCTAATCTAATCACATCTCATCTCATATTTCCCAGTGTATATTCCCATGTAGTTTTTTTAATCCTCATATCACCCCTATATAGATTCATGGATATACGGTATGTCTCTACCTAGACTCTCCCAGTAGCCTGAAAATGATGTCTTACCCCATAATTTTAGTACCATTTTTGGGGGTGTTTGGAAAGTCTAGGTATACATATAATTATATATATATAGCTCTCTCTACATAATATATATATATATACATTCCAAAAAAATGTTTTTGAATGTGTGTATATATATATATACAGTTATCCATCCTTTTTCGCCCGTTTTTGGGCATCTGTATCACACCTGCCAGAGGCGCAGTCCTCGCTTTCCCTCAGCACTTTGGCACCAGCGCTGGCGAAGGCCAAAACGTATCTGGAAGCGCAGAGCTCCAGCGATACCTATGTGGCACGGGGGCCTGGTGGTTGGGAGATTTTTCAGTTGAGCAGTGGCTGCGAGACACGATTTACCAAATTTACTCCTGTTGGTTGACGATCAGTTCGGGGATTAAAGTAACCAGTGTGTTTTGGGGATGGTCATCATCCAGTATGGAAAATTCTTTTGGCCAAGCAGTATAAAGTTACGACACAGGTTTTTGAACAGTGCTCAGTTGAGACTGAAAAAACCAGTTGAATTGTTGAATCATTTTGAATTACCCCCCGGTAAACTAACACAACTACGGAAAATCACCATGGTTTATGGGTAAATCCACTATAAATGGCCATTTTCAATAGCTATGTAAACGTTTACCAGAGGGTAGTTGGATATAGAACGTGTCAAGTGGAATTAGTTTGCCATGGCAGATCATCATAGAGATTCAACCCACCGGTGACACCCTCCAAGAAGAAGGTATAGAAAGGTTCATTGGACCATTTTGAGGAACATTTCATGGAACAATGGAGACAATTGAATCCCAGTGTTTTTGGGATTCAACTACATTTTGGTGTTCCATTGAACATTCCATATGGTTCTCAAATTTCAATGGAACATTTCATGGGGATTCAACTACCAAAATTCTCGGAGATGTTTCTTGAACCACCAACAAGCAGGTTTATTGTATAAGGTCTATCCAAATCATTTGTCAATGGTGTTACCCTCTGGTAAACTAACATACCTATGGAAAATCACCATTTTTGATGGGTATATCCACGATAAATTGCCATTTTCAATAGCTATGTTAGTTTACCAGAGGGAATTTTTCTGATCCAAAGCTAGGTGTTCAATTCTGAAAATGTAGGACCATCATCTCTGGCGGTCCACGGCTTGGAATACCGCACGGTAGTTGAACTGGTTCAGGCCTTACTTCGTGCTCATGCCCTGGTTCTGGCAGGAGCGTCAGCAGTGTTTGGTCGAGCTGCTTGCTTGTCATTTGCCATGTTGGTGCCCTGCTTTGGCCTGGGTTTGCTCAAGCTAATATGTCTGTTCAATGAAAAACCCATCATTGGAAATTTGCTGAAATGATGTTTTCCCTTTTCGGTGGCCATCTCAAGTAAATCCAGGTTGCTTAAGATGTGGTAAACCCATTGCCATAAACCTCCCATGTGGAAAGGAAAATCTACGACCCATTTCTGCTATGGGGCTGCTATGGGGTTCGTTGGGTGCGTTGGGTTCACCAGATTAGTCCACCAGGCTGACATGTGTAGAGGTACTGGGTGGTGGTTTGGAACATTGGTTTAGTATGGGGTAATGATGGTTAATGATGGTTAATCGAAGGAAGTTTAGAAGTCAAACTTCCGACAATATGGACAGATGAAAAGCAGGGCAGAGGCAGAGAGAAGAGGAAGATTAGAAGAGAGAAGATCAGAAGAGAAAGAGTAAGAGGACAGAAGATACAGATGCGCGAAAAGGTAGGAAAGTCGCGAAACACTGTGTTTTTCCAATGATTTGTGGCTCCGGAGGGTCGAAAAGTAGGCTCGCTAAAGCGGCGGGTGCGGACCCAGCTGCCCACAGGAACGATGAAAAATTGCACGCCGTTGTGGCGCGAAGCACATTTCCAAGTCAAAATGTACAAAACACCTCAGGTCCGGACCACTTTTGGAAGTTATGATGTCGAAAAAGCGTACGCCATTGTGGCGCGAAGCACATTTCCAAGTCAAAATGTACAAAACACCTCAGCGTCGGACCACTTTTGGAAGTTGAGATGTCAAAAAAGTGCACGCCGTTGTGGCGCGAAGCACATTTCCAAGTCAAAATGTGCAAAACACACAAGGTTCAGACCACTTTTGGAAGTTGAGATGTCAAAAAAGTGCACGCCGTTGTGGCGCGAAGCACATTTCCAAGTCAAAAGTGTTAAAAACTGACGGTCTCGGACCACTTTTGGAGGTTCAGATGTCGAAAAAGTGTCGAAAAAGTGCACGCCGTTGTGGCGCGAAGCACATTTCGAAGTGAAAAGTGTAAAAAAACTGAGGGTTTTGAGCCTTTTTTGACGTGAAGATGTCGAAAAAGTAGACACTGATTAACTTAACTAACTTGACTAACTTAACTAACTTCACTAACTTAACCAACTTCGACGACAACAGCAACAACAACAACAACTACTACTACTACTACTTCTACTACTACTACTACTACTGCTACTACACGACAACCACAAGTACAACTAGGACTACAACTACAACAACTACAGTTACAACTACAACAACTACAACTACAACCACAACAATAACAGCAACAACAACAACTACAACTACAACAACAACAACGACAACAACAACAACAACTACAACTACAACAACAACGACAACTACAACTACACAACAACTACCGCTACAACTACAACAACAACAACTACAACTACAACAACTACAACTACAACTACAAGCTCACAACAACTACAACTACAAAACAACTACAGCTACAACTATATGACTGCAACTACACTACACTAATTATATTACACCACAGCTACAACTCCACTACGCTACAACTACAACTACAGTTGCAGTACATCACACTACATCCAGCAGTTGTGGGTAGCCAAAACAGCCAGGAAACATGGCGGACTTACCGCGTTGGATTGATGATCGATAGAACGATTGATAGATAGATAGACAGTTACACAGATAAATACCACTGCACTCCATTACACCATCTTCCACTACACTTCACTACATTACACTGCACTACCCTCCACTAAAATACAACTACACCTGCAACTCCACAACTACACTCCACTACACTACACTGCACTACACTACACTGCACTCAATGACACTCAATTACACTACATTGCAGACAGACAGATAGATAGATAGATAGATAGACAGGTAGACAGCTAGACAGCTAGACAGATAGACCGATGAAAGAGGGAGAGAGAGAGAGATAGATAGATAGATAGATAGACAGGTAGACAGCTAGACAGATAGACAGATGAAAGAGAGAGAGAGAGAGAGATAGATAGATAGGTAGATAGGTAGATAGGTAGATAGGTAGATAGGTAATGAGATGAAAGAGAGAAAGAGAGAGATAGATAGCTAGATCAACAGATAGATAGATACATAGAAAATAGATGGGTAGGTAGGTAGATAGCCAGAGAAAGAGAGAGAAAGAGAGGAGACCTCAAGCACCTTTCGGTCCGTCAGTGGCTTCGCTCTGCCATCCCTGATTCACAACAACCAACCTCTCCTATAGGTTTCCTATTTTTGAAACTTCCGCCACCGCCTTGTGCGGTACTACTGGTAATGGTTAATAATCACTGGCTGGTGGTTTGGAACCATGGAATTTTATGAATTTCCATTTAGTTGGGAATAATCATTCCAACTGACTTTCACTCCATCATTTTTCAGAGGGGTAGGTATACCACCAACCAGAGTAAGATTTTGAAGGATACACATGTAGAATTTCTTGTTGCAAGAATTGCCAGTGTTGTTGTGTGTCCATGGTGAATGGTTGACAAACAGTTGCTACCTTCTGGGCTAATCAAAGCTATCACAATTCCCCCAATCAACCTCATCAGAAGTGATGGCAAGGATGGAAAAGAATCTTCAACACATGCCCTTTTCCTCTACGAGTATATGATGATGGGCCGGAGCAAATGCGACCTGTCTGTCTGGCATGAAACAAGCAGATAAACACGGATTCATTTAGACGAATTTCTAGGTTTTCTAGTCTCAGGAAATTTGGGAAATTGTTTCAGTAGATTTTCTAGATTTTCTAGTTGAATTTTGCACTAATTTCTAGTCTCAGGCAATGTTCCAACACTAAAGTCACGTCTAAAGTGCGATGTTGACTTGGCCACCAACTTCCGATCACCAACCAACACAGGAGGCTTTCTATGGGGCTCAAATCATTGAAATTCATGGTGGCTGGGTCCTGCCGAACATGGGGATGAAAGCCACCAAAATTGTGGACGCCCAACAACCCGCAATTTTGATCGTTGAAAGCTAAATACGCTCGGTTCAGACCCACATCTCTAGGTCAATCTTACATGGATACTTTAATCTTTTAGTCTTTTGGTATTAATGGGAATATCTACTAGCCAGCAAAGAATTTAATTTTTGCAGGGTATCTAAGATTGGCAATGATCTTGGGCAAACGTGTGGGTTGCTACAAAATGTTTGGCTGCTATAATCCCGATTGAAATCGCAATTAAATCCCATGAAATCCAATTTTTAACCACCGCAAGACCATTAGATCACCAGGAAATCACCATTAAATCAAATTAATTACATCACCATTAAACCAACATGTTAATACATGTTACCACAGAAATCCATCCATTGAATAGTGCTGCAAGATGTTGGATCGCCGCCAGGACTTTGGGATAAGGATCAAGTGGCAACTGAGGCTGTGATCCGAGCGCCAGAATCAGATTGGAGATGTTGATGCGGATTGAACTATCAAATCAAATATGTGTTGTTAAAACTAGGTCAATCTTAGATGGTACCTACTAATCCTTTAGTCTGTTGGTATTAATGGGAATATCTACTAACCAGTCTGGTGGTGCCCCAGTTCGTTAGCTAAGTTGGTGAACATAACTCCCATTAAACTATGGTTTATGGCAGATATAACGAACTAGTTAATGGGGGTTATAAACCAACTTATAACTGGGGGGCACCATCCTGTATGTGTTGTTAAAATATGTGTTATCAAATACGCTCACATTAATCCATTAGAATTAGGGGTATATTTCAAACCAAATATCAATGATATAAGTTATAACACTGGAATATACTAGGAACATAATGGTGAGATTCAATAACCCATAGGATCCATGGTGCTATATATGGTAACATGGATCCCATCAATATACCCCCTTTGTGTTAGCATATATACCAGCACCATGGATCCCTATGGGTATATACCACTTAAGGAGTAGATGTATCTGGGTAAATTATAACGACCTCACTACGACCTCACTGGAATCATGGTTAATAAGGGGAATCATCCCCAAAATGGCCTTAATTCAGGTTAGTGAATTATTTTAATTTACCCAGAAATATGTGTTGTGAAAATTTGTGTTATCAACTACCCTCTGGTAAACTCACATAACTATGGAAAATCATCATGCTATTAATGGGTAAATCAAGTATAAATCGCAATTTTCAATAGCTATGTTAAATTACCAGAGGGTATATTATATGGATAACAAAGAATGTTGGCCCTTGAAATATGTGTTTATCAAACCTTGAATTTTAAACATGCGGATGTCACGTTTTAACACTGCTCAAGTGCTTTGCCTCATGTATCCGGGTAAATTAGGGTAAATTATAACGACCTCACTGCGACCTCACTATAATCATAGTTAGTAGGGGAAATGATCCGCAAATGGCCTTAATTCAGGTTAGTGAAATATTACAATTTACCCAGATGTATAAATTCACAGAATGACATGCCCATCCTTTGATTGTGTCCTTAGTTACAGGTTTGGGGTGGCTATGGAGAGTTGTCAGGGGCTGTTTCAAAGGAAGAGCGCAAAGAAGAGCGCGGCTTCACCCCTTCTCCTGGGGGAAAGCCGATTTTAACGGGGTATGATTTTCCACTTAGACTTTCCTGCAGATAACAGAGCCCAAGTCGGTTGATCAATGTTGATCCTGATTGGCTGACATATTAAACCCAAGAATAATCCATCCCCAATTTTAGCAGACATGGCTTGTTTGAACCCTCCGAAATTCGAAGGTTATGATTTGGTTTCCAACATTACTACTTTTGGAACAGAAACACGTTACTGACCCCAAAAAAACACCACAAAAGAGTCACGGAAACTTCCGGCTTTGGGAAAGTTAAAACCGCAACCAGGTGGATGTGAAAATGAGATCTACCACATGAAATTGCTATTTCAAAAGCCACTCGATTTATTTTGGTGGTTTTTCCATGGGGTTTTCCATGGTTTTCCCGTCCATTTTCTCAGCCCCATCCAGTGGCGCCATGAGAGGTGCTGTCCAAATCCTCCACCACTGGCCTTTACCGTTATTGGTCGCACTCATCCAATGCAGGTGCAGAAAATGGCGCTGTGGCCATGGGCACAAAAGGGATTTTCTTCGCCAACGATTCATAGGGGTGAAATACGGTTAGATGGTTTCTAATCTCTAGGCTGATGTTGGTACATCTGAGAGGTCGATGGAAGTAAGAGAGTAAGATTTTTTGATGTTCCTACATAACCTGGTTGGTGGTTTGGAACATGGCTTTTATTTTCCATAATATGTGGGATAATCCTTCCCATTGACTTTCATATTTTTCAAGATGGGTTCAAACCTCCAACCAGATATGATATTGATAATGATCAAAAAAAGGATATGTTCACCACCAATGTAATCCGGAGATGAATGGGATATAAATGTATTGTATAACAGTCAACTAAACCAGATAACTGTGCACTGATTTTTTGAGGTGTTTTGGTACATCTGTGAAGATGGAGACGGAAGACGTTGGGGTCTGGGGGATAGGTTGATGGAAGTCAGATGGTTAGGAGGGAGCTCAGAAGCCATTGGCTATCCATATAGGGCTTTCTATAAATGGGGTATACCCAAAAATGCATGGATTATAAGGGAAAATCCTAAAATGGATGATTTAGGGGTACCCCCATTTTAGGAAACCTCCATATTCCCTTTTAAACTAGGAGCGAAGGAGCTACTAGGAGTCTCCCAACCAGATGATAGTAACACAATAACTTGGTGGAAGGGCACCGCAACGGAAAAGTAGAATAAAATGGCGCCTTTCTAACGTCCACTACTTACAGTATAGGTTTATCCCAGTATACACCAAAATGGCAATCTTAGTGGGAAAAATGATAATCATTGGAATTACCCACTTGAGACAAATACCGCTGTTGGATATGTCAAATCTGGTTTCATGTTCAAACCTACCTAGAATGATGATCCACAATGACTACTGTAGTGTTTTCCAGCTGGGTTGACGCAAACAACCGCTGTATTATAGCTGTTGGTGCGGGTTACATCAAGTTGTGTTGATCTTCCAAAAAAAGATACCATCTGGTTATTTAACATAGCTATGGAAAATCACCATTTTCAAGTTCGGTAAACCATCTATGTCTATGGGCCATCTATACCATGGCAAACTGTTAAATAACCAGAGGGTAACATTCGAATCTGCCGAAAGCCGCGGGTTTGCAGGATGCAAAAGAGCGCCTTTTTTGTACAGCGCTGTTTCCAGGTTTCCCACCGATCCACTTATTTTGGTGGTTGCTACTTGGTGGCGAACTACCCACGAATCGTGGTTGCTCGTGGGTTATTTCACCCCAGTGATTGACATGGGATTTTTGGAGCGGGTTAATCCACTGATAATTGGGGTGAACTAACCCACGAGCCCACGATTCGTGGGTAGTTCGCCATCAAGTAGGCTTGTCATGTTTTTGGGAATTACCATCTGGTTATGACTCACAGTTCGCCATGGAAAATCCACCAATTTTTAAGTTATAGGTAAACCATCTATAATTTTTAGGGCCATTTTCCATGGCAAACTGTTAAATAACCAGAGGGTAACTTTTCTAATCTGGTTGGTGGTTTGGAACATAACTATGGAACATCCACCCATTTTTAAGTTCGGTAAAACATCTATTTCTATGGTCCATCTATACCATAGCTAACTGTTAGTCATTACCAGAGGGTAAAACTAAAAAGCAGGATGATCATTGCATGACGCAGCCGGGTATCTCCAGGTGACTGGAAGGCCTTGGATATCGAGCTGCTTGGTTCCAGCTGGATGCGCGTTTGATCAGCGTTAAGTGAATATATTTGGTTGGTGGTTTGGAACATGTTTTATGACTTTCCATATATTGAAAATAATATTCCCAACTGACTATTATTTTTCAGAGGGGTAGGTATACCACCAACCAGATATAGTCATTGGGATAGTGGAAGGTAACCATCCATTAATAGATAGTAAGCATTCACTGTGGTTGTTGGTAGCTGATAAGCCCTCAATCAAGCATAGTTTGCTGGAAAATCCACAATTTTTGTCGATGATTTTACCATGCCCATTCATAATGGATTTCCCAGTGCAACGTTCGATTACCTCAGGGTCTACAGAAATTATCACAAATTCATCTGCACTTTTGCGTGCACTTTGAATGGATATTCTATTCCATGTTCTCATATTTTCCCACAATTTCTCCCCTTGTACTGTACACAGTTGTGAAATCAGATGGTGATGGGATATAACGGGACAAGAATCCCAGTCGTGGTGGATATGCTCTGGCACCAAGCCCAGTCATGGCGGGCACGGCCCGGACGAGGACATACATGGGAAAGCTGGGTGGCGGACACAGCTGTCTTGTGTTGTTTTGTCTTCCAAAGTCTCGCATTGCCGAAGCATTCGATGCCGTCGGATCGACGACATGTCGCATGCGAGACCATGAGACACGCTGACGGTGGCTTCTCTGTCATTGCGAGCTATTCATTCAGCAGTTCAGGAAGAGATTTATTCTTTCGAAGCCTGGCGCCTGATGGATCTTCCATGTTAGCTTTCGGTTTAAGCGGGTTCATGTTCACCCACCCAGCTATATCCACCATAAACCAACTCGGTTGTGGAGCATCACACAGCACATTAGTCTAGTATATAACCGGCACACACAGATTTACAATGATTTATGTATATATATATATATATATATATATCATGTGCACATACATACATACATACATACATACATGCAATACAATACAAGACAATACAATACAATAACAATGCAATACAATACAATATAATACAATACAATAACAATACAATACAATACAATACAATATAATACAATACAATTACAATTAAATACAATACAATACAATATAATACAATACAATACAATACAACACAACACAATACAAATACCAATACAATACAATACAATATAATACCAATACCAATACCAATACCATACAATACAATCATACATACATACATACATACATACATACGTACATACGTACATACGTACATACGTACATACGTACATACGTACATACGTACATACGTACATACGTACATACGTACATACGTACATACGTACATACATACATACATACATACACACCTACGTACATACATACATACATACATACATACATACATACATAGATGCATACATGGATACATGCATACATGCATACATACAAAGATACATAGATACATAGAATATCATAGAATTACCTGTAGCAACCCCCCAAATAGGAACGTAATTTGACATTTTTTGGGATTGGATATCACTGATATCACTTGTCCATCTTTCTCGGGGTTGCCTTAGTGGTACATCCCTTGTAGATGGAAATATATCAGGATAAACAACCATCATATGGTTCAATGGCTCTCTGGACAACGTGGCTGAAAAGTTCCAACTATTCATGGGAAAGTAGAATATATCTGGGTAGATTATAACGACCTCACTGTTCTCCCTCACTGGAATCATGTTTAGGATTCGGGGAATCATCCCCAAATGGCCTTATTATTCAGGTTAGTGAAAAATTGTAATTTAACCAAATATATGTATATATATAATATATATTCCCAGAATTGGTTGGAAAAATCTGCAGGTTTCAGCCACATATGGTGCTAATAAACCCACTATTTCAAGCATGAAGATGTTCCTCAGCAAACCTTATGATCAAGCATACCACTAATCAATATGTTTTTTTATAGTGAACTACCCATTTTCCACGGTTCACCCCAGCTATCCATGGATATACCCCATATCCATTCATCATCCTTCACCATTGAATCACCGCTTAACCACCATTTAATCGCCATTGTTGCCTACTAGTTAACCAATGACTAGCTATGTCCATCGCATATCCAAGCAGGTTCAACCCCTCAAAATACAGGTAGTGGACCATATACAGCCTGAAAGTTGGGCGCATATCCCCTGAAAATTTGCCTTTACATATAGGCCTTACATATGGGGGGACCTTTAATTCAGGTACCTGAAATGAAACACGGAATTCTCCCAGGTCAGTTATTTAAGTGCGTCAATTTGTCACGATTTCGTAGAAATGACCCTGGTAAGTTGAATAATCTATAAATCCAAAACCAGATGGTATTCATAAACCTATAGTCAATGGGAATTCCAGGATCCTAAAATAGAGGTGCTGTATCATATAAGGCCATTTTTGGGGGGTAGATCCCCTTACATAGGCCTTGCATAGGCCTTATATATAATAGGTACCTCCACCATTGATATAGTTATAGAATCTTTTAAAAGATATTGGATGTTCATAGATTATTTATTATACGATAGAATATCAGATGTCAATAGATATCAGGTATTTATTCTACCATCTAATATCCAAAATCTAGTCTAGAATCCCTAATCTAGATACTGTAAGCCCTTTTTTCTATTAATAAGCCAGCATAATCTACATGTTTCCATGAATCCAAGCAAGTTATAGACCACAAAGCACTTCACCGAGGATGACAGGCTACGGCCTACTGGCGCTGACCCTCGCAGATCGATTGGGTGAAGCCTTTCAGGCGGTACGGTGGCTTTTGGAGAGGCGACCGCGACCGGGATGGGATGGGTTTCAGCGGTTGAAACAGATTGGTTTACTGGATCCCTTCAAAGTGGGGCCACCGGTCGATAGCTAAGTTTGTTTATAACTCTAATTTCACGTTTGGACTTATGGTAGATATATCGAACTAGTTAGTGGGATTATAAACCAACTTATAACTGGGGAGGCACCACCTTGTGCAAAGTGGGGCCCCCGGAAACGGCCACGAGTTATCGCGACAAGTTGGGGTTCACATAGCTCCAATATGCTCCAATTTCACTGGTCTATGGTACCTATAGCTACATTTACTAGGGGCCACATTGTGGGTTCAGTCGTTGTGACATAGACATATTATATAGGATATATATCCACTGGGAAACTGGAATTGTATAATAGACATATTATTATTATATATATACGAGGATTAACCACGACTGGTGATCATCCATGAACCATTTTATTGGCAATGTTGATCACCAAATGGTGGTTTAATGGAGATAGAATAGAGTATTAATGGTTTATCTAGTGGGTGTTAGTAATTAATAGGAGGTTTTGCCATCAACAAATAGGGGTCTAACGGGATTATTTCTGAAACATAATTCGGATTTAACTGCCAAAAATTACCCTCGGGTAATTTTATGGTAATTTAACTCACAAGAATAGTGGTTTAATGGTGATATACTTTACTGGAATATTCATGGGACATATTGATGGGTTTGTACTTACCCTCTGGTAAACTACCATAGCGAAGTGGAAAATCACCATTTGTAATGGGAAAATCAACTATGTCTATGGCCATGGCTTCAAGTTCGCGAACTGTTAGTCATTACCAGAGGGTAACATGCTTAGTAGCTGGGGTCAGTTCACCCACAAGTGGAATCACCCATTGGGGACAAAAACAAACCCGGGTCCTCCAAGTGATCCAATAACTGTGTCCCCTCTGTGATCAAGCGTGGCTGGCTAGGAAATCCTGTATAAATGGAGGTCTTAGTAGGGGAGATCTTCTATAAATGGTGGATTTTCACAATAACATGTAACTAACAATTGCGTACTCTCCATTAAACTAACTTAGATATGAAAATTTGAAAAGTGGCCCATATTCATCTTTTCACAGATGTCAAGAATGACGCGTCTATGTCTATACTGTATAGGTAAGATTTCCCCCCAGTTATAAGTTGGTTTGTACACCCCATTAGGTCGATATATCTGTCATAGACCATCGAATTCACCTAGCTGTAGAGTAATTTAGCTTTCTAGGGGAGCCCACCTTGTAATGGTTGCGAGGATACGATGGGGATGGCCATGATTATTGGTTGATGAGTGGTTTTGGCAAATCGGAGATGGCTATTCTATTTCGAAAGCGTGGATACTGTGAAGCATGTTCTCTTCAGAGGGGAGTCTTTGATGTTCGATGATATATGGCTCACCGAGTACGAAATGAACGACGGGAAGGCGTTTCTGGATCCCACTTTGTGATAGGGCTGTGAGGTCCCATGCAAGGAGACTGGCCACTTGTAGACGCTCGGAGCAGCGCGTGGATGGGCACGGATGGTACCTCGATGAACTTTGACTCATAGCTATGGGCTATGTGGGTCTGTCTGAAAATGGTGTATACCCCCAAAAAGGTACTTGGTGGCTCATCCCACTTAGTAAGTGGGTTGTAACCCCAGGTATAAATGGGATAAGTAGGTTAATCCACTTATAATTGGGGTTATAACCCACTTACGATTCGTGGGATGAGCCACCAAGTACTTTTAATAGGGGAAAAGATGATTAACCAATGGATTTGGAGGTACCATATTTTCAGACAAAGCCATGGTTTCTTCAACTTCTTCACCTTGATCTCATGATTTTTCTCCCCGGGAGCCCGTTCAAGACGAGGCCGATTGTTCCAAGGGAAACCTCGAGCTCCTGCATCCCATAAATTTTACATACCGGGTTAGTGCTGGTTTTTGATGGTTTATCACCAATAACAATCAAGTTTAAAAATCATAACTTGATATTATCGCATGCCACAAATTGCGGGGATATGATACAAGAAACCAATTGAAATCGCACAACAAAAACTGGGCATACAACTACTTGGATGTTCCCTGACTAAGTTATACTAGTAGCATGCCTCATGTGGCAGCTGTGGTCTAACCTACAAGGTCCGACTTATAACGGGGTTCCGTATGATGATGTCACATATAATTATGCTTCACTTGCCATCCACCTGATCAAGGAGCGTCCAAATAGAAAAAAATGTTCAGCCCCAAGGACTGGGACAACTAAATCTGGCAATGTGTCCCTTAAAAATGTCGATACCCTCCAGTGTCATCAAACATGGTTTGCTAGAAAATCCACCATTTGTTGTTGTTTTTTCCCCATTAAGACCTCTATTTATAGGGGACTCGCAAAGTTTGATTACCAGAGCGTATATCCAAGGAACAGTGATCTGCTTAGTGGTTTGAAAGATGTATTTTTTCCGTCCTACCGCGGATGATGACCCCAGCTGACGACCATATTTGTGAGGAGAATTAAGCCACCAAACACTATACGATGAATGGGGACCTTCTCACTATGGATAGTAAAAACATGTGAAAAGCCTTTTCTTGTCCACAAGGTGAGACCCCTAGGTAAGTTGTTTCATAAGTTGGTGAGTTAACTCTGGTTCAGGGGAAACATTTGATATAACGAACCGCAAAAAGCACCTGGGGGTCGTCACCTCCAAGGCTCCAAGGAATCGGATCATGGTCCGCCGTAATTTTCCAGGGACGTCTTAAGCCATAGATTGGATGTTTGGGTGGCAGTGATGGAATAGAATGGATGGTTTAATATTGATTAATAATGGTTAATCATTGATGAATGATAGTGGTTAGTGATGGTTAAGAACTATTAATGAAGAATAATGGTTCCCTGATTGGTGGTTTGGAACATGGCTTTTATTTTCCATTTCATAAATGGGATGTCATCCTTCCCATTGACGAACTCCATCATTTTTCAAGATGGTTAAAACCGTTAAAACCACCAACCAGATCCATATGGAACAATTATGGCGTTTGACCTTTGGCCCATAGCCACAATAAGACTTTCTGTGTTATCAGCATGGGACCCGACAGTTCAGCCGCGAAATAGCAGTTATTTCTATGCTTATGTCTTGTTATTTCTATGGAATTGTAAGTCTTTTTGAGATTCAACCCATCTTTTTGCAATAATCAGCCCATATGGATCAATCCCAAAGATTGTAATTGGGGGTTTAAATGGAATCGGAGCTCCATAAGGGGGTTATTTCACTGACTTACACCTGCTTTCCCACATAAAGCCCGCAGGCGCACAGCCGCAGGAGGCTTCAGCTCCACACAGGAGCCCAATGTTGATCCCCAAGCGAAGAACAGCCTGATGGGTTTTTCTACGGGAATTCTACTGAGTTTACTGGGGCTATCTGGGGTTCTCTCCGTAACTTATAATGTTGGTAAAACATGGTAAAAGAATAATAAGCCATCCCCGGATCCATCATAAGGTGAACCATCATGGATGGTTTATGATCGTTTCAACCACATTTTTTTTGGGAACACATACTTGGTGGCTCATCCCACGAATCGTAAGTGGGTTATAACCCCAGTTATAAATGGGATAAGTAGGGTTAATCCACTTATAACTGGGGTTATAACCCACTTACGATTCGTGGGATGAGCCACCAAGTAGGAATATTTACGAACCAACCAGTGTCATGTGTTGTTTTTTTGGAATATTTCTCATGGATCACATCAATGATTGATCCACTATTTGCTGGATTTTGCATGATATAGTGATTAGTCATATATCATTGATGTACGGATATTCAATATCATAATATGATACCTACAAGTCGTATGATATTTTCATGTATCGTATGATACTACTATCAATTGGTTTACTAATGTTTTGATATTCATGTTTATCTTGACACATTGCCTCATGGAATGATATCAATGATGTGTAAATCATACCTAAACAAAAAGCAATGTCAATATGATAGCAATGGGGTTATCACGTGAAAAGAGTTTATACTTGTCATGTTCAAACAGATGCTCATGAGAAAATTCCCACAGTTTGATATTTCGATGATGTTCTTATTGTTTACCTTGCTATGTGTGACTATCAGCAAAGTTGCCATCTGGTTATCACACATAGCAAGGTAAACAATAAGAACATCATCGAAATATCAAACTGTGGGAATTTTCTCATGAGCATCTGTTTGAACATGACAAGTATAAACTCTTTTCACGTGATAACCCCATTGCTATCATATTGACATTGCTTTTTGTTTAGGTATGATTTACACATCATTGATATCATTCCATGAGGCAATGTGTCAAGATAAACATGAATATCAAAACATTAGTAAACCAATTGATAGTAGTATCATACGATACATGAAAATATCATACGACTTGTAGGTATCATATTATGATATTGAATATCCGTACATCAATGATATATGACTAATCACTATATCATGCAAAATTCAGCAAATAGTGGATCAATCATTGATGTGATCCATGAGAAATATTCCAAAAAAACAACACATGACACTGGTTGGTTCGTAAATATTCCTACTTGGTGGCTCATCCCACGAATCGTAAGTGGGTTATAACCCCAGTTATAAGTGGATTAACCCTACTTATCCCATTTATAACTGCGGTTATAACCCACTTACGATTCGTGGGATGAGCCGCCAAGTACCATATATTTGTGGCCTATGTTTTAGGCCTATGTAAGGAGATATAACATGATATAACCCCAAAATATGGCCAAACATATGGTACGTTTACGTACCTCTATGTATTGGATCCTGGAGATCTCCCATTGATGAGAGCCTGAAAACGAGCATGAAAAATCTCCCCTTAAATGGATGGTTTGTCGGATGGGGCCCCCGTTCGTTGTTTGTTGCGTTCGGTTGCCTTAGAAAAGTGGCTGAATTAACTCTGGAAATGGGATGTTTATGGTAGATACAACGAAGTAGTTGCTCTCCGGAATTTGGTAGTCCGCTATTGAAAATGGCCCATAGAAATAGTTGATTTACCTATTAAAGATGGTGATTTTCCTGTTCGCTATGTTAGTTTACCAGAGAATGTTTTTAAGCACATCACTGGGGAGCACCATCCTGTCGATCATGCACCTCTTTGAATCATTTGAAATTCATCCAGATGAAGCCTGAGCTCGGCCAGCCTGGCCAGCTTGGTGATGCAGGAAATAAATCATAGACTATCTACTGTGAGTTCAAGCCTTTGAGAGGTAGTAATAAAAACATTAAGCCGCACAAAAATGTTGATGTTTTTTTTAACCTAATCAACTGTTGATTAAAGAAAACATGTAAATTAATTGACACTAATTGATAGCGGGTTTAATCTTTGCACACATGAACTGTCAACCAAACCCACAGTATTGAGTCTTTTTCTCACTCCCCCATGAGGGGCCGTTCTGTTAAATTTATCCCGCATGTTCCGAATTATACATCAAAATACATTGAGATATACTAAGCCAAATTTTGGTTCAAACAACATCTTTGTTTTTCCAACGTTGATCTCCTCTCCTCTCCTTTGACCTTCCTGCCCGACGGCCGCAGCGAAGGACACGGTGGTGGCACTCAACGCCCTGGCGACGTATGCCATCAGCGCGGGGCAGAGCGTGGATGTGGCGCTGGAGGCGATGGCGACTTCACCCTGGCTGTCAAGAAATATGGTATTTTGAATAAACCTCAACTGGATAGATAGATATATGATATGGGATATACTGGGTAATAGTGTTTTTTTAATGGCATAATATACTGATAGGCTATGGGATAATGATAGGGCATACCCCCAAATTTAGCAATTTTGAAGAGGGAAAATGTGTGGGAAAATGATGGTTATCCAATGTTTTATCTATTGGAATTTCATATCGGGTCATGTGGGTAAAACGCCATTTTGAATAGGGAAAATAGATGGAAAAATGATGATCATTATGTTTTACTTCATTTCTTTTTGCCATTTTGAAAAGGGAATTATCCCATGAAATGAAAAATGATTTAGGAATGTTTATTGAATAGGGAATATGTCAGCCCTTGATAACATGGTATTGATTGATGATTCTTGGGTTTGCCACATTGTATACCAAGAATGGTTATAACATGGAGATGAAAATCGGGAAATGTGGGTAAACACCATTTTGAATAGGGAAAATTGCTATGGGAAAATGATGATCATCTGTTTTTTTTATCTAATGGAATTGGGGATATATAATCTATTTTCCCATTTCATCATAACTCACTTGTTCAGTGATTGTAAGGATTGGAGGAATCATCTCGTCTATCTACCTTCTGGTAAACTAACATAACTATGGAAAATCACAATTTTTTATCGGAAAACTCACTATAAACTGCTATTTTCAATAGCTATGTTAAATTACCAGAGGGTACATGGTTTGATGATGTTTGGATAAAGAATATATTCGAACATTTACCCAGATTCAATACACAACATGTAGGGCTGGTTCAAATGTCAATTAGGAACCCCTTAAAATGTCATGCTGATGTCATGATGTCATGGCTCACCAATTTTGGTGCCATTTTCTGTGGCATCCACATTTTTAAAAAAGGAACCCAGGTCATGTCGTTTCTCCAGAACAACGGACATGTCAAGTGTGACCTCGGGCATGGAAATTTACCCTCTGGTTGTGACTAACAGTTCGCCATGGTATAGATGGCCCATAGAAATAGATGATTTTCCCATTAAAACTCAATTTACAAGGGATTTTCCATGGCTATGTTAAATAACCAGATGGTACATGCATTTACATCCTGGAGCAAAAAGTGAACCTTAGTTGGATGATGTTCAAAGTTGGTGCTTGGCAACGGGACCGCAATCTCTGGCTAGACCCAGCTGGTTAAAACAGTGAAAAAACCCAGCTACCGTCTTTCTGGGGCCTCGAAACTCAACACGCATTGAATTTGAAGAAACTATGACTTGGAAACTAGTAAAACACTATTAGTGGCTGGTCCATTTTTTTTTGGTCGAAGTGAAATAGCTGCAAGATACTGTACCTTGATACTGCGAGTTTTTTGCAAATGGCTGTTTTCTTGAATCAATCCCCTTTTACAGTTAAGGCCCGAAATACCAGTTATAAGTACTAAGAAAACCCCATTTATAGAATGTTTTTTTCCCCATAGAAATAACCAGTTTTAGCTAATAGCCATGGCCATAACTGTAGGGACGAAACCCTCAAGTCTTGCTGTTTGGGGTGAGGATGTTCTCACAGGTGAAAGACGGCCAGAATTTCCAAGAATCTCTGCAAGTCACAGCGCAGAATCTTGGGCTTGAAAAAGGGGCTGCTGTTGCTAGGTCAATCTTACATGGATACTTTATATATATATATATCTATATTCCCATATATACCATATTAGATTCCCATATGCTAGGTCAATTTTAGATGAATACCTACTAATCCTTTAGTCTTTTGGTATGAAAATGGGAATATCTACTTACTCACCAGCAAAGAATTGAGTCCATTTTTTGCAGGGGCCCTCTGGCTGATTGGCAATGTTAAGAAGAGGATATCGAAAACTCTGCAAAACCATGCAAAACCAGTGATTTCCAGATCTGAATTCACATGGTAAAACTCATAGAATAGGTAATTTTGAAGATGTCGGATGATGGTTCTCTTGTGGTGATCCCAAGTTGCCAAGCTGCCACCAAAAACGTCAAACATTTCAAGACGTGGTCATGTGTCGCATAACAAGCATGCAGCACTTAAATGCACATGTGCTAAATCTGGTTGGTGGTTTGAAACATGTTTATTTTCCATTTCATATATCGGATAATCCTTCCCATTGACTTTCATATTTTTCGAGATGGTTAAAACCACCAACCAGAAATTCAGCTTGGCAAATGATGACATTTTGCAGCCAGAAACACCACTAGTTATACTAGTTGTTGAAGCTGGTGAAGCTGAAGCGTCGTTTGCGTTCCGAATCATGGGGATTCAATGATGTCCAACGACACTCCAGAAAGTGATTTCCAACAAGGTGAAACAGCCGCGCTCTATGTAGAATGCCATGATTCTCGCTTGGATTTCCTGTTTTGTTTGGATGATATGTCAAGAAAAAGTGACAAGATCTTTAGGTCATGATGATCATAAAGAGTCATAAAGCTTTGGGGGGCTATTGATTCCTGTAACAGGGGTACTAGCACTTTATCGCGCCCGAGTTGCACTCCATTATTTGCATGTTTGGGTTCCTCGAACGCAAAAGTTTGCGTTCAGCTGCTGTTTCTGCTACTGGAGGCCTACAGGACTCCAAAACAAACAAACATGGAAACTAGCCTTCAGTATTCAAAGGTTGAGAAATCCTCTGTAAATAGAGGCTTCTAGCTGGGAAAATCATCTGTAATCCATAGATTATAAATGGAGGAGTGTCAAGCAAGCCATGTTTGACCGGAGGGTAGAGGCCGGGATGAGTTGCCAATAGGGCGACCGCACCCCCCCAAAAAACAGTGATCAAAAGCTGAATGGGCAGAAATTGGTGTGCCAATTGGTACTATTAGGTATATATTTCTTTTAAAATCTATGATATAGGTCTGTAGGGGGGTCTTTCCCAAAGATCTATGGTTCAGCAGAATGTTTCAACAATTTCCACATTTGGAATATATATATATATATATATATATGGTACCCGCCCAAAAAACACCTACTCTCTTATGACTTTGACTGGTATTTACAGTATTTTCTGTAGTAGGTTTTGGGGGGGTTAGCATATACATATATATATATATAAAGATAATGTTCCCAATGTTTTTGTTATGACAAGGGATCAAAAAGGCCATGTGCCCTGCGGGCCCTGCGGGCCCCCGAGGAACATGGACGTGCTGCAAAGCCTCTCTCCCCCGGTGACAAGTGGCGCGATGCCACTGACGGTGACCGGCAGCGGCAGTGGCATGGCGCTGGTCATGGCCAATCTGGAGCAACGTGGCAAAAGATTCACGAAGAATGGTGCCCCATCGGAAAACTAAGAACGATATGAATGACGTTTATATGGATATATATATATAGCTGATTTATGACTAAGTTGGTGAACATCACTTTAATTTCACTAGGACTTATGGTAGATATGTCTATTGTTAACGAGGCAACACATTGTAGGAACGGTGGTTTGATTGATTGAAATATATTGAAATATGGGTAAAACCATTCCCTAAAAGATAGAAAAGTATTTCCAGGTGGTTGTACTGTAGATCATATTTGGTTATATAACAAAAATGTTGCGGGGAAATCACATTTGTTTTTCCTGTTGAGAAAAACATCCCATAAATAATTACCCTCTGGTAAACATACAAAAAGCTATGGAAAATCACAATTTTTAATGGGAAAATCCACTATAAATGGTCATTTTCAATAGCTACGTTAAATTACCAGAGGGTAAATAATTATAGTGGTGATTTCCCCTGATAATGGGGAAAACAACTCAATGAGTACAAGGGTGCAATGGAAGCACGGCACGGTGACAGGGAGGAGCAACGAAGGCAAAACAACAAGGCGCATGCAGAACCATATTTCAAGGAAAGTGATCTACAAATTATGGGTTTTCCATATCGTTTTTTTTTCCATATCGTTTTGTGGATGTACTTACTTTAGTGAACGAGTTATAGCTAAAGCTATAACCATGAAGCTACGGACAGTATACAATCCAGAAAGGAATCTTGTGAATCATCTAGTAATAAACCTTTTTTCTCAGCTTGTGAAACATCCCCTGCTTGCTTGGTGAGTTGTTCCTTGGAACCAGATTTCATTGGAATATGGATGGCAATATGGTTGCTCCATATATAAATTTACTGGAGGGCAAATAAGAAGATCATCGAAGATACAATACGTTCTAGTTGGTGGTTTCAAACATGAATTTGATTTTCCAACAATATATTGGGAACAATAATCCCATTTGATTTTCATATTTTTAAGAGGGGTAGGCTCAACCACCAACCAGCGTTGATGTTGACCATTCAACAGCGGAGTTATGAAGGCTTTCGAACGTAAGTGTTCGCCTTAAAGCAGGCATAGATTTTTTCAAGACATGAATGAGCCAAGAAAACAGTATTCAAATGTGATTTTTGCTGAGAAATTTGTGCTTTGCCGACTGGGATTGGATATTTATATACATACATACATATATACATATATACATATATATATATACATATTTATATTTTCCTCTGAGAGGGTTCAAGTTGCCCAACGAAAAAATGGATTTCAACCATACTGCCAATCAACACGGCAATAAACTCATTATTTTGTTGACTGAGCATGGGTAGTTAAACTATTGGACAAGACTTCAGCATAGTCGACCAGTAAAGATGAAGACCTCATCGATATCCTTTTCCCACTGGCTGCATTGTTGATTGCATTTTCTTGAATAAGACATCATGAATATATGAGTTGTCTGAAACTCTGCTGTTCCATGACAATTCTTATCAAAGTTGCCATCAATTGGAATCAATTGGGGCTAAATTATTTCATTTTCAGACACACCGAGTGGGATATTGTTGGTTTCTCCCACTATCACCATATTCCAGTACAGTACACATTATATCAGCATAAAATGATTCGCAGACCAACTCTTTAGACACATTCAAGAATGAAATGGCTGGTTGTATATATCCCGTTATCACTAAGGAATACCATTCATATCCCATTATGTTTTCATCGCCTGGGTGATATTGTTACCGTCTGGTTGTTATTTTTGATCGGTTCCCTATTGAAAATTGCCATTTATAGTTGATCTACCTATTAAAAATGGTGGTTATCCAGTTCGCTATGTTAGTTTACCAGAGGGTAAATCATTGAACCACATGAGCAATGGCTTATGGTTTCCGTAGCAAACTGAGAAATTACCAGAAGGTAAACTGGTAAACCCCACCCATCTTTGAACATATCGCCGTGACATGACGTGTACCTGCGATGCCCAGGTACAACATGCCCGATTGGGTGCCGCAGGGGAACCGGGGGCCCTTGTGGTGGGATAAAGTCCTATTGCGAAACTGTCTTGGAGTGCGCAACTAATGTTGCGAAACTATTCGTTAGTATTGCACAACTATTTGGTTGTATTGCGCATGCGCAACTATTCTTGCGCAACTATAGGATTGCGCAACTGGTATTTCGGAACTAATTTATCGTATTTCGCAATTACCGTATTTCGCAACTCTTCTTGCGCAACTCGTATTTGGAAACTACCGTCTCTAACTTTCCGCAGCTATTCCTACGCCAATTCCTAGTCTGCTAACATTGGATCAAGCTGCGCACTTACGTGATGCCACGCTCGAGATGGGGTGGGGGGTATTGCTTGAGCTGCTGCATGCGCTCTATACAAACACCGAGATGTCTCTTTGCTTGCGCGTGACCATGAGCCGACTACTGAAATCTTGGGAGAGGTAAAGAGACAGAATCCTCCGTGTGCACACTGGGCTGGTGATCTGGTGCACGGGAAACTTTGGGAGTTTCAAAAAACAAGTTTCAGAGAAAAGGCCGAGTTCCGAAATACAACTGGTCAGTTGCAAAATACAACCGTGAAGTATCAAAATATCAGTTGCAAAATACAACTGTTTAGTTTCAAAATACAACTGTTCAGTTTCACAATACAACTGTTTAGTTTTAAAATACCTGTTGCAAAATACAACTGTTTAGTTTCAAGATACAACCGTTTAGTTTCAAACTAATACGTTGCCCGGCCATTGTGGGTAAAGTTCATTACAATCTACGGTTGTAGCCCTGAAGAATTATAGATGAGATTACAACTCCTGCAACTAAGGTTGTACTATAAGCCAGTTATAGTTGTTAAGAGCTGCAGCTGCAGAGAACGGAACGGTGTAAGTTTTTTGGAAGACTTAGCTATGGATCAAAACGTCAGAACCCTGGTACCATTGGTGAACCCCAAACTAGCTGCAACTAGCTGCAACTAGCTGGTAGATTGGCAAGTGATGGTTCGTCCTCCAGATATAGGTATTGACCCATCCCCACCTTATCTGCCTTGTTTTGGGGTGTTTGATGCTGAGCCATACTTATAATTACAAAATGTAGATCAAGTATGATGTAATGATCAACGCGTTTTTGGAGAAGATGAGATTGCACACTCCCATGGGATCTCTCTTTACTGCATTGGAAAGATGGGCGCACCCGAGAATTTCCGTGCATCAATCCACTTGCCTGCCTGTGGATGGTGCTTCACCAGTGCCAGCGATTCTCCAAGTGGTTTCATGGTCTGTTGGAGGCCACACCCCCTCCTACACTGCTCCATGGAACTTAATCTAATCCTCCATTGCGAAGAGGTTGTTCCTGGAAACCCCCTGAAACCCACTACTGAGAGGAAGCTCGTTGCGCTTTATTGGAGCTGGCTTCAATACGGACGACTGTATCGGGAGCACGTGCATCCAAAGCTCTTCAGAGTGGACCGGTCCGTCCACATGAAAAAGATAAGGGGTGGGTACTCCTTCAGGATTCCGAAGCGGAGAGCGAGGCGGAGACCGAGTCTGAAGCGGAAGCCGTGCAACCGCAGGGTCCACAGATTATCTGGAGGACCCGCGCGGAAGAATTCATCCGCAGAGTAACATTGAGGCTCGTGCTCCAGATAGGGTGGCAGAACAGGTTGCCCAATGAGGCAACCAGAATGGTGGCAGGTTACCTGCTTGGATGAGTGGAAAAAATGTTAACTAACAGTAAACAGGGGGGTGAAAGGATGGTTTCTACTTGGTAAGTGGTCAAAGACAGACGGCCAGAACTTTGACAAGGCAAACCGTGAAACGGCAGTTTGAGACATACGAGGCAAGAAAGGTAAATACTAGGCATAGCTTGCTGCACCATCTTTGTGGCACAGTTGCTACACGTGAACTGCACGAGTGCAATAAAAGCACGCGCTGGAGCCGTTGCAGCATCCGGCAATTGCCCGCGCGATTCCTTCAGCCGACTCCATTGCACTTGCAACGGGTCTGGAAGTCAGCACGCTGCTCAGATTTTGTTGCCAGGTCGCAGCAAGGAAACTTCCGTTCCTTATCCCCAGCTATAGGCCGCCATGCTTCTCACACTGCTCATTCACGTGCAACAAGCAGAGGAGCATAAGAACAAACAAACATAGGCACATACATACGTAGAAACAAAGACTTATAGATAAATACCGATTCCTGCACATTAACACGACAACAAGATTCGGGTTCGATCACTAAAAAAGTTGAAGTCGTCAGACGACGGACTTGAGGTCAACTATCAAGGCAACAACAGGAAATTAAATTCAGTGCCCAACCTTTCCGCCAATGTCAGGCAATGGGTGACGACTACTACCAGTTCGGCAGCCAAGTGTTGCTTCGAGAGCAGGCAGCGGCATACGAGCGACTTCGTTTATGCCGAGGGATTCAGAGGACCAGCAAATCACACTCATAGCATCATTGCTTTGTCGAGGGACTCAGAGCACCATCGAATCACACTTATAGCATCACTGCTTGTCACTGTCTCTGCAATCCAATCTAGCGACAGGCGACATTGGATAAGAACATCAACAAAGAACAGCTTGGTCGCATGAAGCAGAAGGCCGGGTCCACAAAACACAGGGCGCACAAGACACACCGTGTTCACTCAGAAGTGTTCGCGTCGCTACGTGGTTTGTTTTTACGTAGGACTTGAGCACGTAGAACTTGGTTGTTACCGTTGAATTGCCTGCAACGGCCTAGCAGGACCTACGCCACCGCTGGCCGCACAGAACAGGCACAGTCAGCTAATAGGAGCGTAGTGGTAGTGTACAGACAACGCTCCTTTCACCGGGGAGCTCACAGCAACTGCACATGGATTATGTGAGTCAATGATATCATACGTCATACGTAGGAAGCATTGGAATTTCAAACGTTCAAAAAGCTGGCGGCCCACGTTGGAATGGCCCTGCAGCCGTCCACACAGTCGGTTGCCCAAGGCGAGCCGACTGTTTTTTACGGCACCGATGGGCCTGCGGATGGGCATACAGTTGTCATTTCCAAACATGGCGGACCGCTTTCTTTTTGGACGACTCTCTTGGGTCGTGGCGGATGAAGCTGCCCTGAAGCAGCTCTGATCCTTCAGAAGGTCTGGGGGGACAATGACAATGATGTGCTTTACGGCTTTAAGTGTTCAAATGTTGTTGCTCACATTTCTCGGCGGGATGTTCACGATGCTTCTCGTGTTCTGGTGTCCAGCTGCATCACCACTTTCAGTCAGTGCAGGCTCGAGATCTGTGATGCAATATATAGGTATATTTATATATATATAGTTACGGACACTCAGTTAGAATATGAAAAACTAAGATTTATTAAATAAACAAACTAAAAAATAGTAGCTCCGAACGGTGATTTTATTTAGGCGAAATCTAGCACTTAGAATATGAAAAATATTTTTAAAAAAAACAATGATGTCTTGATTTTTGCAAAGTCGAACCTAATGAAAAACAATGTTTTTTGCAAGGTGATGCTGTTGTGGGATCAATTATGTTATTGTTTTTGCAACATCGAACCCAATGAAAAACAATGGTTTTTGCAAGGTAATGCTGTTGTGGGATCAATCACGTCTTTGCTATTGCAACAGCAAACCTAATGAAAAACAATGGTTTTTGCACAGTAATGCTGTTGTGGGATGAATCATCTCTTTGTTTTTGCAATATTCAACTTAATGAAAAACAATGCTTGTTGCAAGGTAATGCTGTTGTGAAAACAATAACTTGGACATGAAGAAAGTTGACCCCATAATCAAACCAGTAGTACCGCACAAGGCGGTGGCGGAAGTTTCAAAAATAGGAAACCTATAGGAGAGGTTGGTTGTTGTGAATCAGGGATGGCAGAGCGAATCCACTGATGGACCGAAAGGTGCTTGAAGTCTCCTCTCTTTTGCTCTCTTTCTCTGACTATCTACCTACCTACCTACCTACTTACCTACCTACCTACCTACCTATCTATCTTCTATCTATCTATCTATCGATCTATCTATCTCTCTCTCTCTTTTTCATCTAATTACCTATCTAGTTACCTATCTATCTATCTATCTATCTATCTATCTATCTATCTATCTATCTATCTTTCTCTCTATCTATCTCTCTCTCTATCTATCTATCTTTCTATCTACCTACCTACCTATCTATCTATCTATCTATCTCTCTTTCTCTTTCTCTTTCTATCTATCTATCTATCTATCTATCTCTCTCTCTCTCTCTCTATCTATCTATCTATCTATCTATCTATCTATCTATCTATCTATCTATCTATCTATCTATCTGTGGTTGGTGGTGTTGTTGTTGTTGTTGCTGTTGCTGTTGTCGTCGAAGTTAGGGTAGTTAAGTTAGTGAAGTTAGTCAAGTTAGTTAAGTTAAGCAGTGTCTACTTTTTCGACATCTTAACGTCAAAAACGGCTCAAAACCCCTCAGTTTTTTACACTTTTGACTTAGAAATGTGCTTCGCGCCACAACGGCGTGCACTTTTTAGACACTTTTTCGACATCTGAACCTCCAAAAGTGGTCCGAGAATGGTGTGCTTTGTACATTTTGACTTGGAAATGTGCTTCGCGCCACAACGGCGTGCACTTTTTCGACATCGCAACTTCCAAAAGTGGTCCGAACCCCTAGTGTTTTGTACATTTTGACTTGGAAATGTGCTTCGCGCCACAACGGCGTGCACTTTTTCAACATCGCAACTTCCAAAAGTGGTCCGGAGCTGATGTGTTTTGTACATTTTGACTTGGAAATGTGCTTCGCGCCACAACGGCGTGCACTTTTTCGACATCTCAACTTCCAAAAGTGGTCCGAACCCCTGGTGTTTTGTACGTTTTGACTTGGAAATGTGCTTCGCGCCACAACGGCGTGCAATTTTGCATCGCTCCTGTGGCCAGCTGGCTCCGCACCCGCCGCTTTAGCGAGCCTACTTTTCGACCCTCCGGCGCCACAAATCATTGGAAAAACACAGTGTTCCGAGTGTTTCGCGACTTTCCTACCTTTTCGCGCATCTGTAGCGTCTGTCCTCTTACTCTTTCTCTTCTGATCTTCTCTCTTCTAATCTTCCTCTTCTCTGTGCCTCTGCCCTGCTCTGCTTTTCATCTCTCCATATTGTCGGAAGTTTGACTTCTAAACTTCCTTCGAATAATTGAATTTGCTGGGATGGAATCCACTTACAATATCCTTATGATTCATTATCACCAATGAATCAATATACTACTGTACAGGGTTTGGGACTGGTTGTAGGCTACTGTGTAATTATATATATGCAGTGAGATTACAGTACTGCAAGTGTGGATTGCTGATATGTATTGCAAAATAATGGTGTTTTTGCTGATACGTATTGCAAAATAATGGTTATCTATTGTTACGGAAATGTTATTTTTTCATATTCTATCTGCATTCATAAACGAGGTATTTTAACTGCGTTCCCAAATAAATAAAATAGCTAAAAAAACATATTCTATCTTATTCAAACAAATTATAATATTCTAAGTGATTGTCCGTTATAGTATTTACATACACACATACAGTGTTTCCGACTTCATTTTGCATTTTAGAGTTTCCTTTTTCTGACAAGCGTCCGTTTGAAAAGCTGGTCTCAATTTGGAGCTAGGACCCAAAAAATTGACGTGTTCAAGAAATATCAATATTTCTGCACAAGCAACACTCGCACCCGCACAAGGTCATTACTGCAGATAAAACGCTCCTACAATACCAGTGGGCATAGTGTGTTGGCATGTTGTTGCCATACTCCGATCCTACTAGCAAATACCGGATTCTTGGTTTTATTCATCGCTCTCTCACCACACAAAAATGAAAGCATTTTGTATCCATGAAACAAGTATTATGTGTTCTTATTTTGTATCTAGAGGACCAACTGACTAAAACCCATCCCAACCCCAAAAACGTCAGTTTTGCTCGGTTCCCGGATCCATTCTTGGATGCGCGCCCCAGTTAGTAAGTGGTTCATGAAACATCTAAGACTGAGAATATTGCAAATATATATATATATATATGTATATGCATAAGCATATGTATAGACAGATAGATAGATAGATAGATAGATAGATAGATAGGAAGGATTAGATAGATAGATAGATAGGAAGGATTAGATAGATAGATAGATAGATAGGAAGGATTAGATAGATAGATGGATGGATAGGATAGGATAGGATAGGATGGGATAGATTAGATTAGATTAGATTCGATTAGATAGATAGATAGATAGGGTTAGATAGATAGTTAGATAGATAGATAGGATAGATTAGATTAGATTAGATTAGATAGATAGATAGATAGATAGGATTAGATAGATAGTTAGATAGATAGATAGAATAGAATAGAATAGATTTGATTAGATAAGATAGATAGGTAGATAGATATGTATACATTTATGTTTTTATTTATATATTTATTTTGTGTATATATATGTATTGTGTATTTTTGCATATTCATTTATATATATATATACATTTTTGTATATTTGCATATTTGTACTTAAATTTATGTTTATATACATACATGTTTACATATTATGTATGTATATATAGGGCCTATAGGGCATACTATGGTCATCAACCACTTCCAGACGGCTATTCACCCGCAAGTAGCCAACACAAACCGCCAATTGGCCAGGAGTTGCCGCCTTGCTACACTGTTGAGGTGCAGGGGCGATAGTGGCGCTGCTATCTACCAGTATTATATTATTGCATTAGTTATTCGATAGTATTATGTATAGTAAATGTATTAAATTACATATCAACCATAGTGATATAGCAAATATATTTATATATACGGTATTCAATTGTATTTATGTCTAATGTTTTAGTGTGTTATGAATACTTATATATATATATATCAGTTAATGTCAGAATAATGATACAACCGTGGAATAGTGGTATACCATTGAATAATGATACAACAGTATTAGTATAGATTTGCCATATTATTGGAATTTTACATGACCAATTGGACATCAATGATCGTCGCAACGATATTTTCGTTAATAAGGGTTCAAACAAGGTTGTTTTACAATATCAAGGTAATGAAATGATATCATATCTATTGCTGCTGATCTTGCTGTTGTAAAAAAATCATGTCATTGAGATATCCACTATGCATGAATGCATGAGATACTATTTGGGAATTAAATGGCAAGTGGAATCATATTAGCTACTACTGGTTTCAAACACAAATGAGTCGATGATTGTTTTTTTCCCAGTTGGAAATCCACTACGACGGGGAATCTTTTGGGGAAATCTCCTGAAGCAACTCCAAGAATTTCCCGGAGATTGATCCCCAAGTGATTACCAAACATGGCAAGCACGGGGTTCATGACGTGTGACCAAAATGCTTATGCGGCCATACTCGCCATACTTAAAGGGGTATGTATACCCCACGTTGCGGGGAATACATCGACGGTTGTACATATTTGTACATCATATTACCGGTTGGTGGTTTGGAACATGTTTTATTTTTCCATTCCATATATAGGGAATAATAATCCCAACTGACGAACTCATATTTTTCAGCGGGGTTGAAACCACCAACCAGATTAGTTGTAGTAGATTTAGTGGTAGATTTCGATCCGGTTATTTTGGGGTCCAAAGAGTTAGGGGTAACACGATCGGGTGGTGAGACTAACAACAAGAAACCTGCAATATCTGCTGCTGTTCGTTACTTTCTCACACGAACAAAATGAGTATGATAAGAGAGAGTTGGGATTTATTTAAAGCACAACATGATGGCAAGATGTTAGTTCCAGTGATGTGGGTAAAACAATTTCGTAAACCATCTCCAAATCACCATTTTTATAGGCGTTATGTTTACCATTCCCAGTGATGGGTGGTTTATGACATTGTTTTACCCACATTATCCCCCATTCCAATAGATACAAAATGGGATGATCATCGTTTTCCCATATTAATGTTCCCTATTCAAAATGGCTAAATTTGATGGTATACCCTATCATTATCCCATAGTTTCAGTATATTATGCCATGATATTCCATTACCCAGTATATCCCATATCTATCTATCCAGTTGAGGTTTTTTCAAAATGGATATTTGGAGGTATAGTTCACATCATTAACAGCCCCATTGGATTCCGCCCTGAGAGGTGCAGTGGTTTGGAACAGGTGATGCAGATGCAGTGCAAGCCTGTGGTCTTTTGGCGGAGTTCTTTCGGGGGAACGGCACATCGAGGTTTTCTAAAATGGGGATGGTTGATATAGTGAAATATTGTGAAATATGGTGATAAACCAACCATAGCATGGCTAATATGGTGAACTATGGTGAGATATGAGGCACATATAGTTCTGATAATGGCTACTGTGGTGAAATGTGGTGAGGGAGAATATCGTCGGACATAGTATATGAGTTCTCGAAAATAACCTCTAGCAATCCCCTGGGGACAATTTTAATGGGATTTACATAGCCAAAACAGGTATTCAATTATTCAACCAATGAATATTGGATTGAACCAAAAATGCAAGTGAATCTTGAATCAGTTCTGGTTGGTGGCTTGGAACATTTTTCCATATTTTCGGAATAATAGCCCCAACTGACTTTCATATTTTTCAGAGGGGTTGAAACCACCAACCAGAGTTTGTACTTATACACCATGCATTGGGTGTTAACCTGGTGAAATACGGCGATGGACATATTCCGCTTTATCGGATTTTTTTTTGTATATAATGGGATGCGTATATATATATATATATTATATAGTTTAATTCATCCTAAACTTGCGGAATACCTCCCACTCTGCAAGAGTAAAGGTAAACAAGTGTTGAAACTTGACTTTTGCAGCTAAGTTTTAGTATCAGGTGATCCGCAAGAATCAATCATCTGTATGTACAACTGCGTCCACTTGGCTTGATTATGTTACGGTAATTTTTTGAATGCTTTCTCATTGTGGATTCCACACTCTCGCCCAGGAGGGATGCTTAAGAGAATTCAAGATGTAGGAGATTTAAAACTTACTGCTGCCTAAATGAGGGAATGGGATGATTGCTATGGATCATTCCCCCATTCCCTACGTTTAGCACCAGTAAGAAAATTGGACACAAAAGTTCCAAATATCAAACCTCGAAAGCTGCTTGTCCCTATTGGATTCGGGGTTGTCGACTTCCGAAATTTACACAAATACACAATTCCCCATGGTACTTATGCTATATCACCAAAGTATGATTGTGAAAATGAGTATACCAAATCTTATGCTATATCACATAATTATATCACCAAACTTTCTGCCATGAAAATTATACAAGATATCACCAAACCTCCCACGTCTGACGGAGACCTAGGCACCCCAACCGCCAATTGTGGTACACCGAATTCCATGGCCATCATCAGCGTACCTTGGCGGAAATTTCTCAATCATCGGCATTATTCCTTTTATGATTGGGTCATAGTTTCATAGCCAGTTGTGCAACTCGTCATCCATGTGTTTTTTGTTTGATGATTGCGGATCCAAATCAAGTTCGAGTTCCCAAAATGTGTGTGTGTGTGTTTGTTGAAACCACCAACATTCAATGGCCATTTCAGGAACCTAAATTGGAGGTACCTACCATATATTTGTGGCCTATGTTTTAGGGTTATTATACCCCCAAAATATGGCCAAACATATGGTACTAACGTACCTCCATGTATTGGATCCTGAAGTTCCCATTGAAACATGGGTGCTATACCACAATCGAAAAAAATGATTACAGCTACATCACTGAATGGTCACTGCCCATCCCACTGGAAATGGGACCTGACAAAGACATCACTCCACAAGTGGCACTCACCATGACCATGACTAATACAGTTAAGGCTGGTTACCAGTTATTTTGATGATTATGGATGGCTATTTCTATGGGATTATAATTCTATAAATGGGGTGACTTACCTCAAAAAAGTGGTATTTTGGGGCCACAACTGTATCAAATACCCCAATGGCTGGGCCCTTTTTTGAATAGATCCACCTGGATTGGGTCAGTCGATGATTTCTCGACACAACCCACACCTCTCCATCCTAAACGCGTTTCAGTCACAGAATTGGATGATGGGAAAATTGACACCGGAAACCCCGGTTTGGTTTTTCCGGTTTTCCGATTTTCCCAACGAAACCAATCCATTGATTCAGGTGGGTCTCTTCACTGGATATGCGCCTTCCATGAGCCGGGCACACAGACCTGGCGCTGGTGAACCCGATGGCCGCTGGTTGATTCTAAGCTGGTTCACAATGTGGGGCACCCAAACGTTATGTTTGTTGCTTTATAAACCCCAGTAACTGTAGTTATAAGTACCGTAAACTATAGTTAATTGGAGTTGTAATCTAGGTCAGTCAACTGGATGGGTAGAAACTAATCCTTTTGTCTTTTGGTATGGGATTATCCAATTATCTACGTTGACCAGCTAAGAATTGATTTTTTTGCGGGGTATCTAAGATTGGCCATGTGAAGTTGGTTCACTAGGGCGTATATATGGCTTATATCAATGGATTGGTTGGAGGGAAAATCTTTACCGGAAACCATGGATTTTCTCCGTCAAATATAGGGATTTCCTGTAAATTGTCCCTTACACCAATCCATTGCTTATAGGTAAGTGTACCAGGTTCCAGCAGGGAAATGGGTCATTTTACCTCTATGTTTGGCCAATTTTCCCCCCCTTGTACCTGGGGTGTTGGGAGCAAACCTGCGTACTGTTGGTATATCTATGTCTGGTTGGTGGTTTCAAACATTGTTTATTTTCCATAATATATGGGATAATCCTTCCCATTGACTAATATTTTTCAGAGGGGTTGAAACCACCAACCAGATGTATATCTATACTTAGATTGGGAAACCAAACTTTCAATTGAGGCGCACCAGCTTATGGCTGTTTGTCAAGTGGTTTTTTTGCTGGCTCCGAAAAATTGGCGACATGGCATGGGAACATTCCCAACCAACTGGAAACCAATAACTATGGTTTATGATACGCAAATAACTACTTGGTGGCTCATCCCACTTAGTAAGTGGGTTATAACCCCAGTTATAAGTGGATTAACCCTACCTATCCCATTTATAACTGGGGTTATACGCCACTTACTAAGTGAGATGAGCCACCAAGTATGGTTCATTGGGGTTATAAACCAACATAACTAGCATTCATTCCCAACCAGCTGGATGGTAAACCATCTAAACGCACACCTTATCCGAATTGATTTTTGTGCTATGGAAACTATGGAAAATGACCAGCCAACCAGCAAAAGATGACATGCTTCTGAAACACTGAGACTGAGTGATTGCCGGCCTTGCCAAAGTGCAGTTGTGACTGGTACTCAAGGTCAATCTTACATGGATACCTACTAATCCTAACTAGTCTTTTGGCATTAATGGGAATATCTACTAACCAGCAAAGAATTTAATTTTTTGGAGGGTATCTAAGATTGGCAATGTACTCAATAAGGATGTAAGGCATGCTGGACACAATTGGAAGCCACTTCATTGTCTACCTCACTCAAGATGATTACCCTCTGGTAAACTAAGATAGCGAACTGGAAAATCGCCATCGTTAATAGGTAAATCAACTATTCAAATATTTTTCCATAATATATGTGATAATCCTTCCCATTGACTAATATTTTTCAACATGTTTAAAACCACCAACCAGGGACCATGTTCAGTAGCTATGTTAAATCACCAGAGGGTATTTGTGCATGTTTTTTTTTTCTGGTGAGGCTTTTGCCACATATTGAGACTTGGGGACCTATGGAAACCTGCAGATTCTCCTGCAAGGTGTTGCCCCATAGTTAGCTAAGTCTAACTTTTGTAACTCTGGTTTATGGCAGAGATATCGCACTTAATGGCATTTGTAAATCAACAGGCATAACGTAACTGGTGGGCAAATTGTGTAAACATCAGCCTGAAAGCTGCAAAAGCTATGATAATGGAATATTGTCATATATCTTAAGCCTAGAAACATGGCTTAAATGTGGGTTATATAATGTTATATATATGGGCTAATATTCCCCAATAGTGATTTCTTTATCGGGGTGATATCCCTTTTGGGGTATGTGAAAATCATCCATCAACGGGCCATTTTCCACATCTTGGTTTCCCCTAGGGTATGATCCCTTTGGTCCAAGAAAATGCTGATGGAAGAAATTCTGCATCACCAATGGTGGTTTGGAACATTGTTTTTCCATATATTGGGAAGAATAATCCCAACTGACGAACTCACAGTTTTCAGAAGGGTAGGTATACCACCAGCCAGTTATAAACAATGGGATAAACCAGGATAAACCACATCCCTCAACTCGTCCAGGATTTCGCTGGCCCATCCACCGTGGGTCCAACTTCAGGTTCGTTGCAGGCCTTGAAAGATGCCAAAGTGGTGAAGCGTGCGGCGTGCCCAGATAGCCGCAGGGGTTGACCTTGGTGGATCACTTGGGAATTTCAGGATCCCAATAGTGATAAATAGCTATTCCAGTAGTACCGCACAAGGCGGTGGCGGAAGTTTCAAAAATAGGAAACCTATAGGAGACGTTGGTTGTTGTGAATCACGGATGGCAGAGCGAATCCACTGATTGACCGAAAGGTGGTTGGAGTTGTGTTTGCTGGAATGGTTGCAATGGTTGCAGTGGTCACCTCACCCAAAACTGCTGGATGTAGTGTGATGTACTGCAACTGTAGTTGTAGTTGTAGCGTAGTGGAGTTGTAGTTGTGGTGTAATGTAATTAGTGTAGTGTAGTTGCAGTCATATAGTTGTAGATGTAGTTGTTTTGTAGTTGTAGTTGTTGTAGTTGTAGTTGTTGTAGTTGTAGTTGTTGTAGTTGTAGTTGTTGTTGTAGTTGTAGCTGTAGTTGTTGTGTGGTTGTAGTTGTTGTGTAGTGTTGTAGTTGTAGTAGTAGTTGTTGTTGTTGTTGTTGGTGTTGTAGTTGTTGTAGTTGTTGTAGTTGTTGTAGTTGTTGTAGTTGTTGTAGTTGTTGTAGTTGTTGTAGTTGTTGTAGTTGTAGTTGTTGTAGTTGTTGTGGTTGTTGTTGTTGTGGTTGTGGTTGTTGTTGTTGTAGTTGTAGTTGTAGTTGTTGTTGTTGTAGTTGTAGTTGTTGTGTAGTTGTAGTTGTTGTTGTTGTTGTTGTTGTTGCTGTTGTTGTTGCTGTTGTTGTAGTAGTAGTTGTTGTAGTTGTAGTTCTAGTTCTAGTTGTCGTGTAGTTGTTGTAGTTGTAGTTGTTGTAGTTGTTGTGGTTGTTGTTGTTGTTGTTGTTGTTGTGGTTGTGCTTGTGGTTGTTGTTGTTGTTGTTGTTGTTGTTGTTGTTGCTGTTGTCGTCGAAGTTAGGGTATTCGTGTTAGTGAAGTTACTTAAGTTAGTCAAGTTAGTTAAGTTAATCAGTGTCTACTTTTTCGACATCAGCACGTCAAAAAAGGCTCAAAACCCTCAGTTTTTTTACACTTTTGACTTCCAAATGTGCTTCGCGCCACAACGGCGTGCACTTTTTCGACACTTTTTCGACATCTGAACCTCCAAAAGTGGTCCGAGACCGTCAGTTTTTAACACTTTTGACTTGGAAATGTGCTTCGCGCCACAACGGCGTGCACTTTTTCAACATCTCAACTTCCAAAAGTGGTCCGAAGCTGAGGTGTTTTGTACATTTTGACTTGGAAATGTGCTTCGCGCCACAACGGCGAGCACTTGTTCGACATCGCAACTTCCAAGAATGGTGTGTTTTGTACATTTTGACTTGGAAATGTGCTTCGCGCCACAACGGCGTGCACTTGTTCGACATCGCAACTTCCAAGAATGGTGTGTTTTGTACATTTTGACTTGGAAATGTGCTTCGCGCCACAACGGCGTGCAATTTTTCATCTCTCATCTAGCCAGCTGGCTCCGCACCCGCCGCTTTAGCGAGCCTACTTTTTGACCCTCCGGAGCCACAAATCATTGGAAAAACACAGTGTTTCGCGACTTTCCTACCTTTTCGCGCATCTGAATCTTCTGTCTTCTTACTCTTTCTCTTCTAATCTTTCTCTTCTCTATGCCTCTTCCCTGCTCTGCTTTTCATCTCTCCATATTGTCGGAAGTTTGACTTCTAAACTTCCTTCGATAAATAAGGGTAACCATTGAAAAAAATAATAATAGATTTAAACAATAATTGAACAATAGTAATTAGTATGTAAATATCAATGGCCATCCCAGGAACCGATTTATTGGAGGTACCTACCATATATGCTTGGCCTATTTTTTAGGGAATGTCCCCACAAAATATGGCCAAACATATGGTACTAACGTACCTCCATTTTAGGATCCTAAAATTTCCATTGATCACTTGGGGACAGTGGCATTCGCTTCGTTGCGCTTCGTTCCCCCCATTGAGATTCTCCTGTGCATGGGCTGTTCTTGGTCGATCACTCTCCCCAAAAACAATGCGGTGATTTTTTTTCGCAGTGTTCAAAAGCCCTCTGTAAAATTCCATTTAATCCTGGTTGGTTAAGAACGGGATTCCCGGTTCTTGGATTATTATAATCCCCAATATATGAAGCTGATTGGTGGTTTCAAACATTTTTCCATAATATATGGGATAATCCTTCCCATTGACTAATATTTTTCAAGATGGTTAAAACCACCAACCAGGAAGGGTAGTTTTTTATCCCCCAACTAGTCATCAACCAACAGGGCAATTGGAAAATCGTGGGGACCGATCCATAAATTTCGCTGCGATTTTTTGATCACAACTTTCGAGCACTGCTGGCCGTTGCCGATGCGTTCTGTCACTGAATTCGCCAAATGGTGCTGCTTAATCACTATCAGTGACAGAATTTGGTCATAATGGTAGTTAATCACTATTCTTATTGGTGAGTAAGTACCATAGTTAATCACTATAAGTAATTACTATAGATGTCCTTTTCCCATTGGTTGGTTGATTAATAGAGGGGCTTGTTTGCCCCTTTAACAACAGGTAAATGATAATAGATGGTATACCAAACCGGCCCCTCTATTTTTACCAAAAGGCGGCCGGGGTAAACCGGCGGCGGGCGGCTTAATCACTACCAGCTATTTGGTACTTATGGTATTTACTCACCAATAGTTAACCAAATCACGATAGTCCCCTATAAATATCACTATGGTAGTGAACCATATCACTATGGAACACATGGTAATTAATATAACCACTATGACAATGATGACTAGCTATTTGAAGAATAAGTTAGCTATGAAGTAAATCACCATGGTAACCACTGAGGAGTATATTAGTTACTTTTTGCCAGTGACTCAATGAGATACAATGGGCAAACCTGATCACTTCCAACAATCCAAAGGTGAAGGGATCGGCCATCGCCAATGTATTGACTAAGCTACAAGAAAAAAGCATGGTATCTAAGATTGGTCGTGACGCAAGGAGGTGACTATGGCTCACTGTTGGCAGATGGCTAGGACCGCTAGGATTTGGCTGGTAGAAATGTCCAACAAAACCTGGAAATTGTGGTGGATGCACATCCCAACATAGAAAAATGATAGGCCATTCTGGTGATTTTGTTTAGCTGCCAAGTGATGGAAGGCTGAAAAACCATAGGTTTCCCTATGGCTGGAGCCAGGCTTTGAGGTGAACGATGGACGTGTGGATTTCTATTTGGAGGTCCGCCGGACGTCGCCGGGAAGAGGGAAACGTCGCATGCGGCGCCTTTAACGTGTATAATATACCCTATAGTATACTATGAAAGTTCATAATTAGGGTTTATAAGTATGGTTACTAAGGTATATTCTACAGTATACTGTTCGAAGCGAAACAACGGTGATATTGTTGCAGATAGGTTCGGGTATTTGTACTCGACTTCGAAAATCCTTGAACGTGTCTTTTTCAAGGAGATTCTTGGCGAATATACGTAGATCTATTAGAGGCCAAGAAAAGCGGTGCTTGCTTAAAGGAATTCAATGGATTGGTTTTGTTGGGAAAATTGAAACCAGAAAGCCCCTTTTGTTTAATGGGAAAATCTATGGTTTCCGGTTCAGATTTTCCCTTAAATAACCAATCCCTTGACTCATTTCTTCAAGATCGTTTTGTTGACACCACAGATCTATGGGACCTCCATTGGCCCTTTGAACACTGCACTTGGACAGTGGCTGTTCAGCGTTGCAGTGCTGCTGACACAAGACAAGACATGGTGAATATGTGTGAAGTAGGTGGGTCTTGAAAACAACCATATATATATATATCCATACAAGGTGGTGCCCCCCCCAGTTATAAATGGATTATAATCCCATTAACTATAGATATATCACCTATAAACCATAGTTATTGGACTCATGTTCACCAACTTAGCTAACGAACTGGGGCACCACCCTGTATATGTTACAGGGCTGTTAATTCTGTCTCTCGCATGATGATCCAAATCCAGCACAGATTTTTTGGCTGCAGGAGCTGCAAGGTGCAGCGAGCACTTGCGTGCAGTTCAAGGTGACCAAAGAGTGACTTGTCTCTGGCGGTTTCCATAGTCATGGGGGTACCCATGGGTACGCTGGAGGTATCATCCTAATTTTTGCTGGAAAAGCCATCTATAATTGGATGATAACTAGGGGTATCCCCATTTTAGGAATCATGATGCCCGAACGGTCCGCAGAAACCTCGGTGCTTTTAGCAGCTGGCAAGAAGGATTTTCCATGGATTTTTGTTGGGGATCCCCAAGTTATGGTTGGTCTATTCCATGGAAAAACCATTTGTAAATGGATGATATTTGGGTGTACCCCCATTTTAGGAAACCACCATGTATCGCAGCTTACGTGGGATTTTCCGGGAATGACTGCAGACAGCAGATGTCCCACACATGTTTCGAACATCAGAGGGACGGTTTCCATAGTACATCCAATACATGTGGATGTGAATCACAAGATGCTAAGTGTTCTTTCACTAGTCAATATCGCTGGACTGGGTTTTAAAAAGTAGGTATTGATAATAACAATGATTAACATATTAACATATATTAAGACTTAAATGTTTGACCAGGTATAACACTCATAACACTCATATCACTACTTGGTGGCGAACTACCCACGAATCGTAAGTGGGTTATAACCCTATTGATTTACATGGGATAAGTAGGGTTAATCCACTTTTCATTGGGGTGAACTAACCCACTTACGATTCGTGGGATGAGCCACCAAGTGATATAAGACTACTCCAACACATATCCCGACATGACATCGATCAACCCGTGGGCCTGAAAATGCGCAACCTGGAGGAAACCATCATGGGGTTTCACCAATCAGCACATGATGACATGGTTTCCACCATGCAACATTTCAATAGGTAAATTTAAGTAAATCTAGGTAAATCTAAGTAAATCTAGGTAAATCTAGGTAAATTTAGGTAAATCTAGGTAAATTTAGGTAAATCTAGGTAAATTTAAGTAAATCTAGGTAAATTTAGGTAAATCTAGGTAAATCTAGGTAAATCTAGGTAAATCTAGGTAAATTTAGGTAAATCTAAGTAAATCTAGGTAAATTTAGGTAAATCTAGGTAAATCTACGTAAATTTAGGTAAATCTAGGTAAATCTAGGTAAATCTAGGTAAATCATCCATATATACACCCTATAGATCCCTATCGTTGCTTAACATAGCTATGGAAAATCATCAAGTATGCCCATTTACCACCATGATTGTATCGATGTGGGGATATATATATATATATGTGTGTGTGTATGTTTAAATATTTACAACGCCCTCTGGTAATTTAAAATAGATATAGAAGATGATCCCTTTTATGGATTTGTTTTTATCTAAATTTACCTATTGAAAACGATGATTGTCCATAGCTATGGTAAACAACTACAGGGATCTATAGGGTATATATGTATAATTCAGCCAGATATATTAATTTTGGTTTTGTATCCCATTATATCCACATTATATAAAATAAAATAATCCATTATATTGGATATAATATATATATATAACGTGGATATAATGGGATATATTGTATATAATGTATCCCAATATATATCTATATATCCACATTATATCTATATAATATCCTGGCTCTAGATATATGCAATTTGGTTATATATAGATTGGCTATGTGGATTATATCTATATAAAGGAAATTAGTCATAATATCCCCTTCATTTTTTCCAATTTCCGGAGACCAACAGCTCACCAACGGCTCACCAAGTCAACTGAGGTACCAAGTGTGGAACGTGCAACCAGCTGCCTCCAAGGTTTACGAAACTCGCAACGAAGCCGTGATGGCGTTGGCCTGGGCGAAGTCGTTGGCATATGCGTAGCCTCTGGTAAACAGCTACACAACGAACTGGAAAATTACCATGCTATTAATGGGTAAATCCACTATGTCAATGCCCATTTTCAATGGCAAACTGTTAGTTTACCAGAGGGTAGATGTATGAGACTATACTAATACTCACTGTAGTTATATACATACATATACAAAGTTACATAATTGAATATTATGTATAATATAGATATACATGGTTATGTACAGTATAGAGGACTCTATTGATGTATCGTGAGTATGGTGGGTGATGGCAATGGAACTCCCCATGGTGTCAAAATAATACACCTCTTCCTGAGCCCATCGTGAATGTAGAGGCTTGGTCGGTTTCACCGATCTATGAGGTGCTAAACTGATCGGAACCCCTAAAAAGATTTGGAAAAGCAATGGTTATCAGTTTATCACTATGTTTTACTAGGATTTCTTGACCAACTGCGGCATTCTTTATGGAGATTCAACTTATCTGAGTAGTTTTTTTGTATGGGTCATTTCCGTCATAGGATCGTCGCCCAGGAGTACTACGAACCTCAGTCGCAAGGTCAAACTCTTGCCGCCTTTACGATGCAGGACCACGGATCTGGCAGGGCCCCGGTTTTTCGTCGCGACCGTTCGAAATGGAAAAGCGTTGGGAAACGGTCGAAACAGATTGGTCTTTTAAAGGGAACGGATACCCTCTGGTAATGACTAACAGTTCGCGAACTTGAAGCCGTGGCCATAGACATAGTTGATTTTCCCAGTAAGAACTGCCATTTAGCTATGTTAAATCACCAGAGGTTAAATTGTTTTGTTAAATCACCAGAGGTTAAATTGTTTTTTTAAGGGCTGAATCCTGCGCCATAAATAATCCATTTGGGAATGGTTTATAGCAACTATAAAAATGGTGATGACAGGGAGATGCTTTATGACATTGTTTTCCCCACATTACTGTCATTCATGAATTAATCAATTCATAATTAAATTAGTCTCGAGGAACTTGCAATTTCTATTCCACGGAAATTGAAGGGAACACACGGAACGGGCGCCATCTTTTTTGGAGCCCTTTTTGTTTTTTTTTACGTGTGCCAACACGGGTCGCAATGGGGCCTACAACGTGGTGCCCCCCCCAGTGATGTGAACGTTGGTTTATCAAAGGAAGTTGGGAAGCAATACTTCCGTGTTACGGACAAATAGAATTCTGCGACTTGAAATGATGCAGGGTGGTAGATCACACAACAATACATGACATAACAATACATAACAAAAGAATAAGAAGCAGTGGAATTGACTTTGATGAAGGGTGGTGATAATGACGGGTGGTGACGAAGGGAAGTGGTGACGAAGGGAAGTGGTGACGAAGGGAAGTGGTGACGAAGGGAAGTGGTGACGAAGGGAAGTGGTGAGGAAGGGAAGTGGTGACGAAGGGAAATGGTGAAGAAGGGAAATGGTGACGAAGGGAAGTGGTGAAGAAGGGAAATGGTGAAGAAGGGAAATGGTGACTTTGGGAAGTGGTGACGAAGGGAAGTGGTGACGAAGGGAAGTGGTGAGGAAGGGAAGTGGTGACGAAGGGAAGTGGTGACGAAGGGAAGTGGTGACGATGGGAAGTGGTGACGAAGGGAAGTGGTGACGATGGGAAGTGGTGACGAAGGGAAGTGGTGAAGAAGGGAAGTGATGATGAAGGGGAGTGGTGAGGAAGGGAAGTGGTGAGGAAGGGAAGTGGTGACGAAGGGAAGTGGTGACGATGGGAAGTGGTGAGGAAGGGAAGTGGTGAAGAAGGGAAGTGGTGAGGAAGGGAAGTGGTGAGGAAGGGAAGTGGTGATGAAGGGGAGTGGTGACGAAGGGAAGTGGTGAGGAAGGAAGGGAAGCTGGAGCACGAAACCTTGTGTTTTTCCGTGTAAAGTGGCTGCAGCCGGCGATGAAAGGTACCTCGTCTGTGCGGCGGTTGCGGCTGGGGTCGTTCCGGACGCGATTGGTTCCTTCTATGTGTTTTGCAACAAGTGCTTGTTCCTGTGTGCGTAGTTCTATGCGTTTCCTGAAGCTGTGGTTGCTGATCGCATTGTAAGGGCTGCATGAATGTCGCATGGGCTATGGTTTGGGGAGGAAGCCGGAGCGCGAAACCTTGTGTTTTTCCGTGTAAAGTGGCTGCAGCCGGCGATGAAAGGTACCTCGTCTGTGCGGCAGTTGCGGCTGGGGTCGTTCCGGACGCGATTGGTTCCTTCTATGTGTTTTGCAACAAGTGGTTGTTCCTGTGTGGGTAGTTCTATGCGTTTCTTGAAGCTGTGGTGGCAGATCGCATTGGAATGGCTGCATGAATGTTGCATGGGCTATGCTTTGGGGAGGAAGCCGGAGCGCGAAACCGTGTTTTTTTCCGTGTAAAGTGGCTGCAGCCGGCGATGAAGGGTACCTCGTCTGTGCGGCGGTTGCGGCTGGGGTCGTTCCGGACGCGATTGGTTCCTTCTATGTGTTTTGCAACAAGCGGTTGTTCCTGTGGTGTAGTTCTATGCGTTTCCTGAAGCTGTGGTTGCAGATCGCATTGTAAGGGCTGCATGAATGTCGCATGGGCTATGTTTTGGGGAGGAAGCCGGAGCGCGAAACCTTGTGTTTTTCCGTGTAAAGTGGCTGCAGCCGGCGATGAAAGGTACCTCGTCTGTGCGACGGGTGCGGCTGGGGTCGTTTTGTGCGCGAATCGTTCCTCCTATGTGTTTTGCAAGAAATGGTTGTTCCTGTGTGTGTAGTTCTATGCGTTTCTTGAAGCGCTGGTGGCAGATCGCATTGGAATGGTTGCATGAATGTTACATGGGCTATGTTGTGGGGAGGAAGCCGGAGCACGAAACCTTGTGTTTTTCCGTGTAAAGTGGCTGCAGCCGGCGATGAAAGGTACCTCGTCTGTGCGGCGGTTGCGGCTGCGGTCGTTTCTGTCGCGAATTGTCATTGTTCCTCCTATGTGTTTTGCAACGAGTGGTTGTTCCTGTGTGCGTAGTTCTATGCGTTTCTTGAAGCTGTGGTGGCAGATCGCATTGGAATGGCTGCATGATTGTTGTCATTTGGTGTTGCCACGTCCGTAGATAGGTGCAGGTTTGCTACGGGATGCTGCGAAACGCATTGTAGTGGCTGCGTCAAGGTTGCTCGGTGCTGCGGCTGCATGCGTAATACTATTGTCTTTTGCAGCTGAAGATCGTAAATCGTATTGGAATGGCTGCGTCAAGGCTGCGAAAGTGATTTGTCAGCAGATTTTCTCAATTTTGGCGCTAATAATTTTCCTTTTAAAATTCCTTTTAAAAAGTGCTTCAAAATCGTCTTTTTGTCGCTTTGGCGTCGAGATCCGGTTTTGGAGCTGCAATTTCCGACGCCATTGCACGTAGTTCTATTGTGTTTTGCAACTCAGTCTCTGCAGATCGCATTGGAGTGGCTGCGTCAAGGTTGCTTGGTGCAGCGGCTGCATGCGTAATACTATTGTCTTTTGCAGCTGAAGATTGTAAATCGTATTGGAGTGGCTGCATCCAGGCTGCGATAGTCATTTGTCAGCAGATTTTCGCAATTTTGGCGCTAATAATTTTCCTTTTAAAATTCCTTTTAAAAAGTGCTTCAAAATCGTCTTTTTTTCACTTTGGCGTCGAGATCCGGTTTTGGAGCTGCAATTTCCGACGCCATTGCACGTAGTTCTATTGTGTTTTGCAACTCAGTCTCTGCAGATCGCATTGGAGTGGCTGCGTCAAGGTTGCTTGGCGCAGCGGCTGCATGCGTAATACTATTGTCTTTTGCAGCTGAAGATCGTAAATCGTATTGGAATGGCTGCATCAAGGCTGCGAAAGTGATTTGTCAGCAGATTTTCTCAATTTTGGCGCTGATAATTTTCCTTTTAAAATTCCTTTTAAAAAGTGCTTCAAAATCGTCTTTTTGTCGCTTTGGCGTCGAGATCCGGTTTTGGAGCTGCAATTTCCGATGCCATTGCGCGTAGTTCTATTGTGTTTTGCAACTCAGTCTCTGCAGATCGCATTGTAGTGGCTGCGTCAAGGTTGCTTGGTGCAGCGGCTGCATGCGTAATGCTATTGTCTTTTGCAGCTGAAGATCGTAAATCGTATTGGAATGGCTGCATCAAGGCTGCGAAAGTGATTTGTCAGCAGATTTTCTCAATTTTGGCGCTAATAATTTTCCTTTTAAAATTCCTTTTAAAAGTGCTTCAAAATCGTCTTTTTGTCGCTTTGGCGTCGAGATCCGGTTTTGGAGCTGCAATTTCCGACGCCATTGCACGTAGTTCTATTGTGTTTTGCAACTCAGTCTCTGCAGATCGCATTGTAGTGGCTGCGTCAAGGTTGCTTGGCGCAGCAGCTGCATGCGTAATACTATTGTCTTTTGCAGCTGAAGATCGTAAATCGTATTGGAACGGCTGCATCAAGGCTGCGAAAGTGATTTGTCAGCAGATTTTCTCAATTTTGGCGCTAATAATTTTCCTTTTTAAATTCCTTTTAAAAAGTGCTTCAAAATCGTCTTTTTGTCGCTTTGGCGTCGAGATCCGGTTTTGGAGCTGCAATTCCTGTTGTGATTATGTACAAGAAAGCTTCTCTGTGCAAAAACTTTTTCTGTAAAAGCTTGCTGTGTGTAAAAGCTTCTCTGTAAAAGCGTCTCTGTGTAAAAGTTTCTGTGTGTGTAAACGCTTGCCATGTGTAAAAGCACTGTGCGTAAGTGTTCTGTGTGTAAACGCTTGCTGTGTGTGAAAGCTTGCTGTGTGTAAAAGCTTCTCTGTGTAAAAGCTTGTTGTGTGTAAAAGCTTCTCTGTTTAAAAAGCTTGCTGTGTGTGTAAACGCTTGCCATGTGTAAAAGCACTGAGTGTAAGCGTTCTGTGTGTAAACGCTTGCTGTGTGTGAAAGCTTGCTGTGTGTAAAAGCTTCTCTGTGAAGAAGCTTGCTGTGTGTGAAAGCTTGCTGTGTAAAGCTTCTCTGTGTGAAAGCTTGTTGTGTGTAAAAGCTTCTCTGTTTAAAAAGCTTCTGTGTAAACGCTTGCCATGTGTAAAAGCACTGTGTGTAAGTGTTCTGTGTGTGAACGCTTGCTGTGTTTGAAAGCTTGCTGTGTGAAAAAGATTTTGTGTGTAAAAGCTTGCTGTGTGTAAAAGCCTCTCTGTGTGTAAAAGCGTCTCTGTGCAAAAGTTTCTGTGTGTAAACGCTTGCCATGTGTAAAAGCACTGTGTGTAAGTGTTCTGTGTGTAAACGCTTGCTGTGTGTGAAAGCTTCTCTGTGAAGAAGCTTGTTGTGTGTAAAAGCTTCTGTCTGTAAAAGCTTCTCTGCTTGAAAAGCTTGCTGTGTGTAAAAGCTTCTCTGCGAAAGAACTTGATGTGTGTAGAAGCTTTGTAGTAGTACTGGAACGTGTTTTGTGCAAGCTTTGTAGTACAAAGTAGTACTGGAACGTGTTTTGTGCAAGCTTTGTAGTACACAGTAGTACTGGGAAGTGCTTTGTGCAAGCTCTGTAGTACAAAGTAGTACTGGAACGTGTTTTGTGCAAGCTTTGTAATACAAAGTAGTACTGGGAAGTGTTTTGTGCAAGCTTTGTAGTACAAAGTAGTACTGCGGAGTGCTTTGTGCAAGCTTTGCAGTACAAAGTAGTACTGGGAGTTGTTTTGTGAAACTTTTGTAGTACAAAGTAGTACTGCGGAGTGCTTTGTGCAAGCTTTGTAGTACAAAGTAGTACTGGGAAGTAGTTTGTGCAAGCTTTGTAGTACAAAGTAGTACTGGGAAGTAGTTTGTGCAAGCTTTGTAGTACAAAGTAGTACTGGGAAGTAGTTTGTGCAAGCTTTGTAGTACAAAGTAGTACTGGGGAGTGCTTTGTGCAAGCTTTGTAGTACAAAGTAGTACTGGGAAGTGTTTTGTGCAAGCTTTGTAGTACAAAGTAGTACTGGGAAGTGGTTTTTGCAAGCTTTTGTAGTAGATACAGTACTGGGAAGTACTTGACATAAAAATAGCCAAGAAGAACTTGGCTGACATATGGGAAGACATGGAATGAGATGAGAAGAGCTCAGATGAGATGAGTTGAGATGAAGTGCAAGTGTGGAGTGTGGGGTGTCAAGAGTGCAATGTGAAGTGTGAGGAAAGTGTTTGCATTGTACCGGGGTCGCGCGCAGGTCATGTTCTTGGACAGCAGCACTGCAACAGCTTCGCACAAAGCACGCACGCACGGGCCTGGCTGGCGCACGGCGCATGCAAGTTCCTTAGTAGTAGTACTGGGAAGTGATTCATGAAAGCTTAGGTGACATATGAGATGAGATGAGACGAGATGAGCTGGGATAAGGTGAGAAGAGCTCAGATGAGATGAAGTGTGGAGTGTGAAGAGTGCATTGTGAAGTGTGGGGCGTGAAGAGTGCAGTGTGAAGTGTGGAGTGTGAAGAAAGCAATGAGAAGTGAGAAGTGTGAAGTGTGGACTGTGAAGTGTGAAGTGTGAAGTGTGGAGTGCGAAGAGTGCAGTGTGAAGTGTGAAGAGTGTGGAGTGTGAAGTGCGAAGAGTGCAGTGTGAAGAGTGCAGTGTGAAGAGTGTAGTGTGGAGTGTGAAGACTGTCAAGTGTGAAGTGTGAAGAGGAGCTTCAAATGTGACATGTGAAACAGGACACCACTTTCGAAGAATGCATGCACGCACGGGCTTGGCTGGCGCACGGCGCATGCAAGTTCTATAGATGAGAAAGGTCTTTTATATATATCTTTAAGGCAACTTCCGCCCCGCCTCGTGCGGGTACTACTGGTAATCCCATGAACTAGCTCGATATATCTACCATAAGTCCAAACGTGAAATTAGAGTTATGTGGCTCCCAACTGAGCGATTTCGCGGCCACGGGGGCACATTGTAGCTAATCCCCTCCATAGATGGTCGTGCCATATCCAGCCCTCCAAATTGATCCATTCGAAGGACCCTCCATCGATACTAGTTCCAGATTTCATCAAATTTCACCAGAATTTATCAAATTTCACCAGATACATCCAGATACTAATTCCAGATTTCATACGAAAATATGCTATGCAGCAGATTCCACCAGAATTCAAACCTCGGTTGACCTCGTTGATCGACAAGTTCGGCACCAGCGAAAAATGGCCTCGAAAGCCTCACCGGACTTCTTCCGAAAACCAGGGCCTGGAAAGCCGAAAACCGGATGGTTTTGTTAACCTCTGGTAAACAGCCACATAACTATGGAAAATCACCATGCTATTAATGGGTAAATCAACTATGTCAATGGCCATTTTCAATAGCAAACTGTTAGTTTACCAGAGGGTACATGTGAAAAAAACAAAAAGGAGGCCTCCAATGGAGGTACCCCAAGCTCGCTGGCTGGTTTATTTCATGGAAAATCCATTTATAAATGGATGATAACTGGAGGTACTCCCATTTTAGCAAACCAACACTTTGATGTTCATCAGTTACTGGTGACGCTTGTGGCGTTAGCCACTCAAATCGCCATGTTCCTCAGTTTTCCTGCCAAAAGCCAGACATTTCCAGTGATGTCACCAAACAGCATAGAAAATCACAAAAAAATGGAACTGAAACCCATGTGCCTTACTCTTAAACATCTTAAACATCCATTTTTCTCAAATGTTCCGTCCCCAAAAACCGCCTAAGATAAAGGGGTTTTGGCTTACCACCGAAGCACAAGGAGATGAGTGCAGACCTCTCGAACCTCGTGGGTTTGCGAGACGATGATACCACCTTAGAGCCTACGACGGCTGCGTCAGCAAAGGCGGGACAGCGGACCTTTCCGGGAGGCGCTTTTGGTGGGTAAACATGAGGAGTTCATCAATAAAGAGTCGACTTCCCATTGTATGTCAAATGATCGACTTTGGGATATAATGGGATATTTAATTATATAAAATAAACTGGTTGGTGGTTTGGAACATTTTTTATTTTTCCATATATTGGGAATAGTAACCCCAACTGACGAACTCATATTTTTCAGAGGGGTAGGTATACCACCAACCAGTAAAGAGTCGACCTTACTAGCTATTTCAGTGGGATATTTCAGTGGGATTTTCAGTGGGATCCAATGGATTTGCGGATTGATTTTCCCGGAAATCCACTATGACTGAGGAATCTATGACAGCCAATCCAAGACATAGGGAGTTCACTTTGAAAAACTGGGATCATTTTTCAAAAAACGCAGTAAAGTTCCATGAAATCTCCATCAAATATGATGAAAACGGAGGGACACCAGCAGTTTTGGCACTTTTACTAGGGAAACTGGTGCTACTTGAAGTTTTAGTTGTGGTTATTCATGGGTATAACTGTGGGATTCTAACCTCAAGAGTTGGGTTATAAGTTATAACTATGATGAACTATTTCGACTTGCAACTGGAACTGCGCCAAGCTGGGAGGTAACTGGGAGAAATGAGGATTGAACTTTTGGACTTGGGATTTGAACCAAAAAGGTGGGACTTGAACCAAAGAAATCATAAGCCCCAAACCAATGAACCAAGGCTGAGGTTGAACTTGCAAGCCGCTTAGAATTCTGCGCCTCTCAGGAAAGAGCCTTGGCTTTTGCGGTGATTGCCATCATGCTGTTGGTCTCCCTGTGCCTTCGTTTGCAGTCTGCGGCTTCTTCCCATGGTGATTTAATAAATATTACCCTCTGGTTATTTAACGTAGTCATGGAAAATGGCCCATTGATAGATGGTTTACCTATTATAAATTGTCATTTTCCATGGCTATGTTAAGTAACCAGAGGGTAATATTTATTCCTGATTGATTAAGATCAGGATTCCCATTTCATAACTCGATGATGATCCCCAATTTTTTGGGCTCGGATAGTATAACCCCCAAACTAATCATCAACCAACAGGGTTTGAAGAACCACCGACTGGTTGGTTCAAAGCGGTTCCAGACCTGACCTTCACCAAAAAGCATCAGTTCCAACGGTCCGGTGGTCCCCATTGGCCAGGCTTACAGCTTTCCGTTGGGTGGTGTAAACCACTTTAAACCACCAACTAGCTACAGGTTTTCAGTAACTTGCCAAAAGATAGAAAAGAAATTGACCACTAGTTTATTATACCCTCTGGTTATTTAGCATAGCCATGGAATACATGGCCCATAGTAATAGATTGTTTACCGAACTGAAAAATGGTGATTTTCCAATTTGTCCAGTTCGCTATGTTAGTCATAACCAGAGGGTAGTAGGTTGTTTCTTTTTTTTATCATTTTGGCAACTAGCAAATCACTGCTGATTGATCCGCAGTAGATGGTCCCATTGGTGAATGATGGTGAACCAACACATGACCTTGCCACAACATCACCAAGGTCATGGCTCGATCGGCGAACCGACGCCCAAAAAACATTTCAACCATTTCAGGTTAATGATGGCTTTTATATGGGGAATCATCCCCACATGGCCGTATGATGACAGTATTTTGCAGCTTTGTGAATCAATATAATTCAGCCAGATAACATGATATAATATGTATACAGCCTTGCTTGAGTAGTGAACCACCGATAGGGTGATATTCACCACCGATAATCAACAAAATCAGATGATATAACAGTCAACAGAAAATTGGATAACTGGTTGGTGGTTTCAAACATGCCTTTTATTTTCCAAAATATATGGGATAATCCTTCCCATTGACTTTCATATTTTTCAAGACGGTTAAAACCACCAACCAGATATGATATTGATAATGATCAAAAAAAGGATATGTTCACCACCAATGTAATCCGGAGATGAATGGGATATAAATGTATTGTATAACAGTCAACTAAATTGATGGCAGACATGATTGATGTTCATCCGGTGTGCCTTCAACCTTCAAGGTGGCCATTCCGATAGGACGTGCTATCATGGGATATGCGACATATAACGAACATTGTGAAGAAAAATTGAGTAATGTGGGTAAAACAATTTCATAAACCATCTTTTATAGGTGGTAGTGCTTTAAACCATTCCCAAATGGGGGGTTTATGACATTGGTTTGCCCACATTATATCAGTTATAATCCGTATTTTACTGGCGAAAACTGATGCTATTTGAAGGTGAAGTTGGGGTTATTTATGGGTATAACTATGGTTTTTCGACCTCCAAAGGTTGGGTTTTGGTGCCCTTCAAACTATGCACGCATGTATATATATATATATATATATACATATATATATATATACATTTCTATATATACATACTTTTATATATATATACATATATATATATATGTACATTTCTATATATACATACTTTTATATATATACATATATATATATATATTTACATACATATATATACATATATATATATACATATATATATACACATATATACATATATATATATACATATATATTGTATATATATATACATATATATATTGTATATATATACGTATATATGTATATACATACATATATTTATATATACATACATATATATATATATTTACATATATATATATATACATATATTTATATTTACATATATATATACACCTATCACTGGAACTGCACCCCCAAGTAAAGCCTCCAGCAATCAAACATGTTGATGTAACATCCGCCATTGACTTCCATGATTTTCCCAGCCATGAAGCTCCATTGACTTCGAGGATTTTCCATTGCCACTTGATAATACCAGAGAGCATCTCCAATAGTTAACCCCACCGACCAGTTCTATGCATATATATATATACACACCATTTTACTATAGTGAATTCAAACCATATAGATATAGTGAATTACTAAATTTATATACACACCATATTCACCATAGTAAAATTGTTTGAATATCACTATTGTATAAATTCACTATATATATAATATATATTGGCATATCTTCCCATCATTTTGTCCAAAAAAAACCTCCCCGCAGAAAAATCCCCTGCGTCAGGTGAAGAGCCCCTGGCGACCAGAAGACACAGGGTGAAGTAGAAATCGAATCTGGATAAATCTGGTGATATGCTATTGAATGGTGAATGGTATTGAATGGTATTGACTCTGAAGTAGATAGAATCTCTGAATCATAGAATCTGGCGAAGTAGATTGACATGGTATTGATAATTGATATGGCATTGATTGTATACCATAATCAACACAACCAGCTGATATGGTATTGATTGATGATTGCTGTGTTTACCACATTATATACCAAGAATGGTTGTAAAATGGAGATTTTCATATTAACTGTATGGCTGTAAACCCTTTGGTAATTAAACATGGCAGGCTAGAAAATCCACTATAAATGTTGTCTATAGCTGGGAAAATCATCGAACTAACTGTGTTTTTTTCCTCGGAAGCCATGGCTGATTACCCAGGGAAACGCAACTGATATGGGATTTATTATTGGGTTTACCACATTATATACCAAAAATGGTGGCAAAAGAGAGATATTCCCATACTTCATATTCAAGATTGATATTGACTATTTTTCACATATCCCATTCATAGAAGGTGTGGCTCCAGTTTACGATATCCAAGCTTAAGTTTTTTTTTCCAACAAACACAACCGGGGGGGCCCAGGTTGTACCAAATTAAAGATACTAGATGATCAAGCGTTCTCCCAAGAAAAGTGTATAGGTGTGAGGTTAAAATATGGTAGAATCTCCATCACACATCCAAGCAGTTTTTGGTGGCACTGCAATGCTTTTTTTTGGCCTCACCAGAGCTGGTACAGCACTTGCGCAGTCTGTGTTTTTTGAACGCCCTGCCGCGCTGCCAATCGATGGTTGCGAGTTGGTTGATGCTGGTTGCTGGCTGGAGCCATAGACCTACCCAAGGAACATGGGGCCGGGGCCATGCTTGACATGGTGTTTCCCCTGAATTCTGCTAATACAGTTTGGGCGAAGTCAGATATGTGTATGTTATTTCTGATCATTTATATGAGATAGATATGTAAATATTCACATATACGTATTCATGTAAATTTATTTCATATGATATTATTTATGTATGATATGTATACATCAGAATTGAAGTACCTTGCGATTTGCCAAATGGACAGGGCGCGGACTCTGCGAGCGGCCGAACATTTTATGAATGGGTGCCCTGAAGTGGTTGAGATGGTCGTTGAGATGGTGAAATTTCGAGACTGATTGTGAAATTACGTGAAATGTTGGGTAAAAACCAGCTGATTTCTTTGGGTTTAACCAGCTGATGGTTGTGTTTCATCAAAATGGTGGATATTCATAGAAAATCACAGAGAAATGGTGATGGTGTTTTTATGTTCTTCCTGTGTTTTTAATGGGTTTTTTCTCACCTCACCCTCTGCGATGGTGATGGTGATGGTGATTTTTTATTGTCCTGTGTTTTTTATTGCTGTGATGGTGATGCTTTTTGTTATTTCCTGACCTCACCATCAGTTTGCCAAGTCACATGGTGCAGAAAAGCTCTGAAGCCTCATGTTCAAATGAAAGGAACGCCATCTTCGACCACTTTAGGGATCGTTCCAAAATATTTACAGATACGCAGCAGAAATCAAAAATGCCTGGAAATCCCGATGTTTAACACCATCGATGGATATTGTTATATCGACATTTTCCAGCCAGGTTTGACTCACAAAGGCATACCCCTCTTTGAGAGCTGCGTCTGCATCGTGTCAAATGGGCCAGTTTGTCTAGGCTACAATAAATAGATGGTATGAATGGGGACATGAACCATTGGTATCCTTCTGTCAGGTGTTTTGTAGGTTGGGTAGCATATAGTTTGCCATATGAGTGCATAATTGCGGTCTAAAACAACAGGGTTACACGCCATCAAGAGTCAAATCATTGGGTTCCCAATCGCCTCGAAGTTGACTTGACAAGGCCAATCATAGGGAGGCTTGTGGTCCGTGCTGAGGCTAAAAGCGAAGGATGAATTCCGACGGAATTCCTTGAACCTTTACAGGAAACTGAACTAACATTAGAGGCTGGATCTTCGAAGTTTACTTTCATGGGTGAAGGCACATGCAAAGCATTCTCAATGTCTTCTTCATAGGTGTTTCATCCTCAAACCCCTCCGTTGAATGGATACCTTGAATCATGTCTATCTCAAATGGCTTGTTTCAGGCAATTATATCCACAGCCCTTATTCTTGATTGTAAAAAACATACATGATATGCCCATTTGCCAGATATCTTTCATGTAATCCGCAGCCAACGTTGCTATCCATCTTGGTGTTGTGCAGCAACTTTTAATGAGTGGGTACGACATGACACAACGTGGGTGCGATGTCCCAAGCAGCTCAGCCCTAAACTCAACTTGCTATCACTTGGACTTGGTCGACTTGGACCGGAGAATACAACCAGCTTGGAATGAAAGTATACCCTCCAGAACTGCTTGGTGGTGACTGGAACCATGGAATTGTTATGACTTTCCATATATTGGGAATGTCATAATCCCAACTGACGAACTCATATTTTTCAGATGGGTAGGTATACCACCAACCAGAGTAAATCAACATCAACAAGGGGGGCATATAACATGTTGTAGACAAGTGTCCCAGGGGGCTTGGATCAATTTCTGCACCAATACTTTGCGGCAGGGTTATCTCAGAAAGTGTTGTGCTTGGAAGACCCTGTCTGTTATTAATGTCTATTATTCTTATTTTTGTCCTACCTTGAAGCCATACATGTTTATAAGCATTCATAGCCATATGTCAAATGATTGAGTGTCATTCACCATTTCCCTCTCGTAAACAAACAAAAAACTATGGAAAATCACCATGCTAGTAATGGGTAAACCAACGAACTAAATAGGCCATTTTCAATGGCAAACTGTTAGTTTACCAGAGGGATCCCTATCACAACCATTCGTTGGGATCCCTATCACAGCAGCTATGCTGGTTGTTGGTTGTTGGTTGATTCTCATTATCCTCACTACCGTAATTGTTATTCAACTTAGCTATGCAAATTCCATACATGTTTTGAGGTTATATCTCAACTATATGGTAACTCCCAAAACGATCAACAAAGTCAACTCCTACCAGAAAAGTGATAAATGGTGTTACCTTTCCTGCATTTTTTGGAGGTTACTATATAGTTATATCATTATTTATATGTATTATTTTTTATGTATATTACATCATTTTTTGTTGCTGCATACTTGGATGTGCATCCCACTTAGTGTGTGATTTATACTCCATGTATATATATATATATATACAACCCATGTAATCCTACATAATCGTTAGTATGTGGTTTATTATCCTCATGTTAGTTTACCAGAGGATAGTTATCCATATATAACCCATATGATCCTATATGTAAATGGGGCTAAATCATGATATATCCTCATGTTCTACCACTTAGTTACCCTCTGGCAAACTAACATAACTATGGAAAATCACCATGTTCAATGGCTAAATCCGCTATTTCTATGGCCATTTTCCATAGCAAACTGTTAGTTTACCACAGTTAAGTCCCGAAATACCAGTTATAAGTACTAAGAAAACCCCATTTATAGAATGTGTTTTATCCCATAGAAATCACCAGTTAGTTCACAAAAAACGCCATGACCATAACGAGGGTATCCCCATTGAAACATGGGCCGTTGAAGGGCCATCGCCCCATTCCGCCGCCAGAGCGCGGCAAGATGCGCCGGGACTTCGCCCAAGGCGATGGCCCAGGCGAGGGCCCTGCGCGCTGTGGCGATTTCTAGCCGTGGAGTCGTTGAGATCCGAGAAAAATGGTGGTTTGATGGGATTTCACTAGGATTTCATGGAAGTGTTCATGAAATTTTGGGATCTTAACCAGGGATGTCATTGGATTTGGCGATTTTATCGTGGTAATGTTGGTCATCTTGTGGTGATCCTATGGTGACCTGTCGGCGTCCCGGAGCTGGTGACGAAGTGCAGGTGAAGATATGTGCACATATGTTGCACATAATGATGTAGTACTATATAGTTATATTATATATATGTACATATGTAAGTCCATGTGTAATTATTTGTAATTATATACGTAATTGTATGTGTACTTATATACATATGTAGTTATATGTACATATATATATTTATATATATATTTAAATATTTGTGTATATGATGATGGTGAAGATATGTGCAAATACGTTGTATATATAGTTTTCTATATATGAAATGTGGGAAAGCTGCCATAAACCGAACATTTGGGGGCTGGAAAACCAACCGTTAATGGCGATGGGGCTGGTTTATGACAGGTTTACTACATCTATATATATATATCGTTGCATAAGGACATATAAAATTGATGTAGTAAACCCAATGATATTAAAATAACCCAACGATATTAAAATTGATATATATATATATACATGGTTAATGGTCTATGATTGAATTTGAGTTGAAGCGTTGACGCATCACTGGAGCTTTGACATGCTTAGAGCCGCCCTGGGGTTCCGTCCCAAAAACATGTGCCCGATCCCTGACCAATGGCAGTACCAATAACGTACCCACCAATACCAACACCTGATCAGCCAAAAGTTTGTAACCTTTGGTAAACTAACAGTTTGCTATTGAAAATTGCCAATTATAGTTGCTTTACATATTAAGGATAGTGATTTTACACGGTTATGTTAGTTTGCCAGAGGGTAACCTATGATTGCGTCAGCTCCCAAATTTCCAATGACTCTACTTCTTTACACTCAGAAACTGATCAGATAGCAGTGGAAGCTCTTTTCCACTGCCAGCATCAAGCTGCAACCAGCAACTTCTGTGGCACAATGCTGGTTGCGTGGCAGCATGGCTTGGAGACTGGAAGGTACTCTGTCTCTTCAATAGGAGGCCGCCACGGGAATCTGGAAGCTGGATATTCAGAGGCTAGAAATATCAGGATGTAACAGGAATATCTTCAAGAAACATGAACTGAAGTCCCCAAGAGAATTGTTCACCACTTCCGAGCGCTTTCAGCGACTTGGCATTTCAATGAATGTTTGTCTGG